TATTTGTTTTTCCTGAATGCATTATGATACGTACTTAACTTGGATGATACTACAGGGTCATTGTGTAAAGCATGTATATATTACTCCAAATTAAAATCAATTTAAGTTGCAGACATCAACTTTGAGGCAATCATTTGTACCTTGTCTTTATTCTCTTTTATTAAAAACGACACAATAGTTCAAACAAACTGAATCTGTCTAAGAACCCATAAGAGCTCAAACAAATAGCTGGACTCTCGGTGAAGCTGAGGCTTGTTTGGAAAACTGACATTTACACTCATTATAAGAGGGAACCATAGCTGAACAGAGAAAGATTACCCTCTATATTGTCTAAGTTGTCTATATTTTAAAGCGTCAATATAAAGGAGGGTATAGCGTGTGATTAACCACATTTTAGATCATGACAAATCCCCTTTTAACAGCTGATGCAAATGTCACAAGAAATTAGATTAAGGGACCTGTAATGAAGCTATAAAAAACACATGTACAAATGAATATGAATTGCTTTATTTGTGAGTTTAGAGTTTGTCCAATGTCCAATATACTTTTTGACACAGGTTTGAAGTGGTTAGCCATGCTTCTAAGTTCAGAAGCACAACAGCAGCTGCTTCTGTGCTATGTATTGACAGTGAAATATGTACACATTTTACTCATCATAGTAATCATTCACAAGTAAAGGAATCACTGTTTTTAATGAGAGTACACTTTGACATACTTTTACCACCTCTGGATGTAAATGAATGAAATCAAACCACACTTGAAAGGGTGTTCATCAGTATTATTGACACTTTAAAGTGCATTATGCATTATTTGTTTATTATGTATGCATCCATCTTTGAGAAACTTGCAAATTATAAATTAGCAGTGAAAAGGAAGTAGTCCACAAAGAATAAACAAGCATTCAGGCAAAGAGGATTCTTCCGATTTCTGCAGCTCTACATTAAATTGGTTTGACTGAAGTTGGAGCAGAGGCACTGAGCAGTGAGAGGCGGCTGTTGTTCCAAGATAAATTAGCACATATATGTTGCAATACACTCTGCATTTTAACTTTTCAATGCAAAATATGTATCTCATGAATTATCACTGCTCACTGCACAGCATTGCTCTCATTAATTTTGGTTTTCCAGTTATTGAACCAATCTGTCCTTTAACTGACACAAAAACAAAATGCTCCGCTGAACCGAAGCCTTCGTTTCAAATCGCCAATTCTAAATCTGATATGGCAGGGCAATCTGAGAATATTAAAAATACATCTGATTTTGTTGTGTGGTTCAAAATGCCTGGCTTTCATTTGGGGTGATACACCAAAAACACAACTCAAAAAACCATGACGAAAGATTACTGAAACTGTGAATAATTGCAGTTTCTCTTCATAATTATCCTCATTCCAATTAATAATTCAACAACGAGACATGCCAATAACAGGTGTCCTGTTCAGAGAAGACATTGAAATGCACTTTGAGCCTTGCTATTCACATTGAAGCAGATTTGGCTGCTGCTGCTAAGTGTATTGGCACAGGCCGTTATGAGAAGAAAGCAGCTGGCATTTACCTGATGCTATGACTCATTAAAATGCTGGGGACGTGCCATGGGGCAACCTTTTTTTAACTTGTTAAATTTTTCAAAAGCTGCAAGGCGGGTGATCTGTGTAGATTTGTACCACGCCCTTAGGGGAAATGTCATCCGTGTTACCGTCTCGATTATAATGCATCAAGGTAAAAATCATGTTTGGAAATATATTAAGCGAGACGTAGATGAGGAAATCAATCTGGCGTCTTTGTCAAATTTGTATTCATGCGAAGGTACTAGCTTTTTACGTGCATTCAAATGAACCTTGGTTTAAATATGCACCAGTTGGCTTTGAAATTACCATTTGGGATTGTGCCGTGTGCCGTTGATTGTCCATGGGCAAAAATCATCCATATATTCTAGAGCAGGTGTCTCCAACTTTTGTTCTGCCTGTTCTGGAGAATGTGGTGAAACAGTTCAATTGTATGCTTTTAAATAACTCACAAATAATCCTGCTGAAGCATTTGTTTGATGAGTCAGTCTTTTGCTGCTGATCTGTTTCCTAAAGCAAGACACAGATCATTAAAAGAGATAAAATGCAAAGAAGTCTAAAGACCAACTTCAAGAAAGTCTGCATGCTGCATGCTGCCTGTGCCAAACCAAAAGCATTTGTTTAAAAACAGCTCATTTTACCCAATAATTAGACAGTCCTTTCACTCTCCGGTATCTGCTGGGGTCCCTGAAATATCCCTACTGAGAATTTTATCGGCTAGTTCTTTTTGAAGCTCTGGCCTCTGGTCGCTTTCACTATCTTGTCATTTGTGAGGGATTATGCTGGAGCTCACACAGTCTACCCTCCTGCTTAAGTGCTGTGACAGCTTACAATAATTCCCACACTAATTAGCAAGAATAGCCCTGTATGGTTTTCCCTTTTATCATCCAACAGTTAAACTTGCCTGGTAAGTAAAAGTAGAGATATCTAATATGGATCATTTACCTTTAGTCTATTAATACGTATCACTATTGAGATGAGCAGTTGATCATCACCACAGACACAAACAGCAGTACATGGAACAGATGTAAGTATTTTTATTTATATAGTGCATTTTCACAGACCAAAGTCACCCAAAAGTGCTTTACAATCTTTACAGAGATACTCAGATACTGTTCCATTCTCTCAGAACACACTGGCTCATCAAGGTCCCCAACCAACACCATCCATTCAGTCACTCGTTACATTCAGACCTATTGTGCATGCTTTTAGTGGTAGGGGAGCACCTGGAGGAAACCTACGCAGACACAGGGAGAACATGCTAACTCCGCTCAGAATGACCCTGTTCCGACCAGAATTTGAAACCAGGACCTTCTTGCTGAGAAGCGAGAGGGCTGGTATCCACTCAAAAACATGTGATCGTAGTCATTATAATTGACACAATGTAAACAAATAGCACAATAAAATCTTTCTATTTATTACATTATTCTGTGAGAATGTTTTTTGAATCCACTCCGTAGAATGGACATGTCTAGTGGTTCTTTTGGCACCCCCTCCACTGCTTTCTGATTAGCTCTGTTTTTTAGCAATGACTGATTTTGTTCCTCTGACAGTCCTTGATTCCACCTTAAATAGAAGCGCTGCTTTTGTCAGTTGTTTGTCTTTAAAACAATCTGATTTCACGTTTAAATGAATGAGTGGAACAAAACTTTGGAAGTGACATTGAAGACTATTCTTAGTTACATGCTAAAGCTTAACTTTTGAAATGATTTTGAAATGATTTTGCCTCTTGTAAGTGATTGGTAGAGCTCCATGTGCCGTCCTTTCACCAATCACAAGGTCCTGAACACTTCTTCCTCCACATGCAGAACAAAAGCAAATTAGAATATGAAACAAGACGTGTATGAAGTCTATTAATTAGGGAATTAAAGGGCATATAGAACAGTGCAAGTGACATGTTTCCCCCATGATCCAAAAAGAGTTCACTCATTATGTAATTCCTTCATTCTTGCCTTCAAACTTTTATCTTGACGGTTGGCATATATTTTTTTTTATTTTGTGTCTAAATGTGGAAAGGTGCTGTCAGAGATAAAGGTTGCTCTCTCTCACACACCTTTTCTAGCCTGCACATGAGGAGGACATCACAACGGCACATGCCAAAGTGGACTCGAATTTTGTGTCTTACCAGTTTTTATCAAACCTTTGAAAGGATACATTAATTCTAAATTGTAACATTCAGTTTTGTATATTCAAAAAGGAAATGTGTCACACGCAGGTCCATGAGTCAGTCATCACAGCTTGAATTGGAAATGCAGGATTTTTTTGCAAAAGTGTTTTTATTTGGAGCAGTGGATGAAAAACAAATAAAAAAGGACTAAAATCAGAAACGCACATACATTTCACATACATGGTCAGATATGTACAGCCTCTCAGATTGCACGTATCTGACCATACAATGTTTTCATCTAAATCGTCAATACACTCGGTCCACCATGCACTTCCTCGTTCTGTGGCAGAAAGGGGAAATGCTCTAATAGTCATAATAGATGTGAAATTGAAGGAATAAAAACAAATATGAAGACAAAAATAAAAATAAAACAAAACAAAAAATGGTCAATGAGTGGTAGAGATACGAGTTCATACATTTTTAGTCACTGTTAGTAAAACAAAACATTGCATAGATACATTTTTGTGAATATTATTTTTATTTCTATATTTGTACTACTACTTCTATTACAGAGGGCAAAACTAACAAGAGCTTTGAATGGTATCAGAAAATATTGTGAATAAGTCAAGTGAGTTCAATAAAATTACAGAATTGTTTTACAAGTCAATAATTTGATATACATTATGCATCGTTTTTTTCTATAGAGAGATTGTTTATGCACTCAAAGACGCTTCACGTGTCATTGTTCATTCACTCCATACACCGAGGTATTAGCTTAGTTCCCTGGGGCACGGCAACCAGTATCGGCCCCAGAGGTCTCCCATCAAAGTACTAACCTGACTCTTTCTTGCTTAGTTTCAGAGGTTTCACAAGCAGGTATGATATACACAGGGCCTATAATACACATACATTTGAACTATAATAATTGTACAATAATGCATTTTTATTTATTTAAAACATTTACAAAAAAAATCACGCAACTCACTTTACACGTGCCTTGTGTCGTCACCATAGAGACAGCTGCTGGTCACGTGACGCAGCCTGTCAGACGAGCCGCCTCCACTTTCGCCATACACTTTTGATTTATAAACTTTTAGATCTTATAAACTGCCTTAAACTCGCTTTAATTTGAATCTTTGTAAACATTAAAGGCCTCAAGGTCACGTAAGTTCATGAATTTGTTTACAAAAAACTTCTGCCAACTGTTTGTGCCAGACCCTATGGCCAGAGCTGAACACACGTTGAAGGCTAGCTAACGATTTGCGTTTGAGGCTCTTTCTTTGTACTCTCTCATTAAAAGTCAAACGCTAATTACCACTTTATGCACTGGTTATGGAGGAGGATACGGTAGAACACCAGCTTCTTCTGAACGCTAAAGAAGGCAATGTAAACAAGATCCAGACCCTACTTCAGTCGAGGATTAGCCATAACATTTCTCTCGATATCGCCTGTCGCTGTAAGTGAATGTACTAAATAACAAACATCTATTTGTCATATACTGGCAACAAACGATCTGTTTTCTTTTTGCCTCAGTCAGGTGGAAACCATATCCTGGATGGACCCCTTTGCACATGGCTTGTTTTCACGGACATAAGGATGTTGTGGAGGAGCTTCTGAAGGTGTCTTTGGAAAACTATTTTCTCATTGGCTTTAAAATGTATTTTTGCATTATATATTATTTATCTATTGTTTATTGCATAGGAAATTGTGCAAAAAAGATTGAACATTGGCTTGTAGCAATCTCAAGCTTAATGTATTCCCAGTATGTGATACCATTCCCAACCCCAGTCTCTATTCTAAGGGCTTTCAACAAGTCAGATTTTGAGGTTTTAGGTTCTGTTACAATAATTTATAGAAATATGAAATCCTTTCGGATGAGCATGCATACATTCACACTTCCCTTAGTCAGCCTTTTAAACAAGGTACATTCTGATTATTTTCTTTATGTGAGAAAATAAAGAATTCCAAATGTTCAATTCTTTCACTGAGAACAGATCTGGAGAGCCACTTTACAGTCTCTCTGTGTGGTGGCCCTGGTGGAGCGCACGGACAAAGTAACAAGCTGTTTAGGTGCTGGTCCGTTCAATCATTTAAACACAGGGTCGACATAACTGAACTTACAATTATCCATAAAGTTTCTCTTTTTAAGAATAAATTACATTTGCCAGGGGATGTACTGTATGAGAACCTTTTGTAGGGCCTTTCTAGAGGTTGTAATGTGGTAGGATTGGTTTAAGACCAGACAGTAGTGCTGTACAGTTGAGATAGAATGATATTATGATATTATTAACAAAGTTACAGATAACCCTGAAACAGTTAATGCTGGCCTTCCTTTTGGTTGATATAAATAAGTAAAAATTGTAAAAAAAAAGAAGACAAAAGGTATAGATGGTCCTCATCGTTGACTTAATACTGTCCATTGAACATGAGGTGATGACAATAATCAATTTAATTATTTATAATGTCATGGGGCATTTGTAGGCAGGGGCTGATGTGAATTTACAAGATGACGCAGGTGACACAGCACTGCACAAAGCTGCTTCCACTGGAGGAAAGGTAAATAAAACATATTTATCTGTCTGCCTCTGCTGCTGTAACACTGCCAGCTTTCTAACTAATTAAATTGCTGTCACCCAAATGTCATCTCACTTTTCTAAAGTTTTTTCCGTCCACTCTGTTTCTCGCCTTACTTCCTCCCTGAAGGAGATTGTCTTGCTTCTGCTTCGCTATGATGCATGTGTCGACATTATCAATGGAACAGCACAAGTCCCCAAAGATGTTACTGAGGATGATGAAATTGTTACAATGTTGGAGGGTATGATATGATATTATAAAGATTTGTGAAAGATTCTGTGTTATAGTTGCTCTGCAGCACCCATGAAATACATTTATTTTGGCTTTTGCAGCTGCAGAGAGACGGGAGGCAAGACGACAGGAGAAGAGGCTTCTGCAAGCAGCTCGAGAAGGGGACGCTCCCACTTTGTCAAAGCTGGTTTGTAAAGTAAACCCTTAGTATGTGTAATGACAAGATCGACTGCTCAGTTCACAAAAGCACAGTTAACAATGACAACAGTGACAATTAGGGTTAAGGATCTTTTTAGAGCGTCGCTAACGTATACAGTGGTTCCTCGTTTCTCACGGGGGTTACTTTCTAAGAATAATCTGCAATAAGAAAATCCAAAGTTTATGACTTTAAATAAAAGTAAGTGTCATGTTATACTTGGTTATATGATGTTGTTGGAGTATACACTTGTTGTGTGTATCATTATTTGGTTCGCCTCCAAAATTAATTAATTTGTTCACTGGGCTTTTAAAAGGTGCACTATAACTGAACTCTTGAGTTACGGTGCTCACAGACAAACGCTGGTGATCACTTTACCTCTGGGGTGGTGATACTAAAGGCCCCTTTATTGCTCCGCCTCATTTTTTTATTAAAATAAAACACTATTGGTGCATATATACTTGATTTATTGAAACCACTCATTTCGACCCCTTTTATACACTATCATGTCTTTCGATCATTACCAAAAGCTCAATTGAGGGTGACGGTATATTTTGATTCTGCTCCCTGTTACCGCAACAGTCTGATACACTTGTTGTTTGAACTGAAGGAGGGGGGGGGGGCATTAAGATATAACAAATTGAATTACTTATCATTAACTCATCTACAAATATAAATATAACGTTTCATAATATTTCATTTCATGTAAACCGTTGCAAACTTGGTGTACATTCTGAATCTCCCTACTGTGATGTGATCAGAAAATAAAAACATATAATGATTTACCCCTGCCCTATGCAATGCAGTATAATTATTACCAATATACTTTTGTTACTTTGGTTAAATTTTGTTCATCTTTCTGATAAATATACGTGAGAAGTTAAGGGTCAAAGATGGTGGGTTACTTGCACATACATAATTGTCGGCATACTGTATACCATACACACTGCAGGTTTAATAACATCGCATGCACAACTGAACGTGGGGGGGTTATCTGTCAATACTGAGGACATAATTTCATAGAGAGTTCTTTAAGGTTTATTGCAAATCGATTTGTAGTTCTTCATTCATAGGATTTTGCACCTGAAAGAAAGGGGACAATTCTGTTTTTTCCGAATGAATAATTGGCTTGAGATGAGCAGTATGTGATGTTATGTACAATATGTTTGATTACTCACTATGTATTTTTGTGTGGGAGGGTCTGAAACATTTTATTCTCTTCAGAGATTATCATATATTGTTTTGCCGGGGAATAGCATAATACGTGTCCGTCTCTATGGAAACAAGCAAGTGACTACTCATAAACATAGTATTTTCTGGCAAAAAAAAACCCTCTTGGCATTGAATGAATGAAAGCTAGATGCCTTCATAATGTGAAATGAGCAGGTGAAGGACCCTCCACCAGAAAGACGAAAAATTACTATAAACATACAAACAGCCAATAAATGACACGTTTCAATGTTAGTATATGTTTTTTTGTTTTTGGCTTTCTTTAGCTGACTGAAAACAATCCCCCAAATATTCACTGCCGAGACTCATTGGGGAATACGCCTTTACATTGTGCCGCCTATAGAGGGCAGAAGCAGTGCATAATAAAATTGCTTAAGTTTGGAGCCAAGCCCACCATCGGAAACAGCAATGGTATAAATTTGGATACAACTAGCTTATTTCGCATGCTTAAATACATGATTTTAGCAGCTGTGTCTTGATTGTTTTACCAGGGCAGACGGCACTGGACGTGGCTCGCACCTCTGAAATTAGGCAGACATTATCATCCTGTCAGCAGAAGGTAACAACAGAGGTTTTTTGTGTATGTCTCCACACAACCATTGGGCTCCTATTAAATGTGTTTTTGCTACCAACACCCTAGAGATCTTTCTTCATTATTTTGTTGATGCTCTGACCTCCCTTCTTGCGCCTCTGAAACACAAATCAAATGAACATTCCGGGCAAAATATAATTAGCTCTTCACATCTCCCGAATACTTAACTTTTTGACTTTTTGTTCCCCATAGTTCTTTCTGTTGCATTTATCCATATAGGATACAAGGCACAGTTGTTGTACTTTGAAGCAGAACACAGACCAGTCTAAGAGTTATAGCTCTTTCTTTTGTCCAGGAAGTGAACAATGTTGTGGCGAAGATTGAAGGCCCTCTTTGGAAGGTACCCAGATGCTGGAGTGTGTTCTTTCACATTGTAAACAAGCTTTGTGATTGAGTTTTGTTCCAATATGAGGAAAAAACTACCAAATAATATGAAGAATGCAGTAAATCTATCTATCTCTTGTCTTACCAGAGCTCTAGATTTCTTGGATGGAGATTGCATTGGGTGGTAATTAAGGAGGGTAATTTATCCTGGTACCACACACAGTAAGTTAATTGGATGATCTTTTTGTTTTCTTTTTTTTTAACCAAAAACTAAAGGTGCGCAGGTGTATATACTTCACTGTGGTGTGTGCAGTGCCTCATTACTTCAATTTCCCATCTGTCTTTTCCAGCGCAGATGCTGCAGCAGGTGTGAGAAAACAGGGCAGCGTGTCTCTATCACAAGCCTACTGTATGGTAAGGAACAGAAATAACTTCTTAAAACTTTTTGGTCTATAATTGTTCTTCGTACAGCAAAACCTGCACTCTGTGACTCATTTTGTCTGTGAATCCAATGTGGTTTTTAAAGGGGGCGTAACAAGTAATATGCACCATTAGTGGTCTTACAGTTTTGTCACAAGTAGCGCCTAAGCACTGATTTCTGATGTAAACCTACTGGGCCTAGCCACAAACTGTAAAAAAAACTAGACTAAAAAAGACTACTTTTGTATCTGCTTTTGTGGTGCTATATTTTGTTTGTGAATTGTATAAGATAGAGCCAAGACCAGCTATATTTTACCTAACAAACTGGCCACTCAAAAGTGGGACTCTTTCTGCTCTCTGATTGGATAATGAACTTGAATACCGTCAAATCCATTTAGAAAAGGCCACAGATGATCAAAACACGACCTACTGTCCTTTTAAAATGAGTCTGAAAGGGTCTGAATCTATAACAATTACTTATTTACTATAATCATCTAAACCGATTGACATAGGGTTGCCTTTTTGTCACTTCAACAATAATAAAACATTGTTTATGTATATAAACAAAACAAAGTTTATGTTTCTTATTTTGTTACCAAATCCTGAAAAACATTACTTTCCAGGTTAAACCTTGGGACCATTGCTTCTTCATGCTCAAGTGTGTGGATAGAACAGTTTTAAATTTGAAGGTCTCATCAACACTACATTCAATCACTAAAAGAAAAGTAAGATAGCCCACACAGAACTTTAAATGTTTTGGGTATGATTGGTAACTTAGTGTATGATGGATATAGAAATGGTTAGAGGCAATAGATGCACATGCAGCCTACTGTCCTTGGCACAACATTAAAGATCATGTGACTGATGAAGAGGAGGAGCCCACTGACACAGCTGTGGAAGACTTCACTCAAGCTCTTCAGGTGAAGTGGTATTTGAGGCATTTTTTATGGATTTTTACATGATTGGAATATTTTTTTTTTCAGACTGCCAGTACTTGCCAAAAGAAACTTGAGAAAGAAGTGTCAATATTTTTGTCATTAGTGAGAAACCTGCAAAATGATGGTAAGTGAATTAACTTTTTTTTTATGGCTCAAAATCAACCAATTCAAATGAAATGCCCGTGAATTTTATATGTTTGTGACATTTAATGTGGTTTTTCAAAGAATGCACACGCTAATCAAACTTCATGGACATTGGTCATCTGCCCCTTATGGACCAATGTGTTTTTTATCACTGCATTTCTTGTGTTTGAACTGATTGATTCTCTGATCTGTGTTGGTCAATTCAACGACTGTCTAAATTCCTCTGAGATAACTACTGTTTTGATTTAGGGCTATAAAAGAATACCCAATCAGAGTAATGCACTATGCCCATATGTGCAACCTTGCTATATTTTATCAATGCAATATATCAGAATCAGAATCAGAATGTGGTTCCAAATATTAGGCTACTTTTATTTTGTAACATAACGTTTTCTTGTTCTGTTCCATGGTTGTGTCTTGTTTTTTTTTTTATAAACTGTGTAATGGAAAACTAGTTTTTCAAGATTTGTTTTCATTTTTGCAGTAATTGATCCATCAATTTCTCTAAAAGCTAAAGAAGCCAGTGAGCTTTCAGCTGAAACCTCTGCTGCTCTTCATCTGTGTCTGGAACTGCTGTCCAAACAAGAGGAGGTAAGGAAACCTACTGTAGGACTTACTGTAACTGTGATCACAATTATGAGATCAAACTTAAATATAGGATGATACTAGCTTAATACTACAGTAAAAGTAACCTAAAAGCTGGGAGTGAACATACCAAAAGGTAACTTTTGTGTTTTTCATTTTTCCTACCAATAAAATATGAATATAGATAACACTGTCATTACTTGATTATGAATCACATGCATCATAAATCAAACCAAGTATTCTGAATAGTCACACCCCACATTGATCAATGGTTACTGTAAAAGCAGTGTTTTTATAAAAAAGTGTGGACGTCCCTGGGCTGATCAATTGCAACAATAGCTCACTGATGAATACTTTAGAATTTCTGACTTCAGTTATAATCATCCTTTGGACTAAATAAAGCAACTGACAGAATAATAATTTGTTTCAAGGATCTTCATGTTAATCACTATCTGGGTGTTTTTATTTCCCGTTAGAAGCATGCTTTATGCGTTTGTGACAGTGCAATAGTCACTTCCTGTAGTCTAAACCAGGGACACTCGGGAAGAATCCGTTTTTATGCTTAGCTCTGGATTCAGCTGGCAGATCAGCGCCACACATACATCCACACGGAGTTAGGCAAAGGCTCCGTGCATTGAGCGAGGGAACTGAAGCGCGCGCATATTCACAGGCTCTGCTCCGGAGGGCTGTCTCTGTGTGCTCATGCTCACAGCCAGGCACACACACGCTCTCACAATCAGGCACAGGATCGCAGAACACAGGCGACGCCAGGACAGGTACCGCCACAACACTCCTCTCCTGCGTGTGAAGTTGAATGCTAATGTTTGGTTTGAAACATTGAGCTGTGCGTGCTGTTTATCTCACGTTTATGTGTGTGTCAGTTGGATATGAATGGAGTCTTATGCTGTTGTTATTGATTTGTTGATGTGATGTGAGGTTTTATTTAATGAGAAATTGCCAAAATATGCAGTTAATAATATGAAGGAGTAGGGCTGGGAAAGTCGAATTCATTTTGGATGATGACTCTCAATGCACATGTAATTTTAGCCTTTGCCTACAACCAAGTGTCCGATACCAAAATCACTTCAGAGTTTGAATGTTGAAGATGCAGGTGTAGTAAGGGCGTTGCTGTTGATTACCTGTGTTAGAATGCATAATGATATGTTTATGATTTTGAAAAATGCTATTGCGACACGTTGAAACGTGTCAGAATAGAATATACACTCGGACTTCCACTTCATTAACCATTTGGGTCATGTTTGCTGTACATGTTATGATCTACCAAGTCATCTGGGAATAGGCTGATCTATACACCAAGCTCGCTGCACACATCCTAGTGTTGTTTTGGGCGAGGACTCTTGGAGAAAAATGTGAAAACTGACAGAGGAAAGGAGTAATGTCTTAACAAGCTGCCACATGAACCAGTTCAGCCCTAACTAAGACGCTGCCTCTACAACCACTAACTGGATTATATTTTCTACAATGCTGAGACTGACTGTAATAAGCTTTATGAAATCTAATCCCACAGTCCTTTTGTCTGTTGTATACATCTGTTTCTGTTAAGCATCATAATGTAGTTGTTGTTCACCAATGTTTTTATCCTTTGATGTGCAGGCAGATGTGTAGAAAAAGAGGATTCAAAGCTCAAAGGCTTTTCTCACCAATTACCATACACCGCCTGTGAGTAGAACAGTTGTAGTGTGACCCACTTGCGCAGCTGCTAACCATATAAAGAATATATGTACAGTATGTGCAGTTATTAGCCGATAGCGAGTACGCTCCAATAGACATTTTGTAACATATGGATTTGAAAGAAATAGTGTTGGTAGTTGTCCATTGATCCATCTGCTCAGGCTTCGGCAGTGTTTTTGGACAGCACATTGAACACCTGTCAAGAAAATAAATCGAGGTTTACAACTCAGCCACTTAGCGGTGACACTAGATAAGCAGATCTGTCTCTTGTGTTGCTGACAAATGGGGAATGATAGTATTATAACATCCACAGCACACAAGCAGTGGACACTATCAAAGGGTAGTTTCTTTTCTGCCCATCACGCTTCAGCTAACCACATCGTGATAGGTTCTCTTATATTCATGGACTGGCAAGACCTCTCCCCATTGGTTTTATTCTCTAGAAAATACTCCAGATGGATTATTTGAAATATACTATGACAAAATTAGACCTTTCCATTACATTACAGGTCCAAATGGTTTAGAATGTACATTCCATTAAAAGTGAAATACATTACAAGTTAACAAAATCATCTTTAATGTTTCACTGGGCTTTCTTATTTTCAGGAAGTTAAGACTCCAAAGGGAAATCCATCGTGTCTGTTTTGGTGGGAGATTGTGCTGCCAAAATAGTTTTTGTCTGTTCCTCATTGTACATGTTGTCTTTATTCAAAATGGAATGCATATATATTCGCTTTTTGACTTGACTCTTATGACACCTAATGATAATTGATAATGAACCGGGGTGTAGTGATGATGTTAGTAGTGTGGGCCGAGCAGAGTCTTTTCTCCGAGGCTGGAGCAGGACCAGAGCAGACTGCCTCAGCCTAAAATAGCACTGTTTTTGTCGCAAGCAGTGGAGCTGACTGTACAACAGAAGAGTTACACAACAAAGTGTTGTGTTTCTGCTCGTGCTCCTTGGCCAAATTACTGCGATGTGAATTAAAGGCACAAGTTCCTTTTAAAGGGCCTCTCACAAACAGACAGCAACAATGTGCTAAACTTACTCTAACGTATATATGCTTTTGTGATTGATTGGAGTGTAATTCATATTTTAAAACATAAATCTGATATAACTTTGATGAAAAACACCTTACGGAGTGCTATTTTTAAACAGTTGAATCCTGACTTTGTAATATTGATCTTTACTTGATTGTCAAAGCGCACACTCAGCAGCTTTGCAAAATGCTGATCAGGAACAAAACAAAACATTTAACAAATGCAAATATCTTTGAACGGCAACTTTCCAAATCCCCTTCTACTTTGTGCTGCAGTGGGAAAGAGAGCCAGGAACATTATGTAAAATAAACCATCACGTAATTATGAAGTTGTGCACATTGGATAAAACTGAACCTGTTTGACATCACTTCGGGTTTAATAGACGCTATGCCGAGTTATGAAACAAGCTGCACATGCATTCCCAGATGAAAACCCCTCTGCTCCTTTGTTTGATGGAGTTCATACAAACTTCAGATATAGTGTTGTTTCCTGTCCTCTGGTCAGACGTAACAAATGCCCATAGGAAACAATGATCCACCTGTCCCGCTGTGTCCTTAGCTCAGGTTGCTTCACAGTGATACTCAATCATGCTGCTCAGATCTGTCGCAGAGCAGGGTGTTTGATTCCGACTCCAGAAACCAGATCTGTGAGACCAGGCTGAATCTTGACCCGTGTCAAAACCATCAGCACAAACTCTTTATAGACAACAGCTAATCAATAAGTTCATCTGTATGTAAACTCTACAAACCACTTTGATCTTTTCTCCATCCTGTTCAGGTGTGGAGTCTGAGGTTGGAGCAGGAGGAGCAGAAGAACAACGCTTTGACTGAGTCGCTGCAGTTGTTGGCCTCTAAGAACGAAGAGCTAAAGCTGTGTGTGCGCAGGAACCGCAAGTGGACGACCAGTACCTTCACTGAGGATGACTTCTACGACGCTCTGTCAGGTCAGCAGGCGTTCAGATCCCGGTCACTTTATTCACGTCACGCTGCAAGCTGCCGCCATATTATTTTACATTGTGTCAAGTTTCACAGCAGGATAAGCCGTTTTAACTACTATTTTACCACTATTCTGAAGTTTTAGTGGCCTGGATATTGGAATGTGAATATGAATAAGACCAAAGGGTACGTTTATGCTTGTTGGTCTGGTTCACTTTAACTGGACCAAGATTGCTTAACCTATCTCTTTCAAAATATTTAAACTGGATTAAGTGGACTTGCAGGGGTTTTACTTCCACATATAGAGAGAAAGAATCCCGCACACAGTCTTACTTGCAAATTAAAAATTATTTATTTGAAGTGCGACGTTTCTGCGTTATGCCTTCATCAAGCAAACATTACTTCCCCAAGTGAACAAGAATTGATCAAGTTAAAGTAAACGACCAACGAGTGCGAACATTTCCTGAATGGTGTAACAGGTATACTTTAAAAATAAACTTTTGGTAAACAGATTGAATGGATTTTGATCTGGTTTTGTAAAACAGAAGAGATTAACATTAGGATCAAATTCAATTTAAAAACCATGTCCATAAATGCCGAGATTGGGTGTCATTGAGATTTGAACAAAAAATGGAAAACTTGACTGTTTCTTTCCACAATTTTTGGTCCATAGAAAAAACTAATTCTCTTTTTGAGGATCCCTCCTCAACACATTCCCTCTTTGACTAGATTTTTTCAAACTTTGTAAATCTTTAGGTAGACGGTGCACGTCAATGCTCCTGCCTATTGTGCACAGTACCAATGTACTGTATAGTATCAGTCTGAATGTTGTCATTATTTCTTCCACAGTACAGTTCCCACAGTAATTATGAGCAGGAGACCAGTTTGAACATGCTCTGTGGAGATGTCTCTCTGAGGAGGCTTACATTATTCATAGATGGCCCATAGAAATAAGTACTACAGTAGGTAATCAGGTTTGTGGAGAGGCACCTGGGATGCACATTTTTACATTTTTTCTATGAAAAAAAAAATATATATTTATTATCTATTTTATTCTATATATGTGTATATATATATATATAATTTAAAAAATATATAGATATCATATGAGTGTGGATGATAAAATATTTTTGGAGGAAATGAAGCCGGTGCGCGGGCCACTCATTGGAACACAATCCTCAGGTGGGGGTGTTGTCTAGCAGCAAGCGGCGCGCACAGGAACTAACCACAAGTGCTTATTGGGGAAGAGTGTACTGCCGGGACGCGGAGCTTTTTGCAGCCAAATAGTCAGTCAAATACGCAGATACGAGAGTTTGATGTGGGCATGACCTGGCACCCGGCCCCGTCTGCGTTCTTCCACAGAGTCGGGCTCAGAGCTGTCGGTGAGCGGTTTCCTGTCCGTGGCCAGTTGCTCCTTTGAAGAGGACGAGTGGGGAGACGCGCCCCTTCCAAGCAGCAGCAGAAGCAGCAGCAGAAGCAGCAGCCTCAGCCGTCCCGGCGCACTCACGGGGCCTACCGGAATGTCAGGGGAGGGTAACCATGGCAACCCAGCAGCCCAACACAATGGAATCGTGCAAAGCAGGTGGGATGACTTGGTGTTGTGATCTCCAGATTGTTTTCCTGTGATATAGTTTACGGCAGAAGGGATTTAGAATGACTATTATAGAACTTGTCAAGAGCGGAAAAGGTTAATCACAACTAATCAAATTGTTACAATAATCAACAGCTTTTAACAACTGTAGAAACAGGCTCCCACTTATGTGAGGGTTTTGTGTTTATGGTGGAGCTTCACAGTTTCAGCTTCAGCACAGCTAATAATTGTTATTTACCGCGCTCGCCTCCACACAAACTTTAAGGAACGAATTGATAATTGTATTGGTGAGAGCTGCAGAAAAGCACAATTGAACAGAAGTCTTATTAATGGTTTTATTAAGCTTGTTTACATTCAATATTTTGAATGAAATGCACACTGCATCATTGTCAAGTTCATTCAGTACAATTGTTGTGTGCATATATATTTTTCAAGAGAACAGTGCTACCTCAATGTTATGAGGATGTCTGCATCTTTTTGACATAACTGTGACGGGCCTGATGGATCACGTGGGCTCGTGGCGTGCGTGTCTGATGACAGGACAGGGTCTAAATGGCTGCGTTGCTGTAAGGAGATACCTGCTTTCCACTCAGCTTTGTTTTTGCACACCTGCTCTTTCTTTAAACTCCTTGAGACCCAAATATTATTTTTACACAATGCACACAGCTTCCTGTGGTACATTTTGTGATGATTAGGCGCTTTGGCTAATTTGTGCGGATGGCGATTCTGGCTTGGCTGTTCTTCCCTAATCCAACAAGTGAGTCATGAATAATGGAGCGTGGTGCGCGCGTGCGGCGGCGTGTGTGCACCGGCCATTACAGATTTATGAGCTCTGTGTTTATCTGGGAGTCCTCCTGTCATTTAAATTTGCACCGGTCCCACATCACCGTTAGCGCAGTTCAGTCCTGTCAAAACACTATAAACTCGCCACCTCCATCATATCACCTTCAATGGAACAATGTAATTTTACAGGCAGCAGGGAGTCTGTTCACTCTTCTTTCTAATCTTTCTAATTCAATAAATCCTCTGGGAGTATTCTGTATTTACAAAAGACTTGCATCAAAAAGTGGATGATCAAATTGAGTTCATTTAAGCAGCCAAACTAATTATGTATGTTGCCTTTTTGATGTCAAGTGGCACTACCTGCATGTGAAGACCCCAGGTGTCAGACCCCTAAAGCTAAGCAGGGCAGGCTTGGTTAGAGTATGGATGGGAGACCTCTGGGAACATCAGGTGGCACAGGGTTGTGTCCTTAGGCAAGACACTTCACCCACATTGTCTAGTATGTCTATAGTTTGTTTATCATCAAGTGAACATATTTGAGTTTATTTCTAGATATTTTTTTGGCAGCTATTGATCGGTCTAATCCTCTCTGTTATTTAACAGTGTGCTACAACACTGACATTTCCCACTGTTGGTTGATTACATTTTGCGCATTGCTTTGTTTCGCAAGAGTTGCTGCTTCTGACAGTTTTGAGCTTCAAAGACAAAGATCTGACTTGTGGCTGAAATGTCACAAATAGAATAATTGATAGCTGCAATAAAATTTGAGAGTGCGGTGCCCTCTTTGAACTCACGATACATTTCTCCTCTGCCTCCTGCACTCAAAGCAAGATTTCTTCCTCTTTTCTCTTTTCTCTCTCTTAGCTCTCTCTTAGCTTCCAACCACACGATAAGTTTAAAACACTTCCATGAGTCTTGACCTTTCCTCGGTCCCACCACAACATCTTTCACGTCTCCCATTGCACTAAAGGTCATTAGAACAAAGTAGGTCAGACAGCTCTCACATACTCCACAGATCTGGTTTTTTTTCTGAGCAAACTCGTCTTTCGCATGTATTTAGCTGAAAAAAAACACTCTCGCCCCATCTGCTGCCGGCACCACACTGTAAAACATCGCACACTCTAGTTGTCAGCTTGACTACAAGATGGTGCTGGGTCAAAAACACGGGCAGCTTGTCCCCAAAACAACATGCTCTCTGAAGCAGGCAACATTCTGTCATTATTAATCTCCATTATGTCTCCATTCTCTATGTGTTTGTTTGTTTTTTATATTGGGGAAGGCACATAGAACCTTTTTACTTCTGTGTTTTCCATTTGAGCTTTGTTTCTTGAAATGATATGTACCTGTAAAAATCAAATAAACTTATAACTAATACTACTACTAATATTACAATACAAGTCACAATATTGTCATGGTGACATATGCCAGAGGATTAAAAATACATACAACAAATAAATAGACTCACAATCATGCATCTGGCCACACACACAGACACACACCTTTTTTTCACTATTGCATCTTCTATTTTGCTTTCAATTTCATATAAGGATCCCAGCATTCTCCAATGTCCTTTTGTTTTCCTTTTGTAATATATATGGATCTGTTTGTGTAATTTTGTTAAAACTGGGCTGGTTATGAGATCAATCTTCAGAAATTTGTCATTGGTTTGAAGGAAACTAATATATTGTCGCTGTGGCAGATGCTGAGGGGAGCTTCTGCAATTTTTCCTTTGCTAAAAAAACATGCGAGCGCTGTGTCGTACTGTGTCTCTTCTCAACTATAAACATTTGTCTTCTGCTCAATCATCTTTAGTCATAGTCCTCTTATACGTTAGTCGTTCTAGTTCAATACATTCTGAAAGTCGGTTGATCCGTTTTGCAATTGAAGGGGATTTAATCTTCTGCCAGTTTAATGCAATAATGAATCTCCATTTGTGATTCGCAGAACAAGTTTACCAGCTCCTATGTTCTCCAGAAATGACGTCAGCATCTGGAGTATCTTGAAGAAATGCATTGGCATGGTGAGGAGAAAGGGCTCTCGTTCATGGGTCTCAAACTCAATAATCTGGGGGCCGAATGAGGTTGAGTCTTGTTTGCTTATATATTTTGCACACACACAATCTATGCACACGCAGATATAGACTGAAACCAGGAAAACTGCACACACTATTTTAATTTGCACACACAGTTTAACTCCTGGACTGATGCCGGTACAAATAATCTACCCCTACATTTCAAACTATGCCATCCTCTCATTATTTGACAATAACAGAAGCAGAATCAAACATTTGTACGTGTAGAACAGAGACAAAAAGATCAAATTCATATCAACATTTTTTAAACATTGTATATATTTCAAGCTGTGTTTTCTATCCGTCCTTGTGGAGTGATTTTAGCCTCACTGACGTCATTTCCCAGAAAGCCCTTGGGACCCTTGTCTTAAACGGCAGCGCCTGATTGGATTTAATTATACGTATTAATTTTCTAATCCTTAATAGCGGTTCATTACCTACAGTGCACTTGGCACACACTAATTTTCCTGTACAACCTTTGGAATAGTCTGTCCGTCAAGGGCAGATAATTGGATGTGACCGTTTTTTCACCTTCTAAAAATCTACTAAAATACGGAAAACACAATAAAGCAATAGGAAGTTGCACACAGCATGAGTTAAACGGTTTTTATCTATCGCTATCCAGCCCTTCCCTTTTGCTTACCCTGTAATGTATGCACTGTATCCTCACCGGGTCATTGATATTAAAAAGGAGGAAAAACAGTTGGAAATCACTTGCATCAGTCTGATAAAGAAAATCCTCAGACAGATTCATGTAAGAACATAGAGAATAATAAAAACAACACCTGTTATGTATTAAAAGACCAGACCAAAGGCAATGTGAATGTTTTTATCTAATGTTAGGTTTAGGTTGAGGTTCTGCAAAGTCCCATTATTTCTATCAAACAATATCCTACAGACATAACTTGAACCAGTCATTCTGTTTGGATAAGCGGTGTTGATTGCTACAAGACCCAGTGGAGCCTGGATTTACATTACATTATACACATGCGGCCAGTGAGACCATTTTTAGCAGCTCGCAAAAACAATCGGCTGTCAATTACTGTTACTCTGACATCATTTTAATTCATAATTTTTTTTCTCTTTTCAATTCCTTATCATTGAACCCAATAAAGTAAATTTTTCCATTGTGAGATCAATTTTATTTTCTCTTATCTTATCTTAAAACGCTGTTTGTATTGGTTAAGTTACTGAACTCATTTTGTCCCAAATAAACGACCAGAAAAGAACATCCCAACTTTAACAGAAATGCGTTGTGAAATAAACAAATGTTTTTGGAAAAAGGTATACAAGATAGAAGACTGCTCAATTAATAGATTAAAAAAACCATTTTAAACTAGTAAGGAAACGTATGCGAGAAGCCAAGTTGCTGTATACAAAGTGTACTGCTACTTTGTCCCCTAATGGGTTGACTAAAACTACAGTAATCCTTCAGTCTGAATACCACCATATCTATAAAAATACTAAGAAAACTATGCATATTTTGTCATACCTGCATTGTTTATCTTGTAGTATACTAGTTCTATGTTGATAAATCACAAATCCCTCTATCATACAGTGCGTATAAAACACATTTCATCCCTGTGCCGTGGTCAGGAGTTGTCTAAAATCGCCATGCCTGTGATTTTCAACGAGCCCCTGAGCTTCCTGCAGCGGCTCACAGAGTACATGGAGCACACCTACCTCATCCATCGGGCCAACACCACCACTGACTCTGTGGAGAGGATGAAGGTAACCGCCACATTATTCTGAATTTCTGAACGCCTCATGTTTTTGACACGTTTCTCACGCCGCGGGAACAGTGTGTGGCAGCTTTTGCGGTGTCAGCCGTGGCCTCGCAGTGGGAGAGGACCGGGAAGCCCTTCAATCCGCTCCTCGGAGAAACCTACGAGCTCGTCAGGTGAGAGTAAATCTTTATCACAAATGTTTTTCACAGACAACACCATGTCGGCCTCGAGTTCTGTCTCTATTTACAGGCTTGTTTTTTTTTTTTTTTTATAGGAGTCAATATTCTGCTACATGTTTTGAGCTTTTTACCATGTGCCTCAGTATTCTTGAATATCTAATTACAGGTGATGGTTACACTGCTTACAGGTTAATTTGTAGATTTGCAGAAAAGCTTTTGTATGGACTCAGGCACGTGACAGTCTCCAGTAGAACGTTCACCTTTTTGAGAAGGAGATCTGTGTCTTAAATTATGTTTTTTTTTAAAGAAATCTTGGTTCATTGACTGGGAATAGAATAATTGTATTGTATTGTAATGGAGCTGAGAAGTGCTTGCTATCATCTACTGTAGGTTCCAGAAATAAAAACAATAACTTAGAGAAAAAGGTCTTGAAAGCTTGTTCATTTGAATTGTGCTGTTGATATGATTGGTAAGTTTCATAACTCCTCTTGGATTGGATTGGACTGTCACTTCGCAGCTCCATGGAGAGAATGAGGATCTTTGAGTCTTATTGATGTTGTTCTTGTTTCCAGAGAGGATCTAGGATTCCGGTGGATGTCCGAGCAGGTGAGCCACCACCCTCCTGTCAGTGCCTTTCACGCTGAGGGGCTCAAGGAGGATTTTGTCTTCCACGGCTCCATCTATCCCAAACTCAAGTTCTGGGGAAAGAGCATCGAAGCCGAGCCAAAAGGACTCATCACACTGGAGCTGCCCAAGTGAGTGCTACCAGACCAAGGATGGACCATAGATGGACCATAGATGGACCATAGACGGACCATAGATGGACCATAGATGGACCATAGATGGACCATAGACGGACCATAGATGGACCATAGATGGACCATAGATGGACCATAGATGGACCATAGATGGAGACTAGACAGACTTTATATTGGAGCAGAGTAGCGCTCTGGTAACTACATTGATTCCTTGCAAATTATGTAATCTACACGTATGGAAAGGGCAATACATGTGTTTTATCTCTCCAGCAGCCACTGATATATCTTCTGAAAAAATAGTTTTTCAAAAGCAAAGTTCATCAAAATTGTGGACCTCATAATTTATGATATACTTTATTTTATAGCTATGTCGTCATTGTAGTTTAAGGAGACATAAGCTATTTTATGACTGCAATAGACCGTTTTTGAATTGTTAATTGTTTGATTAATTACAGATATTACATTCACTGACTTTATTACAACCAAAAAGCATTGGGCTGAATCAACCCATCCTGACACATCACATACAGGTTATTAGCTACTGAAACACAACAACTATGTAAAAAATACAATAAAATACATATCACTGATTTCAAACTCAAAATACATGATTGCTTGAACAATGTTTTGTTGGTGTTTTTTTTGCTTATGAACAATATGACAACACTCCTAATGGTAAACATAACCCAGATAGAAAATCCCGTCAGTCCTTCAAACAACTACTTTACTTAAACCATAAAAAATGAGCCCTTTTTCTTGCACCAATTATAATAAAATATGACGCGACACACAAAGTTAATTAGCATTTCCTTCTTTCCGTCATTTGTCTTGGCAGATATAACGAAGCGTACACATGGACCAACCCCACCTGCTGCGTGCACAACATCATCGTGGGACAGCTTTGGATCGAGCAGTACGGCAGCGTGGAGGTCATCAATCACAAGTAAACACGCCTTTGTCTGGCCGCCGTTATTGCCGATGCCACTCGAGCACTTCCGTCACGAGCCCTGAGCTGCTTTGAGATTCACTGTGCGGACCGATCTCTGGAGCAAAACTGGGACAGATCCTGTTAGAAAAGCAGAGAATGAAGCCAGTAATTAATGTTTGAAAGGCCGTTCCCAGGAGAGGCACGCGCTGAAAGAGAATGGATAAACAGCGTGGATTTCTGATTTCTTTTTTTTCAGGACCGGCGAAAGGTGTAGCATGACGTTCAGACCCTGTGGCCTCTTCGGGAAAGAACTGCATAAAGTGGAAGGCTACATCTTAGATAAAAGGTGATGCGTGTGTGGATAATGAAGCGTGGATTTACTCATAAAAGACAGTTGCATATGAGAGCTCTGAACCATATGTAAGAGACTCTTTATTAGTCCCACAGCGGGGAAATTTACTTGTGAGTGTTGCATCACCCGTTATAGAACAGTAGGAATGAGGAGCACACAGCACAAAATACATAAATGATAACTATACTAAATAAAATAAAATAAAAATGTCTAACTAAAGCATGAAGAAGAAACAATTATATAATCTATCTTTAGCATAATGAGTACAAAAAACTAATATGTTAAGTAAGTCAGTAATCTTTAATTACATAGTGCATTTTTACAGACCAAGGTCACACATTTTTCCATTCTCTCCACACTCTAGTTTACAAATGCTTCTCACACTTTGCTGCCTGTTTTAAATACGAGGCGAGGTGCAGGGTGTTCATCTTGAGCTTTTACACACGGCTCGGAGCAAAGGGCCGCAGCGCTTCACTGGAGCGTGGTGTTCACTCACCTCTTGTTTTCAGCAAAAAGAAGCTCTGCGCCATCTACGGCAAATGGACTGAGTGTCTGTACACGGTCGACCCTGCTGCGTTTGAGGCCCACAAAAAGAGTGACAAAAAGAATTCTGATGACAAAAAGGGAAGCAAACAGGTACAGCTCTGGTGCAGATCATTTTTCTATCACTAGAATAAATATGTCACCTTTCCTGATGTTTTCGTGCGAAGAACAAGCATGTCTTTGTAATATGAAACAAATTCCTAACTTTGAGACCGGAAACATGTGCCTTGCCCTCTCTAGAAGGAGAGACTATGAATTTTTTTGAGAAAACAAAAGGTTGAACATTGAACAAGGTTGAAGTTTGTGACATTGATTGTTTCATGTGGATTGGCCTCATATTTACAGAGACTTTGCTCTAAACTAAGACTAGAAGTCTGACTTTTGACAGTTTCCACAGTTACAAGGAAATATTTCTTAGCTGCTCTCCACCACAATATTAAGCTATAGAGCCTGGTGTATAGTGGCGTCACATGAACACAACCTCTTAGTAGTATCAACGTTGACCTGAAACATTATGGGAAGCAGACTCATAACATCGATCCTGAAGAAACATATATTATAATGAGATGCATCATTTCATTCTTTGATAGCGCTTCAAATAAACCTTTTGCTCCTAAAAAATATATTTAAAAAGATCACATCAGTATTATATCATTACACATTAAAGTCTGGTAGCCTGTCTTTAAATGGTTCTAATGCCAGTGTTCTATGTCAAACGCAAATAACAAAGCTAAAAAGTAACAATGAAAGTCACCTTTATTCATGTAGCCCATTCTACAGATGTGTCATGTGACTGTCTCTTTGTTGTGGACAGAACTGTGTGGACGAGGAGCCGGAGGAAGTACTTCCTCCTGAGGCAGAGACCGTGCAGGTCATCCCCGGCAGCGAGCTCATTTGGAAAATAACACCTCGCCCTGAGAACTCCTCAAAGGTACGAAAGAAAAAAACAAAGAAGACTGGATTCATCGCCTAAAAGAAGAGACTGTTCTTTGAAAGGGTGTCTTTGCTTTTGTGTGGCAGTACTATGCCTTCTCCACGTTCGCCATGCTGCTGAACGAGCTGGAGAAAAGCATGGAGGGGGTCATACCCCCCACAGACAGCCGGTTCAGGCCGGACATCAGAGCCATGGAGAACGGGGACATAGGTGACGCTGCTGACCATCAGTTACTGCTCTCTTCCACTGTCATGTCATCAATAATGTTTTATTTCTTTCCAGATCTGGCAAGTGCAGAGAAGAAGCGAGTTGAAGAAAAACAGAGAATGGCTCGTAAAAATCGATCCAAGTCATCAGAGGAATGGAAAAACAGGTTTGTGGCTTTGTGATATAACGTAGGAGTGTCAGGTGTAGCATCTAACATGCTGTGTGTCTGTACCCACCGTTCTAATCACTGAGAAGGAATGGTGCCCTCGGACCAAGGTTCGATATTATTTTGCCTTTGTCTGCTCTGAAGTGATGTGCTGCACTACACTACCCCCTATAGGCCAAAGTTCACTATAACAGATGCATGATTTTCACATCTGTTACACATTTAACACTTTTATTAATGTTTAATACAAAGCAGCATGAAAACAACAAACTCAAACATGTTCCATTTTGCAGGTGGTTCCAGCAGGGATCCAACCCTCACAACAAAGCTCAGGACTGGCTCTACTTGAAAGGCTACTGGGACCGCAACTACACGCAGCTCCCAGACATCTACTAACACACAGCTCAGCGCACGGCTGCTGGACTGAAAGTATAGCGAGGAAGCAGCATGTGCTGCAGTGTGAGCAAAGGGGAAGGCAAACCCTGTATGTGATCTGTGAAATATAAAGCACAACTCATCATGGCCCTTTGGTCTCTTATAACTATATACTATGAAGATACTAGAATGTACTGTAGCCTTTATTAGACATATTATATTAAGAGTGTTTCCAATTCTTGTTTTGTTTGCCTCTCGTCCAGGCTGTTACTTTGTTCAGGCTTTAAGAGAGCATGATGCGTTGGTCTATAGTTTCATGTAGCTCTGATGCCACTAAACACAGTAGTGGAAAGTGAAGACTTTGCCTTTAACGTCTTATTGTGTAGAACTGAATGTGTCGTCGGGTCAACAACTGCAGAAGCCAATGAGCTAGTGCTGATAATAGAACTGTAAATGTTACAGCTGAATATCCTAAATCCTGTACTGAGAATGTGTACATTTCCCTCTTACTGTCACTGCTCACAGGTTTGGGATCAGTGTGAAAGGTTTAGCCATATTCTCGTACATTCCCAGTGTTCTATGCATTGATGTTTAGATGTTTTGGACTTCTGCATGTGCATCGTTCAAACTATGCAAGCCTTACCTCTTTTCATCACGCACTGAACTGTTTGGATTTGTGAATAGCTCAGAGGAGCAGATCATGTTATAACTGTTGGGTAATTTATCAGAATTTCTATTGTAAAATAAACTCTTATGAACTGAATGTTGAGTGTTTTTACAGTAACCCATCAATATGACTTAACTTAAAATGATCAAAAAAATTGACAATATGTTTAATATTTATTGTATTCATTAAAAAGGTGCACCGTGAAGGTGGCGGTCTTTTACGGCACATAATTAAGAGCAGCTTGTTGTTCATACAATAATTTACTGCATTGCTGATTTTGTAACAAGCGCCGAGACGATTTCACCTGATTGCTGTGAATACTTTGGATATGTTTTATATTTTACTTTTCCTGACAAAGTTTACATCAAAAAATTTACAATATACAACCCATCCCTTTTAAAAATGTAACAGTGATAAATATGAACATTCCTTACAAGATACGATGTCACAGTTGCCCATATAAAACTTATTGCACACATTCTACATATTATTGGCACATAGTTGAAAAATAAATAATCAAATAAAAAATGATAATGGCACTGATGCTTTAGGGCTGAGCTGAGGTCTGCGACGAGGCCAGAGCTGAATGGATGCGCACATGTAGTCTGTTCTCAAAGTCATAGCCTGCGTAGTCCTCCTAAAAACACATTTGTTAGAAGAGAAAGTATGAAACATTTTTAAAAAGGTAAAACAAATCCAGTACCTTAGCCTGAAGCATTAACATTCGACCCCTCTCTGCAGTCTGAAAAAAAGAAATCCAATGAGAAACTACTGCATCAACTGAAAGTGAAATGAAATTCTTATATATAATCCAGTCTTCAAAATGTGAAAAAAGTCAAATATCTGGGTTTATCAAGTCCCCTGTAGTCTGCTGCATCATCAAGTCAAAACTACAATTAAAAAAGATAAGAATAAAAATAAGTTATTTTTTTACTCCTTCAGAAATACTATTCCAATCTAATGGCAATTGCATAATTCCTAAGTATAGCAATATAATGTTTTATACAATACTGCATGCTCAGTAATAATTCTCAGTAATACTTTATTTCAATAACTAACTTTAAAATGCTTTTTGGAGTAAAATTGAATTATTGATAGATATATAATCTAATTCTGTCCAGTCTTCTCCTGGGTCATGGCACATGTCTGGAACACCTCCCCAGTTAGGCGTATATTATACACACACATCATTTAATATATGACATTTCTACTGATCAAAAATATAAAACGTGGCGCTTTTGTTCTTGCTTCCGATTTTCATGGGTTCAACCTAAAGATAAATAGGGGCTCAACAATATCAACAATTCACCGCATGATCTGAATTAGTTTCTTGTAAAATAGCTCATGATATTGGATAAAAACTGAACCTCTTGTGAATGGCACCTGTGGCTTCAGTATTTCATACTTTGAGCATCTTGGTAAGCCACACTTTTGAGGTGGGATGGATTGTCTCAGCAAGAATAAGTGCTCACTGACAGTTTTGTGAACAATATCTGATAGAGATGGGTTTATAGAACATAGATATCTTTGGATAAACCCATGGAATAACAACAACAGTGTTATTAAGTTTGTTCAATGTAAAATATCTATATTTTGTATACATTTGTACTATACTTAAACAAGTACAGTATGCAGCATTGATACTAGTTCTGGTATAGAATGCCTGATTGTTGATCCTTCAGACCACCTCATGATCTTGTGATGTGGGAGTCAGGCCCATGGAAATACCTCTTGGCTGTTGAGGAGCACACAGGCCAGTTCATAGCAGGAGTATGGCTGCACATAGGAGTTGGTGAGGCAGCCCACCTCGTCTCTCGCGGCTAAATGAAAATACTGACAGAAAGGGTCACGTCAGTGCAGTGTATCATTAGGTGTGTTCGCACATACCAGCGCCAACAACGTCTCCCTATAATACCACATCATTAAAGCAGAGGAACCTTTCATGTCCCTTTGGCTTCAAACAATCCGGTTAGAACTGGATAGTGTACAATCTATTATGACAAACTCGGATAAGTTTGTGTAGCTCTCAGTCGTACAGGTATTATTCAAAGGAAGGTTGCTAAGGGGGGAGTAAACCACAGGCTGAGCTTTCATTTTCATGTTAAAGATCTTTGGATTGAGAACGAAACATTGGAAAACCTGCTAACTAAAAGTAGAGATAATGGGTGAGCGGCCTTTCTTTGTGTTGGATGGGATTGGAAAACTAAAGTGCAGATTCACAGCAAAAACACAAACAAACCATTCTAATCAAATCCATGAAACGGAACAATATTTCTCAAATGATGCAGACAACAGTTCTTTCATTGTTTAGGATGGCGCCACCTGCATGTGACAGTCTGATCACGTCACTCCACTGAGGCTAAGCAGGGCGTGGGTTGATTACTGTGATGGGAGACCTCTGAGGACACCCAGTGCAACAGCAGCTGCAACTGTATAGAGCCAAACTGTCATTGTGTCCTTAGGCAAAACACTTCATCCACATAGTCTAAAATGACCGTAGTGTGTGCGAGAATGGTTGGTGGTGGGCGGAGATGGCGATGGCACATACTGGGGTCCTCTCTTCTGTCAGTGTGCATTATATGAATGACTAATGCCATGTGACACGCCTTAAAAGTGTGTCCAAATAAGTGCTAAAAATCTACATTTCCTTTGTGTATTTGTAACAGCATTGTAACAGCAGTATAGAATAGACTCCTATAATAAAACCAATGCATTACTAACATTATTATTCATTTTTTATCTACTGTGTCCAACTAGCAATGGCTGCATAACTACAGTTAAGTTTGAGAATGTACAATTTTTACTCCCCCAATCAAATCAAAATTTAGTACCAGCCCTTGAGCTAAAATGTCCCTAAAGTCTGGTCTCATTCTCCGCTGTGTGAACAACAGCTGAACACGAGATCAGCGGTGCAAGAACCTGCATTGTTGAAACTTAATCGTAGCGTTTTCCAGAAATACCTGTACGGCTTCTTTGGTATTGTGGGCACATTTGTTGATGGCGCCCAGCAGTAAGTACTTTAATCCGGTGGAGGAAGCGTCGTCGATCCCCTGCAAGACTGGACAAGAAAAGAAGATTAACTAACTCCATGCAAACTGTAACTTTAGGAGCCGCTGGTTTCACCGTGGACCTATTGTACCTTGGGTCATGGTTTGCAGATTGGTCGCGGAGCAGTTGGGCAGCGCTTTCCATAAATACAAAATCTCAATGACAGAAAGGATGCACAGTTCTTTGGTGACGTTGGGGCTGCGTAGTTTCTCGGCCTGCAACAAAATGACTAAGTTGCTGCTGAAATTTAACTGACAAAACATGGAAAACGAAAGCAAAAAGGGCTGTAGAGTTCACTGATACATTCATGTAATATAATAGATATTAACGGCTTATTAACCGAGCGCGAGGTCTGTATGGAGAAATATCAGACCGCGGCCTTAATGTACAGACCAAGCCGTGGCGAGGTCTGTCCAAAAAGGCCAAGGTCTGATATTTCTCTGTACAGACCGAGCAAGTGAGGTTAATAAATGTTTTATTATATGACTCTCGTCTGTGTCTTTACCAATGCTTTTGAGATATTTGTGAAGTATGTTCATGTCCGACTTGGTTTTGCGTGATACGCGCTGCGGACAGATTGTCATGGTAACGGTCCGAGGAAAGATATCAAATGTGATACGCGCTGTTCGGACCAATTGTCATGGTAACGGTCCGAGATGGGAAAATATCAGACCGGTAATCAGCCAATCAGAGCGCGCATACGGACCAAGTCATATAATAATTTAGATGTATCCTATCTACTCGGATTGTTTATCATTTTGGTGGTACACTACTAAAAATCTACATTTCCTTTGCAATACGGGGAAGACATTGGATATTGTAAAAAATAACAGTATAAAGGAATAGGTCACTTCTATGAATGATTGTAAATTTATTTCACTGTTTTTCCCTATTGTGCTCCATGTAAATGGAATGCACTGTCTAATGACATCAAAGCTCGGCTCATTTAAGCTTAAACTAAAGAGTAATTTGTTTCCAGCTGACTTTTTATTGTGTCTTAACATGTAAAATATATTGTAAAATAATTTAGTGTATATCTTTCTTGGTGTAAAGCATATGAGCTGGAGTTTTTGTGTGAAATGTGCTACTTAGATCAATTTTTAAAAAGCTTTTTTTTGTCTATATATATCAGCACCACCTAAATTGGTATGTAATCAGAATCCAAAAACACCAAAAAATAGACTTGTAGACTTGTCTGGTAGTATGAAGTATGAAGCAAATATACTGAGATGACAAATTATGATTAATCAAAAATATAAAAATCAGTTTTTGTGACTATTCTAGGAGCAGTATAAAAGTAAGTGGGTCTCACTCTCTTCATAGAAAACAGCTCAATCTGATTATTCCTGCGTTTGAACAGTTTCTGAACGTCCTTGAAGACCGCCATGGCTCCCTGTAGCTCGCCGCTGGCTCCTTGACAAACTAGACACAATGAAAGTCCACGTTAATTATAGTCAAAACTGCAGATGTGGGGTTTCAGCCGTACCTCCGGTTAAATAAGCGTAGTAGCACTGGGACCAGCGAGACTCGTTCTTCAGCCGCTCGAAAGCCCTGTAGGCGTCTCGGAAGTTCAGCTCGATCATGCTGCACCAGCCTACAGGGGGCAGACTGTTAGAGGAATGCAGATAAGCAGTGAGACTCGGCCGCGATGACATTATGACCACAAAACATGAGAGGAACAATACTGCACTCCGGAGACGTCTCAACGATCGGTCTCTGTTTTCTTCTGCGCTTCAGTTCTCAACACAATTATTTTGGAATGACTAATATTATACATGTATTACAAGACATTATTGTTGTGAATTATAAGGAAGGCTTCCTACAGGCTTTAAGACATGTACACATTGTTTTTATAACCTACAATGCTGGCTTTATGACTTCATGTACAGGTTGTAGATTGCGCTCTTACTGGTTTAATAAAGTAGTTACTATTACAAACAAAAGTTTGTTGCGAGTCTCCCTGCACATGAGGCTCTCCGTTTGTGACAAATATTAACACATGGAAGGATTCCATCGCATCCATTTGTTCACAAATGTACGGCGTGATCATAATCACTATAATGGAAGGATGGGAACACTATTTTTTGAGAGTCCTTTCAGATGAGCAGTGCTTCCCTCAAAGGGCAAAAGGTGGTTGTGGTGGTCATGATGTTATGCTTGATCAATAAAAAAAAGAAAAAGTACCTATTTCATATAAACACACGTGTTGAATTTCCCTTTGCTCAGAAGCCAGATCTAATGCGCTGCTGAAGGACGTCAGGGCGCTGCTGATCTGACACTGCACAGAAGTGAGTTTAAGAAAACAACAACAGCAGCAGTTCATGTGTTCAGTGACAGGACTCACCTCCAGACGCTGGACTCTGCCTTTGAAGAACATGAAGAGGGAGGAGTCGGGGTAAGTGGTTTCACGCTGCTGGAGGATGGACTTGGCCTCCGTCAGTCCTGCCTGAGTATTGGCTCCGTCCAGGGCAAAGAAGGGCTGCACCACGGTGTGGTACCAGAGCAGAGCCAGGCTACGACCACAGAAGAAAGGGTCAAACACTGACCAGAAGTGTGCACAGCAAAGGGAAATATGTTCTATTATTATTGTTATTATTATAACGCTCGACAGTGGACTCATTTTTAACTACAGAAAATAAGGTCAAGTAGTGAAACTGCATGGAAAAATAAACAACTGAAATAGTTTGAGATGGTGGTGCCTGGAAAAGTTGCAGTCTGCGCTCAACCGCTGCCAAGAGATCCTTAACACTTCCAAAACTAAATCTAACTAACTCTAACTCACACTCAGTCACACTCACGTTGCTAAAGGCGCCTTCATGTCCTTACTCTCGCTGGCGTAGGCGAGCGCGGCCAGGCCCTGGTGGCGGTCCCCGGGGAAGCCCAAAAGATTGACGATCTTGAGGAGGTGCGGCGGGACCATGGAGATGCAGAGGTGGAAGAGGCCGTAGCCGAAGCTCACGGAGCCTTTGAGCCGATCCAGGGCTTCCAGGCTGATGGCGGGGGCCCTGGCGGAGGGGCCGGGGGACGAGCTGTGGGGGGGGTCCAGGGGGGGCTGCTCCGTGGCCCTCCTCCTGTGGCTCTCCTGCAGCTGGCTGATATCGCTGTAGCATTTGTTGTACATTTTCCAGGCTTTGCGGAGGGTCCAGCCTCCTTTGATGTACGCTGTCGGGCAAACATTAAACTTAAATTAACCATAGACAGTAAATATATTAATTAATTAAAATATATTAAAACTAGAACATGCACAATTCTGACAGTGCTAGACCTCCCAGAGCAGTAATCTTGACTCCCCCCATCCAAATGTATGGAATTCTGAAGAAAAAAAATGCCCCAAAAAACTATTTCTGTTTTTTCACTGACTTTCTTCAAAACAAGTAATCCATGTGTTTTTTCTTTAATACATGCTAAAACTGGTTAAAATACAAATTAAATACAGCAAAACTAAACGCTAACTGATAGTAAGTTAGCGTCATAGTAACAAGAGTCGTTACTCCCTTGCTGAGATTTCTCTGAATGGAGATTATTTCATAGAAATAATTACATAAATATAAACTACATAATGATACAGAAATAGTCACAAAGTTATGAAGACCAAAAGCGTACATAAGCAAACTACTAACACATCTAAATTGAAAAGCCTCTGGGCGTTCTAGTGTTAAAAGGTCTGTATTGACTCATTAATTAGTGTGAAGATCTACAGGTTTGAAATAAATCTAACTAACTTATATATTTGTACTGATTCTGGCACAATCACACAGTGGTGATTTAGTTGTGTCTTTAGAGCCCGTGTCTCAGATCCTTCTTCCTGTTCCTCGTGTAAAACTGAAAGTAAGAAAAACCGCTTTAGACGTTTTGCTGTGCATATACTACTAAAAGGATTTAGTCCTAGTTTGAGTGTGGTCTCAATGTTGGTGAAGAAATGTAAACTTTTTTAATAACAACAAATAATTATTGAATGCAATTATGTTAAAAGTGAAGTCCCAATTTGGCACATTTGCTTCAACACGGAAAAATGAAGTTAGATTTGTTGCCAGTGTGTCCCCTGCATGTTGAGCACCAACATGTAGCTTCTTCATCTCAGATATCACCTGCTGCTGCTGAGGTTTAGGTACAGATCAAACCAGCGATTTATGACTAAATATGAATATTTTCAATGTGGAAAAGATTTGAAACATGTTTGAATACATGTTTCAAATCAGGACAGCATTCTGTGGCTGTGACCCGTGAATTGAGCTCTGAGAATAGAATTCCTCCCACCTGAAAGCTCCTGTTTGATGAAGGACAGCACGGCCAGATAAACCTGACAGTCTGCGATTATGATTTGTCTCTGAAGTCGATCCACTGCGGCTGCTCCGGACCGCTGCGAGTCCATCTACACACACACACACACATTACCTTTCTAATGTCAATGATAAAAGACATGATTGTGTGCCTTTAGCTCATTTAGACTGCCTTTAAACTCACGCTCCTCTTGAGCTTGTTCTTGATGCTCTCGATGACCCCAGAGTCGCTCTCACAGAGTCGCTCTGTGGCCTTCAGGTCCTCAAAGGCCATCTGCATCTTCTCCTCTTCAAAAGTCATCATGGCGTTCTGAAACCACGCCGCAAGCAGAACCAATCAACATCCTTGGAGTGGGAGAAAGCTCCTCATTGTTTCAGGTGTATTCAGTACGAGGAATAAGTTACAATCTAAGAATATTCTTGTTATTCTAGTCTTGTGTGAAGTGAACTTTGAGTCTAGATTGGAGCCGTCATAGTCAATTGGTTCGAGCTGATTTAAAAAAAATTAGTAAGCAACACACATTTTTTTGACTACAGATTTTTTAGTAAAAAAGGTATCCATTGTTTTTTTAGTTTTTTTTTTTAAGTCCAAATATTTTAATTGAACAAAAATAGAAACAGCATTGGAGACTGAAGGATTTTTAATGAAAATATAACTAATTATTTGAATTTAAAATGAGGTGGTCTTATGTTTAATGTTGCAGAATTAGAAATCATATAAGGGGCATGGGGGGAGCTCAATTGGTAGTGCATTGGCCTTTGATCCTGAAGGTCGTGGGTTCGAGCCCATCAACGGACCAACTCCAGCTGCTTCCACTAATGTCTGCTGTCGTTGTGTCCTTGGGCAAGACACTTTACCCCACATTGCCTGAAGCTCCGGCTGAAACACGAGGGCTGTGGCACCACTGATGTAGCAGCCATCTTCCCATGGACCCACCACCTGCAGAGGATCAGGGAGGGACTGCTGCTATGAGCATTGGGTGGCACCTCTGATTGTCACAATTGTCAATTGTCATTGAAATTTACAGCACTATTTGCACATAATGCCATGAAATTGTTACAAAACACTATGAAAAACTATTGAAACTACTAATGAGACCACAACAACACCATTCCCCCGTTTTGTGCCTGGACTGGCCTCCTGCCCATTTATTTCCACATGGGAAGATCATCAAAACTCATTAGAGGACAAAAATGCAACGTGACTTTTCTAATTCTTGTGGAATCAGCACAAACATGGACACACTCGACTTACCAGAAAACTGACAAAGCTGGCGCCAAAGCTCATCAGAGGACTGCAGCTTCTGAAACGAAAGCAAAACATGACAACAGTGAAACTTGGGACCTGGATTGATAAATGTACACAGAAAGTAAAAGGAGCGTACATCAGGTTGCTCTAATGTTAAATCCCTTTTGCACACATGATAAATATACCTCATTGTGAACATGAGAACGAGCTACAACACGATGTTAGTGGAAAGGAATGTGAAGGAGCCAGTTCAGGCCGGTGGTAACTCAGACCAAATCACACACAGGCTCAATCCTATAGTCCTCTGATCACAGTGGGACAGTGTTCTATGTGTTGTGCAATATTCAAGGCCAGTGTCAATCCTGTGGTGAGCAATACATATATTATTGCTGGAAGCTTTGGAGTTGTTCAGATCTGTCATTTTCACATTTGTATTCCTCTGATTTGGCACAATGTTTGAAGAATTAGATGAGCGTATCTCTGCACACATGCAACCATTAGTCCTCCAAATCTAGTTAATATTATTCCTGTAGCTGAGGTAAGAAAACAAAACAATATTTGCTTATATTATCATTTTGGTGTACCTTGATTGTAAAGTTGAGGGCAAGATGAAGTTCTCAAGGTCCTCGCAATGAAAAGCAAGTTCACTTCAGTTCTCAGTGTTATTTCCTCTTAAGTCGCTCGTGCTGTTACTGCCACATGATTTCCCCACATGTACGGAATGAAATGTGTATGGTGGTGTGGTAAGACATGGCAGGCAGCTGTACAAGCGTGTGTACGGCCATCTCTTCTTGTCCATTATTAATTTTGGCAAAAGAGTTTTATGACCATTTTAACACAATTGAGCATTTCTCCCCTTGCTTGGTTTGAAAGTGTTAGACATTGCAAAATATAATATGTGGAACCACAACTGCCGTCACGTTTTTCATCAAACCAGATATTTGTTTTGGAACAGCCATTCACATGTAACAGCGGTTTTCACCCAGTGCATCTTCAAATCTAAATCAAATGTATTTCCGTACGGCCCACATTCACAACACCTTCAGAGCATTGAGCCAGTGCTGACCTCAGCAAAAGGGCAGGATGTCCTCCACAAACAGGAAAACCTCAGCTGTAGTCTTCCCCGAAAAAATACATGACATTTGTAACTAGATGTAAAGCAACTCGTGAAAACAAAAGGGATGCAAAGAACTGTTTAGTTTAACATTTTGAATGGCGAGTTTATGAAATATATATATATTACGCGCACACACAATAACATTTTCCATTTTTTATAAATTAATTACAGTATTAATTGTGATATATTTTGTGTAAGGGTCCCTCTTTTTTCGTAAATTTTTGAGCCAAGTTATTAACCATAAAACTATCAGCTTAAGTTGTACAGCAGTAAAGACATGAAACAATCTACAGAATACGACATTATGCACTTCTTCAAACTTCCTCATTATGGCGGCTGCGATCGAAACCCGTAGCGTTCAGCTTAATTAACACTGACATTTATGGTGTCACCGGGGGCTCGGGCCCCTGCGTCCCCTCAGCTGACGCTCAATCACACACTAATCCTTATTCTGCTGTATATTGATTATCATGATCATTATTTCACTGAGACTAAATGTAAAATATTAAAGCTGGTACATCTCTTTTCAAATTGTATAGTGGTGTATTTGTTGTATCCAGTGTACATAGGTTTGGACATTATCACACTCTTAAAACAAAATAAAATGTAACTGTAATAAAGTCTAGTTCCTTGCTCTCAAAATAGTCACTAGTGCATGTATCGTTTGGCCTCACTCAGCTTCTTCAGACAGAAAAGTGAAAAAGAGAGGACCACTCACACAAAAGCATCAAATAGTCTCTGAAAGGCCTCCTACTTACCGTACGAAAACATTGTCTAATGAGATAAATGAGACAGCATGTAGTGATATCATTGGTCCAAAACATTTTACTTTTACTTTTGGTTATGACAAACCAAAGTTAGGAACTCCAGCTTTAAAAATTGGAGGTTCAAGGTTTCATTCCATTCTTTATTTTGTATTTAATTTTTCTAATAAAGAGCATGTTCAAAACTAGGAACTAAGCGACTGGTGTTTGGGGTGTGAGTATTTGCTTGGGGTTATTTACACAGGATCAACTATACTTGTGACTGGATCATACGGTGTTACCATGTGGACAAGCGTGACAGAGATGTTTAGTACACCACACAGCTTAGCCAAACTAATGCACCATATCCACCAACATCAATAGGACAGAGAGAATAATAATTTAGACCATTATCATGACAACAGAGCAGCCAAATGAAGAGGTTTAAGTAAGCACTCACTTTCTGGACGTAGATTTTGTGTGTCTTCCATTAATTTCATGATTATCAATAGTATTTGTATACACATGAATCATATACTGTATAGAGGTGAGAGCTACTGTTATGACTAGAACAATAAACCATAGCTTTCAATAATGGTCAACTTCTTCAGTAACTCATAAACACAAATGTGCGGATGGATGTGAGAGCAGTACATACAAAATTACAGGAAATGTCTGTTGTGCATTAGGGGGTTCTCAAGTTAGTAGATTCACTTCAGCTTTTTCTGGATCAAATGGACATCTATTCAGACAATTATTAGTTTTGATTACACGAACTAACTAAAATGACATCAAAACATCCAACCTACTCTTTAAATACACATAGTTCTACAGTAATTTCAACCTTTTCTTGAAACTCATTTTACATTTTCGATAAGATTTGATGATATGGCACACAAAAAATATGTTGGGCAAAAAATATGACAGTCTGAGCCGACGTAATATTATTTGAATTAAAAAATATATTATTGGTTACCACAAACCTGCCAATCTGTTTCAGTATTTCCTGGTTTAGGGTCAGCACATGGCAGATCAGAAGACACAAACCTGTATGCTCTGAACAGCTCGTCACTTTCCTTGAAGCCATTGTTGAGAAGCATATTGATCCCTTTGAGAGCCAGCCCAGTCTCATCCAGCTCTTTAGCCGGGTCTTCCTCCGCGCTGCTGGGGGCTGCTGGATCCGCCATGGAGCTCTCCCACACCGGCTAACAGGGCTGAAGGAGCACGGCTTCTGTACCGCTTTTCGGGGCTCTCTCTTCAGACAGAAAGTATCGCCATGTTGACAGCGCGCTGATGTTACTACAGTGGTTCAGACAATCAACTTACAGTGTTGTTGAAGCTAAGGCTGAGATCACGTGGTCCTAGCGCCGCGTCAGAGACTTTGCGCGGAGGAGATTACAAGCGTCAAAACTGCAAATATCTAGCTCTAGTCTTAAGTTATTTATATTATATCACTGACAGCGAATGTGATACAGACCAGTTTATATAAGCCTTATAGCCATGCATCCACTCTGCATTTGTATCATTGCTGTGAAGGTTGTCTGTTTGCATAGTTAGCATCTCTCCTTTAAACACTCTCTGGTCGCGCTCTGGTTTTGGCGCAGCTGGCTTTGACAAAAATATTCATTCATATGTGTACGTGTGTGTCGTGGATCTATTATAATAACGGTGTGTATGTGTGTGCGTGTGCGTGTAATGTATTATACCAGAGCAGTGACAACCTATAATTAATAATGACATGATAATAATTACACTATTATTTATTTCTGAAATACAGTCGCTTACTGTAGTAGTCGATGCTCAATTTCCTGAATAAAAATAACTAAAGTTAGTGGAAAAGCGAATTTTATGGCTATGAATTAAGAGTAAATGTCCAATACAATGCCATTGGAAGTTATTCTAAAAAAAAATGCTTCATAATTTCAATCATTTGCGAAGAAACAGTACATGAAACTTTGGCCCTGCCCGTTCATACCAGACTCAACTTTAATTCAACAAAACAACGAAGTTTGTGGAATTTTTGAATGACCCGAATCTGGAAAGATTATTTACACTTGGAATGGACATACAACAAAAATCAATTGCCAATTCTGCAATCACTGTTTGCTAACATGTCTAAGTAAACATTAATTGGAGAGAGTAGTTATGTATTGGATTGCTGGCCCCAAATGTCACAGGTCCGAAGACAAAACTGTGGAAACTTTGGATACCATATCAGATTCAGACGTTAAAATACTGGTTACTTTCTGTAGAAAAAAAATCCGTACATGCACGTAATGCCAAAACATAAGGAATGCAGAAATTAAATCAATTAAATGAAATCACCACAGAACAGCTTATTATAACTTATACAAAAACATGCAATGATGTCAAGTAGCATGAAGATCCAGTGGTTTGGCAACCTTCTCATGTTGCTTCAACACAGGTTGGTGTAAACTGGAGTCATTTACTCCAAACTCAAACTCAAACAATGTCATCAAAAATCATGAATGTTGAACTTTATATAGCACCACCTGAACGATCATGTGCTGTAAAGTGCGGTTTTGCCCTGACAAATCACAATCCATTTCTTTAGCACTGATTGTCAATAGAGTGAACGAGCCAGTAAGTCACACAGCAATGAAATACATGACATAGTGCCCATAACGAATTTCATCAGAAAATAAATAGAAAACAAAGCTTAAGAGCAGCAGGCGACTTCACACATCCATCCCTCATTCACACATGGTCCACACACAGACGGCCCCCGGATCATTAACAATCCTTATCCTTCCTTCAGGTCCTCGTTCTTCCCTCTTCCTTGTAATTACCTTGATGACATTACAGTACATTCCACCTGGATGGCTTTGAAAACATCCCATAAAGGTCTTACATTTCACTTAAGAAAACCTCAAGCTACTTTGTCTTAGAAAAAAAAAACAAATTAGAAAGAGCAAGGAAAGATAAGGAATGAGGGGTATTTTCTGATTTCGAAGGCAGCCACATACTCTACTTATCACAGGAGCTCTCATACAAAGACATTCTCTTTTGTTGGTAACAGATTGCACTTGGTGATGGGCGTGGTCCCAAAGTTTGCTGATGAACAGAGCTGTTGTGTCATCCTGCGGGGCATTCTTTGAGGTTGACTGAACCGACCACAGCAGAGAGTCTGTTAAAAAGGACCGGCTCACTGTTGATGGTCATGTCGTCGATGCAGCCCACGAAGGACGCGGAGACTGGGAGAACGTGCTTTCTACTCAGCTCTGCAGACAGAAGGGAGGAGCTAGCCATTATTAAAATGTAATTAAATGTATATACTTGTAAAAGAAAAGAGAGCTTGACAAATTAACACTTGTAGTAGGCACATGTGCAATACAACCGAGAAATCTATAATAATTTAGATATTCATTAATATAATAATTTTAATGAATACATTTTCTCCTGTCTGTACACATGTATATAATAATGCATCATCATAATATAACATAATATATAAAATATGAACATTCAACCAATGTCAACAAGTTTTATTTAAGGGCCAATTCTGTTTTTTATTGTTTTGTTTTCCCTATGATTTGATTATAATTCTAAATCTAAATCTAATTCTTGTGTTCTTATCTGCTCTTGGCAAAATAACAATACTGTGACAGCCTTTCAGACGACTGCTGTAGGGATTTTTGGCAACACAAAACTAAATGAATTTCATGATTTGAGTTGAAACATTATGTAAGAAACATCTTTGCACCATCACATCAAAACTATCACAGGAATTGTCTGGGTCTGTTACGAGGTAAGGATGTAGAAGGCTTTAGAGGACGATAGAGTTTCTTTCAAATAGAGTAGTTTTTAAATGAAATCACCCATAGAGGGACGGAAATTTAGAAATGATGCATCTAATTTAAAACTATATTTGAACTTCACTTTGAGAAACAGTGATGTATGAAGCATACCTGCGTCAAACATCAGCTTCCATGATTTTATTTAGTAAAGTAAATAGTAAATCTAAAGGCAATGTTGAATGTATCACGTACCAGGAATGCCGCCCACGTAGAGGGGGTTTTTGGTCAGAGGTGTGATGGATAAAGGTGGTCCGATCTTGTAATTATCCACCGTGTCCACATGAAGCTGCACAACGTTTTTCCTCTTGATCACTGAACAAAAGACACTTATGTAAGCGAGCAAATGAAAAAAGCCACTTCTGGGTAAATAAATCTACTGCGCTCATGATTCTACCTGATATTTTATGAAACATCCCATCACACAACGTGCTCTTTGGCTTAACCGACACCATGAACTCCCCTTTGCCATTAGTTACTTTTGCCACAACCTGCAAAGAAAACATACAGTAAAATATGAGTAGAATAATACAACTGTGAATGAGTCGACTGAATATAAGCTGGATTACCTCACTTTTTCATACATTTTCTTTGTCCCAACAAAAAGAATAAGATAAGAAAAATAATAAGAATGTGCTTGTATCTTATTAGAATTAGAGAATTTGGTTCTCTCTTCTCCACTGAAAAAGCTGATTTTTTTGTACTTCAGATGTTTTTCTTGTTTGTTGTACTGTATTTTAATATGTAGCACTTTGAGATTTCCTCGAAATTTAGTGTGCAATATGAATACAATTTATTATTATTACTTTTATTATCTAAAGATGTGACAAGAGGCCTAAACACTGAAAACTAGTGACAGAAATGTTTTGAGAGCGAGCAACAAGATGGATTTTAACACATAGTTCCATTCTGTGAGGTTTGAAAGTTAGGTACCCAAGCTTTAATGACAAAATAGCACTTCAAAAACTGATCAAAAATAAGGTGATAAATGTTTGAACCAAGTTAAATTTGGTCTTTAATCAAGATTTTCCAAAAGAATAAACAACAATGTCTTAATTCAAGGGTGGATGCATTTTTTTGTCATTCCAAGTGAGGCAGACAAAAATGTAACTTATTCCAAGCATTTATTTATTTTACTTTTTGTGATTGTTTGCAGCGCATATATTTGACAGTGGTTACAGATAGATACTTATGATTCTTACCTCTCCTCTGAGCATATAGACCGAGAGGGAGTGGCTGGTGTCCCCGCCGTATCTGCTGGGTTCCCCCACGTACAACAGTAACCCAGAGTGACTTCTGGGTCGAATGTTAAACAGCAGCTCGAAACTGGAGCCCAAGACGAACGTGTCATCTGGTGGACATGAATATGAGCAGTTATTAAGCATGATTTTGTTCAGTTTGGACCATACATACACTTAAGATGATTAACTTTGGCTTGTTTTTAGAATATGTCATGTTTTAGAATATGAAATCATTTCCTAAGTGGAAAATATACTGATAAATTTGTATGATGGATAAAAGAAGCGGATTATTGAATTCTGCTTTTGGTCTAAGAATTTGTCATCTTGTACCAAATGGGAGAGCAGAAGGGTCGGGGGGATTTGTTTGTAAATTGTGCCAGATATTCCTAGAGATTATTAGCATGGTTGAATCTAAAAACAACTCCAGGTACGTTTTTGAAACAATGTGACATAAGGCGTTTTTGCACTGCAGCAACCTTTTTCAGTCCCTGGTACTTTTTTTCCTATTTTGAAAGGGTTCACACACAAAAAGAACTTGGGAAAGGCACCAGACTTTGGGGACTGCTCTGCCCTGAAGCTGGTGACAGGAGCAACAAAGACCTCGCATCTTACAGATGTTTTTCGTCTCAGGTTTATCTACAACTATTGCGCTACAGAATCCACATGAACTTGTACAAACAGTAGATTTGATAAGAAATATCACACACTTTTGATCAAGGTGTAACTTCTCAACAGATATTTGTGTTTGTGCCAAAGTAAATTCTTCTTTGGTCATATAGAATTATGAATGTGTAAATCTACTATCAAATATGTGAATATATGTTCCCTATTCCTCCATTCAGCCACTGACATTGTTGTTGTGTTAATGCAATCAAAAGGAACTGGGTGGTTCCTATGAGGCCATATTTGTGGATAGAGACCTGGCACTAATGTGTGGAAACCTTTATTCAAAACTCAAAATACATCATGTTGAGTATCACAATACTAAGACTAATATTAATATTAGCTGTGTACTATAGTAGGTTATAGTATAGTAAAGTAAGTAGTACTTACTGACTATGACATGAGCACCCCTCCCTGAGAAATAGGCCCCCTTCTGCGTTTGTCCCTCAAAGCAGGGCCCCGCGCCGTGATTGGCTGAGGGCTCCGTCATTGATGCCCCGTTCATTTTGAAGTTTCGAATGCAGCCGGACACACTGTGCTTTGGTAGAGCTTTAGTCTGAATTACAGAAACAATAAATACAGAGATGAATGCCACACTCTACGAAACTTATAATAAATACACAGAGTGGCTTTATACTGACACATAATTTAAACATGATATTGTACGATACCCAACAATACTGTGAATTGCACCTTCAGTTGTTGATGGAGTCCTTCAGGTACACTGCCCAAGTAAACAGGAGACATAAACTGCTGCATGGACGTTAACTCTGCACTGGTGAGCTGACCGTCCAGGGCTCTGATGCCATCCACAACCAGCCGGAACTTTTTCTTCTCCAGACTGAACATGACCTAAGAAAAAAAAAAAAAAATCTCTCAATCAATACATTCTCATACTTTATATATGTTTCTGAGCATGTGATTAAAAGAAAAGTACTGACTGAGTGCCACTTTCCGTCATTGTACTTCTCTCGGTTGAAGATCTCCTTCTCTTTGGCCACAGACAGTCTGATCCTGCCCTTGGACATGTAGAGAGCGAGGTGAGCACGCCCCCCTCTGGTCCCAGTGAAGAACAGCAGCCCCTCATGAGATCGAGTCTTCACATCCAGAGAGAAGTGCGGCCTGGAGGACACACGAGTGCTGATTGTCTACAGAGCTCCTCATGATCAGTGCACAATGAAAAATATTAAAAATGTAGTGTGAGAAGTTTTTATCTTGGGCTCAGAAGGTTTGAATGAGATTTGCCATAAGAATAAGAACCTTTATTCATTTGTTTCTTATTTAAAATGACATTTTGTACTTTCTCTATTAGCATCTTGTGCATTTAAACAAATTGACTATTTGACTTAAAGCTGCCTTATCTTACTTTGTGGGAGTGTAGTGTCCACTAAAAATGCAAATCTATTTAAAACCTATGACGATGTTATATCACCTTTATGTTTACAGTCCATGTATCCCACAAATGGAAGTGAACCTAACACTTAATTTAATAAAGTAATTGTAGTGTATCTGCTGAGATTTTTAATAAGCAGAACATTTAAAACATCAGTTTTGACCTTATTCTTGAATGTCAAGCTCCTTCTGGTCCACTTATTCAGTTTTGTGCAGTTTGAGAAAGTCTTTGTTTGAGATTTACAAGTTTAGATTTACAATCCAGGCTTTTTTTTAGTGGTGGCATTTTAAGGGATGTTGAGTGCTGACATTCATACACATGAGCCATGACCTAAAACTAGATGAATGCATTATATGTTGGCCTTGGAGCATAGGTTGAGCAGATTTTCTAAAGACAAAATGGGACACTGTGTTAATATTCTAATCACAATATCTATATGATTGTATCATAGCAATGTACATAAGTTAAAACGGCTTTATAAATATGTGTATTATTTATTTGCACAAAATTATTATGCACTAGTCTTTACGTACGTTTTTGTGTGCTTTTCAATCATTTTTTAATCACTGGTATTAAATAATCACATTGTATTCTCATTCCATAGATGGTGGGAAATCTGGGAATCAAAATAATCAAAGAAGTCAAATACCAGGACATGCTGGAACAAGGACAGGAGTCTGTGTCCAAATTCATAATAAGGACTCCTTTCTCTTTCCTTCAAGGAATTAAAATTGACCTAATTAGCACCTCAAGAATTTTGAAAAACAACTCAAACTCTTCTTTTTCAAAGGACAAGAAAGGATAAGAAAAGAGGGATTTATTAAAATCTGGATGTAGCCAAGGACAGTCACAGGCATAGTATAAAGACATAATGGTCATCCTAAAATTATTCAAAAAAACAAAATGCAAGACCTCATTTGAGTTTGTGTGTGTGTGTGGCTGTGTGTGTGTGTTTGTTATTTTGCTGTCATGTGTATTGTTGAACAGTATTGAATCTTGAATCATAATTTTAACTTGAGACAAAATTATCTTTCTGAATTATCCAATCCTTTTTCAAACTACCTTTTCCAACAAACAAAAATCTGTGAATAATTGTTTATACGTCTGGTGCATGTTTGAAATGTATAAACAAATAAAAAGGAAATGAATTACACATGATAACTAAAAGCATTATGGTATAAGTACAGTATTTGTGTGTCCTCTGACCTGGGCTGCAGCACCTGTAGCGGGAGGCTGTAGGTAAGCGAGCTGACCGGACCCCCGAGGCGGTACGCGTGTGGGACGGTGGTGGGCAGGGCACAGGTGAGAGCGCTCTCGTTCACCACACGCTCCACCACTTCCTCCTACAAACAGCAGGACACAGCAGCGTTCACAAAAACCAAACAGGCATAAATCACACAGACGTCACAATAAAACTGTCTCGTAAAAAAAACAACGGGGAACCACAAAATGATGGATGGAAATAAGTGAGGAAATGTCTGGATTCATGACAGGAATAGTGTGAATTCAGACACGTAAGTAATGTGTGGTATCTGTGTGTTTAAATATATTTGAGGGGTGGATTGCTAAATGTTTGTCAAGCAACTAAATAAATCTGGGCTTCGCAAGTTGACTTTCACGAGCTGAATTTTTTGGCTTTGGACCAACCTCAACACCAGCCTCAGCTACATACAGTATATACAACACCCAGCTTTATCTACTACTAGGCAGAACTAACCATATATGAACTTTAAAATTACAAACGAGAGAGGTATGGGCAAAGTACAGTATACTGTTAATCTGGATTACTGGTAAATCATTCACAAAAGGAAAACATATCTTACACACCATAAAACTCAACGCTTTTCTGCGGATTTTAAATGGACAAAACACTAGTTCATTCCACTTTTTAATACTGCAAATGTGGAAAAAGGTATGAATGGCAAGGACATGGGGATAATGATGAAATGGTGATATATGGAATTGCTTGAAATGCCCAGTATTTAGAATGTCAGTGAAGTGGTCCAATAGCTTCTTGCTATAGTTGTTATTGTGTGAAATGTCGCTCAGTTTAAGATAAGATAAGATAAGATGAGCTATATTGATCTCACACTTTTGGCATAGATAGAATCACTCAGATTGTGCTAAAGACAGAAGTGTGCAAACATGTAAAAAGGTAAAAAATATAGTCTGTGCAGGATATAATTAAAGAAAGCAACATTCATTAATTATGGATGATTTTAGTGCTTGAAAACAATATTTTTCCAGTAAGAATCTCCTTTAATATAACGTGTAATTTAGCAGAGTGAAGTTACATGTTTTTTTTTCAATGTAAAAGTAAAGTTTATTAACAAACTGTACATGTCCAGGCAATAACCGAGGCAGTTGAGGAATGCACCTATAAATGTTATGTATTGTGCTTGTGCAACTGTTCAAACTGAAAAGGGGAAATTGCTTTTTTCCTTTAGTTGTCAGTCATTTTTGGTTGAAGTTAATGTGGTTGGAGGAAAAGAGGGGAAATGAATGATAGACATGAATGGGTTAAAACACAGGTGGATAAAGGGGCGTTCACATCTGAAGTAGATTCATGGTCCACTACCACTGGTCACAACACTTCATTTAAACAACAAAATCACTGCTGCGTTTGTGTCTGAAGAGGAAAACCTTTGTCCGTCTCACTGTACTTTAATCATTTCAGAAATATGAACACGCCCTTAGGGATATATTTATCAATCCAGGTACAACTTTTAATTGTTTAGTTCTATAGGACATAAATAAATCAGTTTTCTCCAATGTTAACATGTGCTTATTACTTTTGCACACACATAAACTGTTGATAAATATACCCTTCAGTGTATTATGAAAGTGATTGTTAAGATGCACAAAATGGTAGAGACAAAAGGCTGGCATTTGGTTCTCCGGCCACATTTTATTAGAAATACGACATTGTATTACAAAATAAACATTTATGTGCAATCTGTGCTATAGGTGTCCTGGTCGGCACCAGTCGGTCTGCTTCACCTCTGAAAGAATTGAGCAAAAACACAAACATTGTCAACAATTATTCACAAAAGGGACCGTTCAGTTACAGGTGCATCTCAAGAAATTAGAAAAGAAGAAATAGTACGATGACAATGGCTTACAAATCTATATTTTATTTTTGTTCTAATTAGATGAGATGCACCTGCTTTTTAAATAGCCATCTATGATACAAGTCCTACAATGTGAAATCAACTATTAGAATGATTATGACAGAATATGAGCAAAAATCGTAAATCATTTTATTGTGGAGAACCCATATCAATGCTCACTTTGTTGGGCGTGCGGTCGAGCATGAGCTGGGCGGGGCTGTGAGCACTGCATACGTCCAGAAGAACGTCTCCGTTGTAACTGAACTCACTCAGATCCTCGGCTTTGTACAGATTCTCAGGTCTGTGTGCAAAGGGGAAAGTGCAAAGGATGATTACTATTAGTGTAAAGCAAATCTCATTCGTCTAGAAGTGATCCATCGCTCAAGTTTCAGCGTACAGATGCAGTTGACTCCCGTTCTGAGCTGGAGTTAGAGTAAGGACAGGTCTAAGAGGTCTGAGGGAGTTAGCTCTGAAATATACTGCCGTTTCTAATCCTTTTTACATAATCTTATTTTTGTTGTCTGTTCTTGTGTAATATGGACTCGTTGTGTGTCTGAATTAAAGACTAAATAAATGAATCAAATAATTACACCTCCCTGCGCTTGTTCCATCACTTATATTGTCATTATAATCCTCGTGTTAGCCACTCTTAAGTAGCGGGGAGAGGTATAAATATAATAGTTTGCCTTAATTTTCTAGAATTCTATTTCAATATTTGGCAGTGATTCAATTCCAAAACCCGCCATAACATCTAAAAGTCCTTTCTCATAATTCATTTTTTTGAATATTATTGTGTTGCTTCTAGACAGGCCTCCTCGCTGACAATGTTTAAAACCAGGTTAAAGACAGTTCTGTTTAGCTGTGCATACAACTGAGGGATTTTATATTTTTGTCTTTCTTTTTAATGTTCTGTGATTATTTATGATTTTAATGCTGTCTTGTTTTGTTCAGCACTTTGACTTGCCTTGTGTATGAATTGTGCTATATAAATAAACTTGCCTTGCCTTGCCTTACCTTTATGAGAAAATAATAAGATCATAATTGATATTTATTGTGGAATTTATCTGGAACTTTATCTGGAACGTGCGGAATAACAGAGAAATTAGCTCCTAACTAAAGAGAAATATCACTTTTAATAGTCACCATAGTTACCAACAAAGCACTATTTTAAACTAAAGGCTCTTTGGAATGTTGTGATGTCACATTAGCGTAACCTATTGTTTAAATGCGGTAGAAAAGACAGTATTTTAGAGCTAGCTCCTCCCTCTCGGGCAGGACTAAAGTGCGTAGTTGAATTGTGTCTGTGCCCAAAGGAAAACTGCTATTTATAAAATTGTATGTACTTTATGATACTGAGTGGATGATCTCACCGTCTCGTGTACAGGTTTGTCACGCAGCCTTTGAACGTGTCTTTTCCCAGCACCAATGCACCGTTTGTGTTGGGGATTGTCACGCTGCCGCTCTGCTCCTGGCCTTCGTCTTCGTCATCGATGAAGAGCACAACGCTAAGAGAAAGAAACAGTTGTCGTTGGTTAAACTTTGAACATCACCTCACTTCACCAAGCCCAGAAAGTCAGTGAAATATTGTTTTTTTTTGTGCTAATGAGCTACTAAAAACACCTGGTAGAAAGTCCATATTCAGACACTTTTTCATGTTTATCCAAATGTTTCTTTTCTTGGACTATTCCACAGTATGGGATTAAACTTTGGCATGATATTTTACATTGGAGTCAAGTCCCAAATCAAGGATGATGAGCTGACGCAGTGTAAGAATGCAGATTTTTGAACTGTTTTTACTGTATTCATTCATGTATAAGTGTTATGCCTTTTGGAAATAGATTCCAAGCTAAGCAATAATATCTCCACGGCAACAAGCGGACAGCAAAGGGAAAATTTTAGCATGTAACATTCAAATGAGTGTTTTCTCTTACATTCCTGCTCTTCTAGTGACCGTTAAGTAATGCCACTGTCCGTCGTTATACTGTTTGTTGGAGCGCCACTTCCTGTTGTTGAATGCAAGCGTCACGTAGCCGCCTTCAAGCGCCAGATTCAAGCCATTAGCCTAAAAGAAAAGACAATGTAATCAGCCAACATAGAACATTCATATAAGAAATGAAAAAAGCACTGACTAGGTTTTTGTTCTGCAGAATGAGACCCTGGTTCTCGGTGCTTCTGAATCCCAGGGAGAGCGTCACGTCTGTGTCCAGAGTGAAGCCGGAGAGGTCAGCGGACAAAGAGCTGCCCAGGGTCACCTCGGCTTTACGGGAAACCTGGCAGAAGGCAGAAGACACTAATTACATTGCAATTTTGTATAGTGTTGCTTTTGCACCACATGCAAACTGGGGCTAAATTCGGAAGCGTAACCACGGACACATCAGGTCTACAGCAAGGTGAAGCCAGCAAGAAGTTGAGTTATTTTATTATTATTATCATTATTATTATCATTATCATTATCATTATCATTATCATTATCATTATTATTATCATCATTATCATTATTGTTATTATTATTATCATCATTATCATTATTATTATCGTTATTAATATTATTATTATTATTGTAATTATTATCATTATCATTATCATTATTATTATTATTATTATTATTATATACTTGTAGAGTACAAGTTGAAGTACTTTTTATTTGGCATGACTTTCTCTTTATGTTATAGTTAAAATAATGCTTCACAAAGATCTGTTTCGAAAGATGTGTGACTGGTGGACATTTATAGACTTGTTTTTGTGGCTTTACCTTCACAAATAAAGATTGTTTTCCCGAAGTGAACCAGAATCGGTCCAGTTAAATTGAAACAAATCAAGAATTGGGATTGCGCCCAAAAAACGCCATTAAAACCCCAGATATTCCGGTGCCGGTCTTACCATAGCTTCTTGTGGACATCCTTTGCTAATGCCCACGGCTTCGTCAATGGGTCTAAATGTTCTATCCATCTTCAGGTTCCTCACACACCCTTTGAACGGCTGTGCTGTGACATTGTGCCTAGGGAAACATCAGTCATATTAATAAATAGCCTTCTCTTTCTTCCTGATGCAAAGGTGTTTTCTGACTGCATACATTTCCCGTATGACTTGAGGGACTCCGCCGACATAACATTCGGTGAAGTCATTCAGGTTAAAGTCGGCGTTGGCTTTGACCAGTGTCTGGCTGGTGAAGCGCACAGTGATTGACCCTGTGCTAGTGAAGACAATTGAACCATCTGCCCAGTCCTTCCGCTGAGAATAGGAAAATATATTAACAACACAGCAGTGGCGTGAAAAGAATTGGAAAGTCAATAAAAGAAACATACGGGGAATATTTTGGATTCAATGTAAGTAGGAGTCCCTTTGAGAGCGTTGCTACGGAGCCGCACCACACCCTTTTCGATCGTCATGGCAAAGTATTTCTCCTAAACGCAAAACACAAATGTGAAATCCTTTGTTTGGTTTGACATCTGCTAAACCTTGTGCTTAGTTCAAAACATGCTGGAAAATGTGAAACTCTGATGCTCAAATAAAATAAATAAATAAACAATTCCTATTTTTGCTCCTGAATAATTAAAATAAATACCTCGGTTCCAATGAAAAACAAAAGTCCGTTTTCGGATCGGCTCAAGACAGATATTTCAATAATGATGATAGTTCCGGTTTTACTTATAAACAGTTTTCCGTATCCAGTGCCCTCGAAGAAGTCAGACTCAGGAGTAGGGACTTGTCTGTAAAACAATAAACAAATGTAACATCCAGCAAATTAAAAACGAATCATGTATAATAAGAATAACTGCTTACCTTTTGCATGGAGTCTCTGGGTTTACTTTATAAGCCGTTTGGAAGTTATAAAGGCTGATAACTCTGTCATTGAAGTAGCCAAATTCTATGCAGCCCGTATACATGGGGAAATTGAGAGAAGCTGGCGGCTGAGAATAACCATTTTAAGTTTGTGAATTCTATTGATTTGGAAGTACAAAATGTATATTGTCTTACAGTGAAGTTACTGGGGTATCCTCCTACATAGAAAACCACATCATCCGGGCTCAGGTCCAGGAGGTTCTTCTTCTCTTCTCCTTTTGAGGTGGATTCGATCAGGTTTTCTGGAGTTGTTGCCATCACGTCTTTTTTGAGGACCAGCTCTGCGTCTTGGTAGATTCTAAATCACAAGCCAATACAAATTAGATTTGTAAATGAACAAAATCTACTAAAAGTTTTCAAGGGAATAAGTGTAGTGGTGGGAGAAATAATGGATTCTGTTCAGGATCGCGATATTTTGCGCATACAATTAAATCGATGCTGTAGACAGAGTATTGTAAAATTGAATTAAGTCTGTTTCACTTTTTGGTAATTTGCGTCTGAGGTTAATGTTACTCTTTCATGTCTGTTTTTTGTGACTCCAGTCTATTGTATTTTAATAATTTAAGTTATCATTCATGTAAGAGGTCGCCTAAGTTTTTGCACTTCACTTGATGTGGAGACCATAATACACGTGACATTTGAGTTGAGCAGTCCCGTTTTCCTCAATTTTAGTAATGCCTTTGAATAATATAAGGGAAATTATTTAAAATAAAAAGCAGACTTGAATTGCAATTCTTGCTGTATTGCAATATGTTATGATCACAATAAATTGTGGCTCACATTTTGCCAATTCCCACCCCCAAGATGGGTGGTGGTATTTTTTCTTAATAAGAATTGTCCGTGTAGTTTTATGTACCTGTAGAAATACACAAAGCACCAACATTTTCACCATATTTTCACCCCTTACCACAGACATACAACGGGAGACATTTGGGTTTTGTCACCTGCGTAGAACTGCTTGATCAAACTTGGCCTGCTCCGCCATAGATTTTGTGATGTAGCCTGTTTTCATCTTGTACTCCATCCCGTTGAGTTTGTAAACGCCATACAGTATGTTCTCTCTCAAAACCATGCCGATGTAGTTTTTAGAAGACTGTTAAAATGGAAAAAGAGAGATTTTTTGTTAACAGATGCCTATTTTTGGAGCAAATCCAAGATATTAATACAATACATTCCAGATAAAAGTGTAATGAAAAGAGTTAATATGATAATTGCATTCATCGCAGTTTGATCTTACCAGTCTAAATGAATAAGAATCCAGTAACAAAAATAAATACATGATTATACATAAAATGATTAAAATACTTCCGCTTCCAACTTGCTTATCCATGGATACTTAATCTACCTACTATATAGTGAGGATCTTCTGCCTATCATATATTCAGAAATAAAAATCTCGTCTGCTTCATCCAATCCCTTTTATTTCTTTTTTATTTTGTAGAGTTTGAAAAAAAATATAATTGATTGATTGATTTAAGACTATAATGCGATTGTATTTTATATACAATTAATAAAGCATTAGTGCATTAATGCCTGTAATACTCAATAATATTTGTTGCGCTGGTTGGTTGTATCCGAGGCCGTGTGGACTGATGCAAGTAATATTTACAATCATTTTAATACATGATCTTAATTGAGGGTGGAAATACAAGGGAAGACAATGTTCAAAAGAAAAACCTTAACCCTAAACATAATGGATCTCACCAAATGCTATTTATTGACGCTCCCTGACTTACATCTCTGCTGCCGAGGTACATGACGAACAGGTCCTCGGTCCCTTGAACCTGTCTGCGTCTGCGGCTGCCGTCCCCTCCCCGCGAAGGCCTTTGCAGCTGCAGAGACAGAGCGGTGTAGGCCCTCAAGTCCTCCAGGTCCTTGGGTGCTCTCAGTTCCACATAACCGTCCCCATTGAACTTCATGGGGATACCGATCTGCAGGCAAAAACACCCTGGTTGATAACAGCGGTAAGGTTTTTGAAAGTGGAGCGTGAGTGAGATTACGGACCCTGTTGGCGGCGTCCCGGGCCTGTTCGATGAGGTCTTTGATTCTCCTGATGTTCTCTGTGATGTTGCTCAGCGGTGTAAGGTCCATGGTCAGGTTTTCCACTTCGGACATTTTGTCGTTGAGTGTTGGTATTACGTTTAACAAATTTTTCACTGAAAGACAGAAACGTAAGCAGACACTTCAATCAACACTGGTGAAAGTATAGCATGAGGAACATAATAGAAAGATTTTAAGAGTTTAAAGGAAACACTTTTACACCGTTTGTGCTATTCAGAGCAAATTGTACCCATTATTATTCTTCAGAAAACTGCAACCGCTGCAAGCAATTCCTTTGTATACCTATATTTTGTATACAAAGGATACAAACTACTTCAAAATGTTCTTTAGTCTTTCATATATTATTAATTTCAGCTATGACATCTAGGCTACTAAATGGTATGAGGGTGGTTTTTTGGTTTTAAAATCTAACTTCAGAATCAAAGCTCGTATCAGTATCTTAAAATCCTTTATAGTTGTCTGGAAATTATATGTGATCAAACATGAGAACTACTAAAATCAATGACAGAACTAAATAAAATCAAAATATGTAGGAAAATGCAGGGACATGCTTGTGGGAAGCCAGGTCGCTGTATAGAAAGTGTCCTATAGGGTTCACAGCTTTCTGAAATATAATTGTAATAGATTGGTTCATTGTATAATACAGAACAGCAGTATACCTGACTGGTCCACATCGTCCAGGATGCCGCTGCTGTTGGAGTCCACAGGAGAGATGTTGATCTTGTCCAGCTCCTTGCGGATGTCGTCCAGTCTGTCCAAAGTGCTTGTAGCTGTGTTGTTTGCTGCACCTGCTTTTGCCTTTGCGTCTTCTAGCATTTTAGCGACGTCATCTGATCCATACAAGTACAGTTAAATAACATTCTGCATAACTGTAAATATGATTGTCGCTTGTTATAAATGGACGTCCCCATCATCGCGCAGCCTCTACCTCTGTTGATGTCTTTTAAGCTGTTTTGAGCATCCAGAAGGTCGTTCTCAAGAGTTTTCTTTTTTTTGTCAGCCTCTGCCAGCCGGTCCTTCAGATCAGCGATTCCAGCTTTATTAGCTATGAACATAACACTGTGTTAAATATTTCGCCGTTTTTGTCTGTCTAACTTTTGATCTTCATACCAGTATTTTTTTTCTCTGCATCCATTGCATTGCCCAGAAGGTCTTGACTTGTATCTTTCAGGTCTTTTGCTCTTTCTGTTAACTTCTGGTTATTCACATTCTGAAAGTGAAAAGATTTATCACTAGAAAAGGAGTGAATGTGTGGAAAATAAATACAATCATAACACATTTAAAAAGGAATAAATACATTAATAAAGAAGCACTGAAGAAATAAGGGCAGGAAAGAGTGATGCCTTCAGCACAGAGTGACTAAGTGGAAGAGAGATGTAGGGTCGGAGAGTCTTTTGGCCTGTGTCTTGTCTTGTGTGTGTGGGTGCGTGTGGTCTTGTAGTATACCATATGATATCGGATTGTGTTATTGTTCAACTGTTTTTCTTTTGTATGGCGGTTTTTTCTCCAAATTGTTTCCCTTTCAGAACTCTTCTATTTATATAGAAGAGTTCTTATTGTGTTTTTATTGTGTGTTTTAAGGGTTCGGGTCAGTAATTTTTGTATTTGTATAACACAATTGAATGCCAATGAAATTTGTCTACTAAGTATTTTCCAAGACTTGAACCTAGCTTTCTCTTATCCATAGACATTTACTTACATTTAGCGCATTCTCGGCCGCGGCTTTAGCCTCGTTAGCAGCAGCCTCCGCAGCGTTTATAGCCTCCGTAATGTTCTTGTATGCACCAATAGCGTCTTTGGCATTTCGTACTTCGGCCTTGTCGCTGGCATTCTTCACTGCACTGTTTCATGCAAAAACATTAAAAACACATCATTTTAACTCTATCCAATTATTACTATTACCCAAAGTATTCAATAACAAATGTCTACTTACTCTTCAAGTTCTTTAGCCAATTTAGAAAGGTTTTTAGCATGGTCTTCTGCTTTGATCACGATGCCTTCTTGGGCTGCTGCTTTGGATAAATCATTTACCTTCTTGGTTAGGTCCGTCTTTGCCCCATCAAGTTGTGCAGCTAACTTTTCATATTCCTATAATACAAAGCCATAGTTGGGTTATAGCCAGTGCAGGGAAACAGACTGGCTGTTAACAGACTGCAGATTCTTATCATCCGTGGCTTGTTAGGACATGCAAACTCAGAAAAGTGCAACTGGAAATATGAAATAGAGAAAAAAGTAGGGCAACTGTTTGCTGATGACGCAATTTTACCGTTTTGCTGTCTGTTAGCATTTTTGCCAAATCCTCAGTCTTTTTTAGCTCATTTTTGGCCATGTCCATTTGATCCAGAACGGTTTTCTTCTCCTGTTTCAAGGCCTCAATGCGTTTCTGTAGAGATGAAAATAGAAATGAATATGCAACTACTATTGTACATGCATTGAAAAGCATTTTATGGCATCAATTGTCTGCTGTGCTATTAAACGCTGTATCATTAACCTGTAGGTCCTTCAGCTCTTTAGCACTGAGGTCATTCTGGGATGACGCCTGCTTCACACGATCTTCCGCCTTCTTCAGAGCATCCTCCAGATCTTTGAGTTTGTCACCAAAGGTATTCAAAATCTCCTTCAGATTCTTTGCAGTCGCTTCATTCTGGTCACACCGATCGCTCACATTTGCTTTGATATAATCCAGCACTGTACGAAAAGCATATATATAGTGATCTATCGTTTCCACTTTTTTAGCTTGCAGTTTTGTCTTACATTTTTTGGCCTCTTCTCGTTCTTTCTCAGCAGCAGTTTCCTGAGGAGTGAAGTCTCTCTTTTGCATCTCCTTCACCATGCGCTCTGCTTCTTCTAACAGTTTGGTGAGGTTTTCGTTTGATGGACGATCGCCGCTTGTTCCCAATTCGTTCAGCTGGTCAAGCAGGGCTATACAAACACATGCATACATATAACCGTATAAATACTGACTTTCAGCAAATATAAAGCAAATGTTGATTAATTTACCTTGAATTTTCTTGAGAATATTTTTGATATCCGCATCAAGGATCTTCGCTCGCTTGTGCGTCTTGTCAATTTCCACTATCGCCTTCTCAACTGCTGATGCTGTGTTTTTTTCCTGAACAAAACATAGATTAAGAAAAATACTAGTTACTAGGGGTGTGACGATGTATCGTTTTTTTGATATATCGCGATACTTTCTCCCGCAATTCGATTATTGATATGCATTTGCCAAGTATCGATATCGATTTTGGAAAAAAAAAAATGTTTTTTTTAATTGGTACCAATACTTAATATATGGCTACATTACGCATCTCCATTCTATTTATCATGAAATAAAGAGTATTTTTTCTTTTATTTATGCCATAAATTGGCATATTATATATTTCTGACCAATATATCAATAATCGTCATATCGTGATAAAATCGTTATCGTAATATCGTTATCGTGAGCTTTGTAACGTATCGTATCGTGAGGTACCCTTAGGTTCCCACCCCTACTAGTTACTTTGCTTGTTTTTTTTTCCTATCAAATTGTTACCTTGTCTCTCAGGAGGCCGATGTCATCATCCAGAGTGTTCATGTCGTCTTCAAGCAGGGTGATTCTTGGCTTTTGGTTGTTCACTGAAGTGCTGTATTTGTCCACTAGAATCTGTAACGAGTATACAATCATTTTTATTCAATAGTCCGTTGTTTTGTTTTTTCAATGGGAATGCTATTGTGCCTCCTGTACTGGCACCCCCACTCCCAAAAAATAACAATTGTAAACTGCTTTGAGACTCCGATGTGCAGTGAAAAGGCGGTATATAAATAAAGATTACTAAATAAAGATGACTTACTATTGAATGAAAATTAAAATAAACATGAATAAAAAAATGCTAGAAGGATTTACTTTATTCAAATAATTAGACTCTTTATGGTTCAAATTAAATACAACAAAGGCTTCAGAGAGACAAATATGGCCCATATTTGGTTACGTAATGTTTCGTGTATGTACAGGGCCTGAAGGATTTGGCATGTTTTCATATCAGAGCAAATCTGGAATGTTTGAACAAAAAAAACTCCCCAGAAAACATGTCATATGTCTTTTACAGCAGTGGTTGTTGAAAGCAGTTGTTGAAAGAATTTACCTTAGTGTCTGCTATGGCTTTTTCCAGCTTCTTCAGTCTCTCGTTAGAGGATGAAGACGCACTGGCGTTTTGCAACAGAGCTTTGATCCTTTGCAATTCATCATCCAGCTTTTCCAAATCGCGAAGTAACGTCAGTGCGCAGTTGTCACATTCTAAATTTAAAACATATATGTCAAATTGGTAAAAAGTAAATCACTTTTTCACACTTTTTATCCTTTTTGTAATTACCTTTGCACTCATTGTCTGTGTTTGTGTCTCCTGGTTCCAATGTATTCTTACAGACTGAAGCGGTAAATCAAAACATATTGTTAATATATATACATTACAGCTATCAAAAGCAAAATATATATATCCCTACTTCCAGTCCTGGGGTCACAGCTGTTCCCATTTCCATTGCAGTTGCATGGCCGGCAACTTCCTCCGGGAACCACGGGCTCGCCATAGAAACCAGACGAACATCTATGGAAAATGGTTTGATAATAATTATGTTATTTTAAATTTTATATTATCCATTTCTTTTCACACCGATGGAAAACACGCACCTCTCACATCGGTCTCCTGTGTAACCAAGTTTACACATGCACTTGATTCCACCACTGACCTCTTGACAGCCCACAGCAAAACTACAGAAAATAAAGAAATCAATGAATTTGAAAAAGAAAAATCTCATAAAAGCTGGGGTACCTAACTTGTTTTCATAAATAATATATGTTGTTTATCCCAACAGGGTGAGGGCTAGTTAGGTTACAACTAGGACATTGTAATGAATAAATCAGGCCACAACAGGTTCTCTTCATGATATTATCCAAAAACATGTTATCTTGAGCCCTATGGAACGCTTTGGGCTGAGAGGTGATTGAAAAAGTGAGGACCCCATGTTTAGTCACTTTTCTGTCAGGAAGGCTGATCTTAATATGTGACAAGGTATGAAAACTAGTGACAGAACCAAACAGTTTGAGAGCAAATAAGTAGATGGATTTTTATAACATAGTTTTTTGTTTTGTGATTTGAAAGTTAGCTTTAGAGTGACTTGAATACCTGTTGGTGGACACACTGAAGGGGCAGGGACAAACGGTGCATGTCTTTTGAGACGGGTTTCCATAGTAACCCTCTTTGCAGCTATCACATCTGTCTCCAGCCGTGTTGTATTGGCAGTTCTGAAAAGTTCAATCAAGAAAACCATCAGATCTTTTCAGTTATTGACAAGTTTTCAATAACATCAATGAGTTGGGTAATGATACGCCACTACCTCACGGCAAATGAATCAAATTAAATGGGTGTTGAAATAGCTTCATGGTCTAGAGCAGGCATGTCAAAGTCAAATACATCAGAGGGCCAAAAAAACAAATTTGCTGCGAGCCGAGGGCCGGACTGGTTCAATGTTTATTAACTCATTGACTGCCAGCCCATTTCAGAACAGGTAAGTAAGTAAGTAAGTAAGTAATCTTTATTTATATACCGCCTTTCACAGACCAGAGTCACAAAGCGGTTTACAATTGTTATTATTTTTGGGCACTCTCACTCCATGGGAGTGGGGTCGCCAGTACAGGAGGCGCATGCCAGACCTATTTTGCATGTTTTTAGTGGTAGGGGAAACCGGAGTACCCGGAGGAAACCTACGCAGACGCGGGGAGAACATGCAAACTCCACTCAGAAAGGCCCTGGTTCGGCCAGGATTAGAACCCAGGACCTTCTTGCTGAGAGGCGAGAGTGCTATCCACTCAGCCACCGTGCCGCGAGGTACTCCCATATTGCCAGCATGATTTTTATAGATTTTTCAAGAACCACAGAATATTGTGTACTATGACTATCTGAAATCCGAAACCAGATTCTGAAAGAATAGACTCTCTACTTTTATCAGCAAAAAGAATTTTGTTTCTAGCTTGTAATCCCCAGTTGAGTAGAGGGAAGTTTTACTGAAATCACCGGGCGGCACGGTGGCTGAGTGGATAGCACTCTCGCCTCTCAGCAAGAAGGTCCTGGGTTCAAATCCCAGTTGGACCAGGGCCTTTCTGAGTGGAGTTTGCATGTTCTCCCCGTGTCTGCGTAGGTTTCCTCCGGGTGCTCCGGTTTCCCCTACCACTAAAAATATGTCCAATAGGTCTGGCATGTGCCTCCTGTACTGGCCCCCCCACTCCCAAAAAATAACAATTGTAAACCGCTTTGAGACTCCGATGTGCAGTGAAAAGGCGGTATATAAATAAAGATTACTTACTACTACTACTTACCAAAAAGTTGAGAAAATAGAGGCACAAGTGCATCTAGCTGTTTTCAAACCATTCAGAGAGCGCTGCTGCCACCTGCTGGCTCGATTCAATATGCTCTAAAGCTTATCCCCAAACATATTAGATATAATAGACATCTGGGAACATAAAAATAGCGGAAAACGCAATTGACGTAATAGTGCGTCAATAGCAGGCAACGGGCCATGTAAAATTAATGGCCCGTTGCCTTGACTTTGACACATGTGGTCTAGAGACACTGACTAACACTTCATCACGTCATGGTCATAGGCTGTCCAGCTTTAAACTTCATTTAATTTGAACTGGTTTTAATGTTTGAAATGTTAGCTATGCTTACATTTTTGGGCTTCATAACTTTTTGACTTTTTTCCACTATCTTTAGAAAAAAGTGGCATCCTTTCTTGGTACCAACTGAGGCAATTTAACAGCTAATTTTTCCCTTATACCAGAGAGTATGCTTGTTTTATTCACTTAAACAAAAATCCATATTGTGGTTTGAGATGTATATTTAATTGATAACATAACCTAATGTTATGCTGTGTCAAAAGTACTCTTCTAGCAGATTAGGAATTGTGGGTTGAAAAGTTGAAAAGTCTTACCAGGCACTTCCCCGTTCCGTCTTCACACTCTGTGGCTAAACCATTACACCTGCATGGTAGGCATTGGCCCAGGTATTGTCCACTGCCGTCTCTGAAGTAGCCTGGTGCACATTTCTAAATAGAAAAGGGTTAGGTTTAGGGTTAGGGCACATGGTCAGAAGCATATATAGAGCAGGATGTGAAATAGTATAAAAATCCATTATTATATATTTTAGCAGAGTTTAGTTTAGTCTGATCCCCATTAGTAGGACCATATTAGGACCTTGTCCTAGAACTAATCAATTCCTTCACCTGTAAGCTGAAAATGACATTGCATGTGTTTTCACACCGACATATACATACAAAAGGATCAAACTCAAAGAGCAATCCACATGTTGACCTTTGCTTTTAGAGATAACAGTTGTAAAAGTAGCAGCCTGATACACGTGTTCTTGGCATAAACACAGACCCATATTTTCTTACCTGAGTCTGTCCAGTGCCAACACTATCATTCAATTTAGGAAATTGCACTGATTGTCCTGCGTCCGGGCGCGAGGGCCAAAACCACCAAAACGATCCCTGGTCATTCGGATATTGCGGTCTTTGAGCCCACCGATCCGGGTGCCGGCTGTAGCGTCCCCTTCTCTCTCCTCTTAAAAACGGCCTAGTCCCTGCACTGCACAGCCCTAGTAGCATCCACAACATGAAAACTGCTACTGCTTGCTGCTTGCCCATGCTTAGTCTGTGTGATATTGAGCTGTGTTACAATGTGTTGGCTTAAAAAACTCTCCCTGAAGCAAAGGACACACCCCGTGGACAGCAGTACCTGAGTCGGATCCACTAAGCGCTATGACAAGTGTTCACTCGCCCCCGCCTTTATCTCTGACACACCAGACACATTCACACAATTGCTTAAGGTGCCTGCAATTGAACTAGCAGGTCCGCGGCATGCTGTCACAGGAAATCCACCAGGACGGCTTGAATGGAGAGCGTAAGGTTGTGACTGTTAGAGAATGTAATCAAACAGTGCAGTATTTGTACTTATTACCTACAGAATATCTCTGTTGTCTGGCAACAAAGAACATAATGAATCTGTTACTACAAAACTGAAGCGTATACTTTGGTTTTTTTCATGCACAAAATTTGCTATGAAAGAAACATCTATTAATCCATGCCATTGTGGAATATAATGGAAATAAACTATGTTCCAGACAGTTCTTTGAGCCTTTTTTTATTATTTTTTCATTAAAGGACCTCAAAGAGCACCTGTTCCAACATATTATCTGTGATCTGGGTGAGCCCTCCCAGCTACATAATCTCAATATGTCTAATGCATTTAAAAAGAGGCAAAGTAAATTACAAAGAAATAATCATGTAGATATCATTAATACCAAAAACATCTGGAACATCAAGAGCATAGTGCAAACCTCCTATACATGTAAATTGCATGGTGTTGACAGGTCTTTATTGTGGCATTGGAAAAACAAAATTCCTAATGACTGTCTATAGACTAAAATCTACTCTTTTCCGGTTTAAAATTTAGGATATTGTTCTATAATTTCAAAATGTTCTGGATTAATCCCACCTGCACACAAAGAACAATTCACAATTCACAAGTCAACAGAACTCATACGATTGATATGACTGAATTATGTTTACATAAAACGGCTAAGGTGTGGTCATAACACATTAACTTTCCATAATAATAAAGGCTGTTGAAATATTTAGGTGATGTTCTAAGGTGGTGTGGTTAGGTGTTTTTCCTTTTCAAATACATGAGTGAAAAGTCGGCCGCAGTAGACAGCATAGACCGGGGCTTGAATCACTGCGCAGGGCTTGGCTGTGTTAAACGTTGGGTTTATGAGTAACTGAGTGCTGTCGAGCCACACCCGCAGTCAAACAGGGTGTCATGCAGCCTGCAGGTACACAATCAACTTCCTGCCAACACTCCCAGCCCATTCCCTTGCACATGGAGTGATGAGGAACGCTATGGAAACTGATACAACATATTTGATGATTATGAAAGCAGTAACCTGAGGGCATGGTATTTGTCTGTTGATAGTTCCAAGACGGAATTAATTTTGAGTACCAACATTATACTGAAAGAATACACCATGTTCTTATTGGGGGAATGTCGAGTTAAAGCTGGGGTACCTAAAGTCCAAACAACAGAACTATTTCCTGTAATATAAATGTAATAAGTCTCAACACAGTTTGGTTCTATCACTAGTTTTCACACACATGCGTTTTTGGCATCTGTTACATCTTTAGATCAGACAGAAAAGCCAGGACCATCCTTACAAGGCCAATCAGCACTTTCTCACAAGAACGCACATAAGACAAGATAAAGAAGAAATGTTGTGGTCTGGTTTACAGCATTCTAATATTCCAAGACCATTTTTAACAACATGGATCATTTGAAAAGAGGCAATACATAGAAGAAATATTCATGTAGATACCTAAAAAATCTAGAACATCAAGAGAATATTGCAAACCTCCTATAAATTGCTATAAATCTTGATTTTGGCATTGGAAAAACAAAACAGTGGACTATCTTCAACTCTCAACTATTTTCTTGCTTTAAATTTTGGATATTCTTTGATTAAGACAAAATGTTCTGGATTAACATCACCATGGATGAGAAAAAAAAAAGTTAGGTACCCACAGTAGGCAGTAGTTCCTGAAGACTACTGCCTATAAAAAACGATTTTACCCTTCAAGTACCACCATATCTGTGGACCTACTTAAAACAAGTCTATAATAGGACTATGATGATTAAGGACTTCTATAAAACAGCAAACAGCAGAGAAAACTCCATGGAAAGTACCACCAGTGTTACACCAACCAGTTAGAGCAACAATGGAAGTGTCTGAGAAGAAGAATTCTTAGTAAGCCTGTTTAAAATACTGCAATAAAAAGCAGGCAACAGGAAAATAGACAAATATTTTCATTGCTTGCAAAAAAGTGCCATTTAATGTTCTGTTTTAAGATTTGTCCAACATAATCCAAAGACATGCTGGTGTTTTGCTGCTTGTGTGCGACACGTAACCATGTCAGTGATCACAGCCTTGTAATCACTAATATTATGTCTGTGCCTCATATCCCAGCCTGAGGCCAAGCATTTCGGCTGCACGTCCATGCCACCGGTGTTTTCCATGACATTCCACCAACTGCTCATCAGCTGACTTTTTTTTCTTTTCTTTTTGGCTCAAAAGAAATAGGTGCCGCTGTGACGCCTTCAATTCTGGCAAGTCAGGACACCCCAAAAGTATTCCTCTCAGCTATTGCGAGCGCCACCCTGCCTGTTATGTGTTTTTTCACACCCGACTCATCCCACTGCCACTCCCTGCCTCGTTTATATAGATTTCATATTAGCCTGAAGACATATGCTACGAACATAATATAGTAAAAAATACAGGTGTATTCATGCCAGTATTTATGAGTTAATGTCCGGGGAAGCCTTACCTCACAGGAGTCACCGGAGTACTGAACGGGACAGGAACATTTCTCCACAGTGTTCCCAGCGCCTCCTGTCCCACTGTCAGAGGCCTCCTCCAGCCCCACGTCTCCAAGGCTGAGGCGCTGTGTCTGGGTGAAGTACAGAGCTCTGATCCTCAGCCCCACCAGACTGGCCAACACCATCATCAGTTCTTGTCTAGACACCGGCTTGTTGTTACCTGCATGACGCCAGTTTCCCTACAAATACAAAAAACATCTTCATAAAAACATGTGTATTGTGTATTTAAAGTACACAGGGGTCCGTTTTTACCATACTTCACAAAAAAACATAAAAGGTTATTATATAAGATTGTATCAGTGATTTCTCAGTCGATTAAAATGGAAGTGCATTTTAAAAACAACATAATAGGATCTGTATTATTCACCTCTAGAGTCTGCACACGTCCATGGTAGATCCTATCTGGGTTTGGGAGTTGTGGGGCCACATGAATGAGGGTCATACCTCGGCCCTTCGAAGTCAAAATAATAGAGATGAGAAATGAACAGAATCAGACTAAACATTTGGTTGTGATGTTACTTACGGTAAGGAGAACGTCTGGTCTTCTGTCAATCAAAGTCATTCCCTCACTAGGAATGCCAAATGACTTTGTCTGGTAAGTCAAGAAACCACCATAGGAGGAGACCTATAAATATGTTATGTTTGTGTTAGGACTAAACATTTCTATTTTATTTTTATTTTAGCAATAGTTAATCTTAGTTTTTGTTATCCCAAATTGTAACTATAAATGGGTGTCAACACTGACTCTGTTTCCGAGGTAAGAGCGTGGTGCCACCCAGTGCAGCACCCGGACTGTTGGACTCAGCTCCTGGACGTCTGCCACCACGGTCCCACTGGCCGAGTTCAGCACCGAGGGAATGTCCTTCTGATCTGGATTTTCTAGTCGCCAGCCACGCATCTCCACAAACTAAAACAAAGTGACATGGATAAATACTTCAACAATCTAAATATAATGAATGATGTAAATAAACACAATTTGAGGTTCAAAACAGACCTTTCCCCTGCGTTTGGTGGAGCTTTCACACTGATCTGTCGCCCCAAAGCAGAAACAGCTGGTGCAGCCCACAGGATTGAGGGGGTCAAAGTGAAAAGATCCTCCTCGACAGCTGTCACATCTAACACCAACCACATTTCTCTGCCAAAGCATAAACACAAATCAACTGTTCATACAATGTTTCTTATATCAACTTCAAAAACAAGAAAGCATTGGATAGACACTCAATAAAGTATTATTTTATGACGTTTTGGCCATTATAGCCTGATCAGAATTTCTCTTTTTTTGTGGTTAGATGGAAAAATGCAAAAGAATATCTGATGCTATAGTAATGGAAACATCATAAAAATCTGTATTTTTTGGACAGCTGCATTTTGAGGCTACAATGATTTTTTGTTGTTGCAGTTTCCACCTCATCAACCTTGTGGTCTGCTCGTTTTGTCGTGTATACAATTACCGTGATTAAGCGCTGATTATCTTACCTTGCAGAGACATGCACCAGTGTCCGGATCACACACATCGCTGGTGACTCCCCCGTGCTCGCAGTCACAGCGCACACACTGAGGGAACCCATAGTAACCGGCAGCACAGAGGTCGCACTGCCGCCCTCCAATCCTGGGCTTACAACTTCAATATAAGAACAAACACATTTAAGTTAAGATTAAGAGATCCTTTGTCGTCCCACAGTGGGGAAATTTCAGTGGTGCATCACAAGTTACAGAACAGTAGAAATGAGGAGCACACACCACAAGATAAATGAATTATATCTCAATAATAAAACAACATCTCTAACTCTAGCATAAAAAGAAGCAGTATAAAATCACTATATTTAGCATAATAAGGAAAGAATTCTAAAATCTCCAACTTTAGCATGATGAAGAAGCAAAACCTAAAAGGTATACAGTATAGGAGGATTTTCTACTTCCAGGTGGATTATCAAAACTATTTGTCCTCCCAATTGTCAATCATTCTGGCGATACATGCTCGTCAAAACAGGCCAGAGAGTTTTGTTCACAAAGTAGATTTTTCTTTCCTAAAAATTTTGAAAAATCTAACGATATATCTATGTATGAAAAGCTGGAAATTCTACTGCAAGTAAAATATAGTTGTGTGTTTACATTTGTACATATTAGCAGCATGAGGGTATGGGACAAAGTGACTCAGTGAAGTGACAGTAACACATTTGGTTCTATATGTGTCGTTACAGGTGTCAATGTGGCATAACATGTGAAGATGACTATAATCCCACTGACCTGCATTGTCCGGTGGTGCGGTCACAGTCGGAGTCAACGTTAGAGTTAATACCAGTGGGGGAACACTCGCAGCCCTCACAGCCCAGCAGAGGGTGGTAGCTGTAGGTCTGATTTTGACACGCATCACATGAGGGTCTGACGGTCTGAGGAGGGCAGATGCAGCGCCCGGTCACCTCATCGCACAGCCGACGGCCGCATTCGCAAGCTGCAATGAAAGTATGCATGGTCACCCGCAAGGAAATAAACAATGTTATGGTAAAGGCGATGTAGGTTCACCCACGTCTGCAGTAGGGAAAACCAAAATATCCCGTGGAGCATTTATTGCACTGACGGCCAATGACAAACTGTCTGCAAGGGCATTGTCCCCCCACTGGGTCACAGGCCGAAGATGTTGATCCAGTCTTGTCACAGTCACAGGGCAGCCCGCCGTTATTGTATGCTGCTGCCAGAGAGAGAGCCGAGTCTTTGCAGAACTGTGAGGAGGTGACCGGGCTGAGTGAGAGAGCACAACTGTCAAGAAACACTAGAGGGCAGCATTTATTTTAATTTTAGACCTTACTCTGAACAATACAGACAGAATGAATGCAACGTTTAATCAGATAATCCAATGTTTAGTCAAGCCTGTTGTAGGAAAAGAATCATCTTATCTGTGTCAATCTGAACATGAAGGATACTTACTCAATATGGAAGCCTTCTCCTCGACACTGCTGAATGAAATCTGCTGATTTATCTTGTGGCTTAGCTTTCAGGACATCTGGGGTGTAACTGCTGTCAGGAACCAGCAATATATAAACCTGTAGATAAATCAGAGTTGGTGTAAACCTGGTTTTGGTAAAGTTATTAGATTCCTGTGTAATTAGATCCAGGATCTTGAACATAGTCGAGCAAGGTACAACCAGTTAACCTTGCCTGCAAGCTGAATTCTCGCGGTATTTGTGAGTTCACAAATACTCGAGACATATGATATCGCGGAGAACGCGTTAGAGTTCTACACAATCATCAATCTGGCTCTTGCCAGGTTAACAACCAGTTAATTTTTACACAAAATTGGTGAGAAAATGGTCCTTTCAATGTGGTACTTGAGAGGGGGACAAACAGAAATGCAAAGTAGTCATTGTAGAGCTCTTCTCAAACACACTTTCAATTTTCCACATAAGAAGGTCTGCATACTTTGGTAGGTCCTCTGATATGAGATAGTAGATTGACTGACCAAAAAAAGGGTCTTTCTTGGTGGAATGATCAGGGAGATGCTGGGCTGTCTCCAAGAATGGGGAGTAAAGTCAAGGGCAATCTGACCATCGAAGATCACTACTTCTCTGCAGCCCGAAACAGCAGGACAGAATGACGTATTTATTGAACCTACGAGAGAGAGACGGAACAATCAAAGCTATATAAGGACATTTGTCTCAGGCCTTGAGCCCAAATATCTAGCTCTGGATCCCTCATTGAAAAGGCTTTAATTCTATGTCCAAAATAAACATGGACATATCCAGTGGGAGCCAGTGTGGACTTTGGATCTAATGGATGCAAGCCTCGGGCTCACTCACCAGTCCATTCATGCTCCGCCTCTGCTTGCACCTCCACAGGGAAACTGATGTGCTCAGGCTGGTGGTAATGGACCACAACCACATACCTGCCTGGGAGCGGCATCCGAGGAGAGAAAGTGATTTTTGTCTAGTAAAAGAATACAGTAGTGTTAAGCTAAAACCAACAATCGTTATTAAACATTAAAAGTGAAACATGATATTCAGAACTCGTCAATAAATTATGTGTTTAATTTATTGACAGGATATAGAAGACGACACTGCAGCTAGTCTTCCCTAACATCACTCTGATATGAATGAACGTATGGTGATACCTGAGGGAACTTCAGCAAGACGGCATCACTCGGAGGTTCACGGACGGAGAAAGTGCTGGTCTGCCGGCGCTGCCTCCACTCCTCACTCTCTCGGGGTTGAAGGGCAGACGCTGGGGTGGAGGACAGCTGACCATCCCGGGCCGCAGACAAGAGCAAGGGGGATGTAGGCAGCTCAAACTGACTCTGAATACAATACCGGCTGCAACGGGAATGTTAGTGATGTGTTAGGATGACAGATACCAAATAATAAACTATAAGGAAAACAACTGTGAATGTGGCTGTAGTTTAAACTGCTGGGTCATTTAATCATTGACTTTACATTGTGCAGATTCAAGAGGTTGAATGCAATAATATAAAACTTAATTATTGACTAGAAGTTAATTTCTTGCTACATAAAATACAACAGATCCAGTGAGAGAACAGCTGTTAACACGTACAGTTTTAGAGGTCAAAGTGAAAATCATTATTATGTAAAAGGGGAAAGTTTGAACCTCCAGTGACCCTGAGGTGACATTTGACAGCTTTTCAACAGCATTCTACACATGCCAAAGCTGAAAAACACCCACATTATCTAAATAATATACTTGACTAATGTCATGTTTATGTGAGCCTACAGCTTACCTGTCTTCAGTGAAGCGTCCATGAGTAGAAACACAGAGTACTTTTGGCTTGACATATTCCATAGAGAACTCCTCTGCAGGCACCACATACACCTTGTACTGAGACGATAAGAAAGTATGAATCTAGTTATACCAATGTGGATGTACAAACAGTTGTGAGTTATTCCTCTGAGATTATGTTCTGTGTATAAGTAAATTCTAGTCAAGTTAAAACATAATTGAAGCATATTTACTGACATCTGCAGTCCTGTCTTTAAGTCAGGTGCATAAGAAACTGCCTTGTGGTACTGTACTAAAAAAGTACAATAACTGTATTTTTATTTATTTACAGTAGGTTAAAGACAGCAGCTTATTGTCTAAAATAAAAACGGATGTATGGTTCTGCATCATTAGGGAACGTCAGACAAAATGTAGTCAAATCAAAGGAATGGAAGGCTTCAACCACACCTCAGTGGAAGAAGGACGAGAAGGAGGCAAGGGGGGTTGGGGGGTGGGGATGGAAATGGCATCTTTGTTGTAGAAAAATATAGATAATTCAAACATGCATGAAGTCGTTAATTGTGCATGTTATGTCCAATTTAAATAGATTTTCTTAAATGCGGTATACAAAGAGGCCTGGTTATCTCTTTAAGTATCTCTTTCTTACCAGCATGAACATAGTGGTAGATGTTTGAAGCATGAGCCCTGTTTTGTGAGTTAACTGCAACACGGCCAATCTGTTACTGCTGTCCACTACCACACTCCGACACAAAAAGCTGAAAACATGAAGAGAACATTAGCATTATCGTTTATGGAATACGTGAATTCAGTCAAAACTGAATGTACCACACCTGTAAGTGCAACTGTAAATATTAGCCCTGGCCAGAATCTGAGAGCCGGACTGGCCACTGATGAGCATGTTTACGTTCTGCATAGTGTCCACTTCACTGGCATACTCCAGGACCAGCACAAAGGCTCCAGGCTGAGGGACTCTGAGGGTGAGCTGGAGCTGGGACTAGAACACAGAAAAGTTGCATACCATACATTCGAAAGCAAAAACAGAACAATTATAATGACAAAATTATGACAGAGTGGGAGATTAATTCCAATTTCAAATCACATTCCCCTTTCCAAACCACTAACTTGGTGAAATTGGGAAACCGTAACATATTTTGTTTTGAATTATAACATCATGTGAGATATGAGGTCTCCCACCTGCCTCCCATTGAGCAGAGCCATCTCCGGGTGATCTGCTGTGGGCCGTCGGACTTTGGTCTGCCTTTTCTTGCGTCCACTACGGCTGGAGAGAACCCCCTTTGATCCAAGCACAGAGGTGAAGGAATCCAGGGATAGGTGCTTGTATAGTAAACAGCTGCCATAAAGACAAAATAATTAACAAAAATCACCAAATCGCCCCATACAAAAAGTAATGAGCATTCTTGTCTTTAATACCACTTTGTTTGCAAAAAAAAAGTAATTTATGGTTTTAAATGATTAGTTTAACATTTCATACAATTACAATGGAACTTAATGTGCTTAACTACAGGCACCATCGTCCAAGCATAAAAGTCTACTAAAAGGACCATCTGAAAAATGTAGTCTTTAGTTTACTCCTAAATCCTCTCAATGTTGGGGCACAGTTGTTGAGTATTAATGAGAGAAAGTGGATTCTTCTACTTAACTCAGGGAACAGTGATATGGTTGCAATCTGAGGCACAAGCAAACCAGAACTAAGAGTTGGCAGATAGTGACGGACATTCGACATAGTGTTCCTCATATTGCAAATATCATGATCGTGTACTGGGTCATATCATATACTGTAGTTTGGTAACGCTGTGTCCTGAAGCGCATCTCTGTGTGTACGTGTGCAATGACTCCTCCACAGTGGCTTGCTCCCTTCTCTAAAGGATACGCTATCAAAGTGTTGAGCAACGGCCGTGCATTACAGTACAAGAGAACGAAACACGCAGGATTGACCAACACACGGTGAAGAACGCATGCCATTAGCCCCATGCAAGTAACCTACCCAGCATTTGCGAACAATGCATTTGAATACCTGATCTATAGTATTTTTCAATTTGACAAAAAACGTTTATTTTGGTTGCGGCCCAAGTGATCCACAACATTGTACAACCCGTAAAATAATATTAAAACATTGTATCTCTTGTTTAATCCTTTTGAATGACTAAACAAATCTCTCAGTGAATTCAACACAATGTATTCATTAGACTTTAAAGAATATTCCTTTTTAATGCAATGCCCTTATACTATAATGTACATATACTGTAGTTCCAAAAGAGATATTTCCACCGTTTAAGTTCCCATAATGCCTTCCTTTAGTAAGTACTGGTTAGTGGGACTTACTTTGTGTCCCTGTCAGCAGTGAGTTGGTATGAGCATGGTGTTGTGACCTTTTCTTTAAGCAGGGGGGCTTCGTAATAATCACGGGGAAGCAATACAAGATAATCCTAAAAGCAACACAAAACAAATGATATGACATTTGCAAAACACAAATTAGAGACTGGTGTTCACACAATGCGGCTCTAATGGAGTTACCAGCAGTACTCCCTCGGCTCGAATGTGGATGAACCACTTCCCTGGGGTCAGTGCAAAGGGCTCAGCAAAGCCTTCTCCAGGGACGGTCAAGAAGGATGGAGACCGGCTCCTGGGAAACACCACTTCCTTACTCTGTTCGGACCCTGCCAGAAGATAAAATATATTTCAACAATGTGAAAATTTCTATAGAAAAAGACATGGATATTGTTGCTGTTTTATACAAATATGTGGCAAATGAATAGATTCAACATGTCTGGAGGCAGCAGACTTGTAGCTTTTAAGAGGCCATTTCTCTGTGGTTTCCAGGGTGGCCACATCAAATCATCTACTTTAATATGCAACCCTACCTTCTGCTTCCCTCACAACAACTAATTCATCCATAAAAGTAAATGTTAAAAGTCTGTTTTCCATGAACGTTTCTTTAAATAAATGGACCATCTGTTTCTCTGGGAGCTTTTTGCTGTGCTTAGTCCACAAAAGTAATGAACTGTCCATTTCTACTAATATAAATTAAATGCACAATGCAAACAAAATATTAGTGAATGGGTAACAGATGATATGATACAGTGAAAATGCAAACAGCCAGGCAGAAATGTAATGTTTTTTGGTACATATTATATTTCACTAATTTCAAGTGGTTGTATGACGCTATTTATTATCAAGTCAACAAGCTCTCGCACTGGGGAGATTTCAAATATGCAATTTATGCAAGGGGGCCCAGAAATTCACAGAAACTGGAGGCTTTTTGCCAGGAAGAATGGGCAGCTTTACCATCAGAGAGGATTAATAAATAACCTCATGCACAACTACAACAAAAGACTCCAGCTTCATAGATATGCAATACAATCAACAATCAACATTTCTGCCTGGGTTTCTAGAACAATTGTATCATTCAACTATGAATGTTAAAATTACAACTTGGTCTGGGCAGCCTTACCTGCGGTGCCCCCGGTATTAGTAGCTCTAATGTGTCCGGCTACGGTGTCGCTGCTTGGGTTAATGAATCTCAAAACCACACGGAAAAACTGCTGACTCTCGTCTTTGGGGTCAACATGCACACTTACTTTGACTTCATTCTGCAGAGATACAGGTCACAAACACATGAATGCAATAAAAGCAACACTTAAACATTCCTGGATCTATGTTAAGAGGTGTGGTTGAGTAAAGAGGGGAAGTAAATTATCAGTCAGCATGCGGGAAGCGAGAAAAGCCAATTGAGCACCCCCTGTCACTTACAATCACAGCAATATTTAGATCCGGCTTCATCCACCACCAAAATCCTTGCTTTGACAGGTGCTTTCCCCTTGCGAGGTGGGGTAGTGTAGCGTATTACAATGTGGAAAAGCCCACGAAAGCCGAAGCTAAGGTTAAGGATCACCTCTGGCTGGAAGAGAGAGTGTCAGTTCCCACAGGGCAGATACCAGAAAACTAGTTTATGTGTCATGGAAGCAAAGAATGATGGTGAAAAGGAGATATTGAAATAGAAATCAATGATAGGGGAAGGTGTTGGTGGTGTGAACCGACCTGTGCGGGTGACATGAAAGCGTAACCCCTCCAGCTATAATCGGGAAACGCCTCTGGGTCATAACCAAAGCGAACGGCGCGGGCGTTTGGCGTGGTCCCGTCCTCCAGCTCAAACTTGAGATGGTGCAATGTGGGGAGGTAGTAGTTGGGTGCGGGGCTAAACAATTTAAATCGCACAACATATTAGGTATTGTAGTCATTAAAAGAAATATAAAGAAGTCTCTTAAAACTTACGCAGTGCATTTGAGGCCGATTATGTTCTGACGACACTGACACTGTCCGGATATGTCATCGCAGGCTGAATCAATGGCTCCTCCCACATCACACCCACAACCTATAAACCACATTATTTACTGACATTGCAGAATTATGGAGATTTGTATGGGTCCAGTGGCAGCTTTGATTGTTTTAGTATCACACAAACCTTGACAACCAAAGTAATTGCGCTTTCGAAGTAAGAAATATCCATCTTTGCAAGTGTCACATCCATGGCCACAAGTGTTAGGTTTACAGCGGCATTGTCCAGTTCTCTATAATCAACAGTAGAAATTTGTAAAATCAGTTGTTGTTTTATAGATGTTGTTCCGCAAAATGCATTTAGATGAATAACTTTAAACAGGGGTTGTTACTAATTAGGACAATAGCCATATTTATGAAGGCACAATTATTTGTAATCTTTATTTCATGTGGACTTCACATTATCACTGGATAAATGGAGAAAAGGACAGTTTAATTTTTTTTTATGTCCCTTGACTACAACATACAGTATCAATGTGTATAAGCTTCAAGTACAATATATTGAAGCATTTTGGCCAGAAGTCGATCAATATGGTTTTTCAGGGCTGGAGCCAATACAGATAATTAGTAGTCAGGAAGGCCGATTACTAATATACAGAGCCAAAATCAATTTGGAGTGGAAAAATGTGTGTCAAAATGTTGAACAATTATGTTAAAATTACAATTATTACGTAACAATTATGATTATTTGACTAAACAAATTGAAAATCATCTATACTTCCAGTACAGACTGAGTGATAGACAACAGCAGAATTGTATAGATCTACCAGGTAACAGTATTTGATGCGATTTTACTAAGTGTCCTGTAATTAAAGTAATTTTTGTTGAGTTGTATCTTTGTTGTGAAAACGAGGCTGGACTAGTAAACAATAAAAAATGGTTGATAAGTTAAAAAAAAAATGTGTTTGATTAACTGTTATATATGTCATTAAGTCATTAAGTCCTCTAAACCCTTTTATAAAAACCCTGTATTCACCTGGTCACACTCCCCGACTCCACTTATTGTCCCCTTCACATCACATCGACACTCTGTGCAGAGAGAAGGAAAGAGAATAAAAGAAAGGTAAAAGAGGAGATCAGGGCTGAATAGAGTCTGATTACAGAATTGGTGAAACACATCCACACAAAACTCCAATCAGGAGAGATCTGACATCAAAGGTCCGGCTGCCTGTGCCTCCTTTCAACTGAGTGAAAACAAAAACCACATCACGTCCAGCCGCACTGGAGCTCAGGCATTCTTTGGATATTATTTCCCAGTTTTTCTGTCTTCAGGCATAGGGCTAATAACAAAATATTCTGAAGTCCTGCTTTGTAACCTAAGAAAGTTATCTGGACTCGGAATGCAGCTGCAGTGGACACAGAAGACTTATTATTAGCACCCTTTATTCAGTTTAGCAGACAAGAAAATAAGATATTTTTGCACTTCAAAAACCATACCTAATAAGTCCTGTGCTGTTGTGATTTTGGTCTAATTTGCATGGGCCTGGTTCGTGTGAAGGGGGGGGGGGGCAAACCCAGAGCATTCCGCAATCAAATATGAATAGAGCTGGCCTTTCTCGGGAGGGACAAATGCGCTTGAACACCCTCCCAATGGAGACTGAGATGATGAGACCGCTGACTGCAAGAAAGTAACCCACTTCTCACTTCAATAATTGTCAATAATACAAGAATGAATTATAATGATAAAAGGACTTGCCACTTGGTACAGTCTATTCCTCCCCTTGTCCCTAAGTAAGAAACTATAAAGGCAGCCTCTACCTCTTCAACAATAAAACAGCAAAAGCACCAAATATCAATAAAATACTGTTTATGAACAAATGCCTTTAAGACAGATCTCTCTCAACGTTTTTGAGGCGACATACAAAACAACTATTGATTCAGAAATTGTGTTCAACTTTAACTACCTTGTAAAATAAATCAAATAATCATCAAGGGAGCAGGGACTGTATACAGGAGGGTATTTTTCAGTTGTGAGTTTGACAAAACACATTTAACCTGGGGCTATAATAAATAACAAACAACAAAGTAGATTGTTTTGTTTTTGTTGGCATTAAAATAATAAGTTACAATATATATTGTAACTCACCGATACAGCCGCGGGGGTGGTTTAAAGCCAGATTCCAGTAGAGTGGTTTACATTTATCACACAAAGTTCCTTCAACATTTGGACGGCAGCGACACAAGCCCTGAAACAACATTATTGTAAGAATTTACTACAATTTTAACCCTAACCCTCCTGATTGATTAGTATTCATCGTGACTTATTGCTCATTCCATACAGAATAAGTACTATCACAAAAAAAATACTATCACAAGACAAAAAACAGGAAGTGTAGCACAAACACAATGTCAGAGAAACATCGACATCTGGAGCAGTGCTGTGGGAATAATGTTTGTATAAGTCTTGTTTTATTTGAGCTATACAGATTTGTGTGTTCTTTGTGTTCTGGACTGGTGTGTGAATGTGTGTATGTTCATGTTTACTTGATCTTAAAAAATAAACAAAATATATAATAAAAACCTTGTCATTAAACTACAGATCTTGTTACTGCTCAAAAACATGAACTGTGACACAGATTCTTCATTGCAAAAAGTGATGAAAATGTATTCAAAAAAATACAAACATTTTGTAAAATGTAACGTAATTAATCTGATGTGTGCAGTAACGGGATGTGTGCAATAATTTGATGTGTGCAATAATTTGATGTGTGCAATAATCTGATGTGTGCAATAACGGGATGTGTGCAATAACTATATGTTCGCAGTAGTTGTGTGCAATGATATGGACTCTAACATTGTGGATTTTGGTGGACCACTAAAGTGAGGCCTGTAGTTGAATGCAACCTGTTTTTTCGTATTGTTATTTTCCTCTTTTGTTTCTGTTAATGTTGCTGTATTTGACCCGTGTGACCCCCATGGGACTACAGATGGAAATTAGCCTTTGGCTATAATCTGGCATGTTTACATTCATGTTTATAATGTGTCTGTTCATTGACATGCACTGTCCCATTCAAATAAATAAATAAATAAATAATTTGAGCAGATTTTGACTGCCTTAAAACAAGATTTGCCAAAGGGACAAGCAAAATGATCTTGTTTAAAAAAAAAAGAGGGATATAGAAATGTATTTTCTTGAAATAAGACGCAATGGATTTGTCCCATTGGAAAATGTTGTTTTAAGACTAAGTCAGAATGTCGTCAAATTAAGAGAAAAACCACACGATTTTAGCATTTAATATCTCATATTTTATCACTTTTTGCAGTGTTACAATTCAAGATATGGCTTTTATTCTTAATCACTTGCTTTTAACAAATGAAAAAAAAAGCCAAATTGTGGAACATTCCAGAGAGTCCAAAGACTGACCTGACCAAAAGCGAATCCTACACAGTGACAAGACATACTGATGTTAAATAGAAATAAAAGCATTGGGTTAATAAAGTGGTTTCATACCGCTTGGAGATCAGTCATCTCTGATCCTGCCGAGTTACAGATTCCAATGGATGCTGATTAAGAATGACACAAACAAATGAATAAACAAGGTAAAAGTACTATTCAACAGTACAGGATTCACAGACAGAACATTCACCTGAGCACTGGGGAAACCTCAGGCCTCCAGAAGCACAGCGGTCACACTGTTGGCCCACCACACTAGGCAGACACAGGCACTGTCCGGACAGAGAGTTACACGTGGAGCCGTAAGAGCCCTCCGCAGAGCACTGGCACGCTGCAGGAGGAAACATGGAAAACATCACTACTGTAAAAACAATCTGTTACAAATACAACATTGGATATGTCATAAATAGTGTTTTTATTTAATGTTAGGAAATGCAACATAATTCATGCCTTTACCTCTCCTATGCGAGATAGACAAATGAATTTGCTTTCTGGAAATTTAAGATATGATAAATTTCAGAAGTCGAGGTAAAGATTGTGTGCAAAATTCTTCTAGTGGGCCTCTGTAGTTTAGCTGAGCCATGCCATGTTTTCAAAAAGGTAGAAACATCAATTATTATTGTGATGTCAGGGTCTGTAGAATACTTAAAGGATTTCTTGCGATGGATGGAAATCTATTTATTTTTGTGTTCAAATATTTAGCTTTTTTCATTAAACAGTTGAGTGATTTGTCCAGCCCTACTACCAATACATCATCCAAATGAAGTTTAACCAAAGCGTTCACATGCCATTTTATGAATAGCTCACTAATGTCACAAAACACTCTATTCTCGGGCATCTCCCATGAAGAGAAAGCTCAATATGGTGTACCCTCTTCTCTTTGTGAAACACTGTCCTAAGCAAAATACATGGATACATCACTTTGTTTGAAAGCCTGTGTCCTTATATGATGCTGGAGGAGCTTTAGTGTCATGGGAAAAGAGCGCATGAGTTCCAGTTACGATAGATATTTTGGCCACCATACAAAGTATGGTTCAACTGGTTATATAATTTTTGCTTCAGCTATGTTCTCACCAGCGCAGTCCGGGTATCCGTAAAAACCCGGAGCGCATTCGTCACAGTTCCGGCCCACGTAGTTGGGAAGGCAAACGCACAGTCCATTAGAAGCACAACCAATGTCAGCAGCACCCGCTCCATCACAGTTGCAAGCTAGAGACATGAATACCACTGTTATATAATTGAAATTAATTAAACAAAATGTATTCTTCTACAGCTGTTCAGTGTTGACAAAGAGTGAATAGTGAATTTCCTTCAAACACAACTTAATATATTACTTTTTTCCCGGATATTATACATATTAACATAGATTTTTTATTTAGTTCCAACATGAAATACTTCAACTTCATATCGGGGCTAGTCCATATACACTATGGTCCATACCCTGGCAGTTTGGGAAAGAGGAGTATCCAGGTTGGCAGCGGTCACATCCCTCACCCTCCACACCAGGACGACACAGACAGCGGCCAAAAGCGTCACACACCTCCTGGACTGTTCCTCTATAGTCGCACACACACTCTGCAACATATGTAATGGAAGGGCTATATTCACGATGGCACGGGTCAGCGAAAAAGACACATTAATGCAAAATAACCACAGTGTCGTAGCTCAGTGCTCTAGATTTACAATTTAAAAAGGTAATTCACCATTTAGACAACAGAACAAGAAACAGTGTGTCTATAATGAAAAACATTAACTATGCATGACCTTGCTGGGGGTGGGCAATATGGACAAAAAATAGATTCAAATACCTTCAATCTGATGACAATATTACAGAATGTCAATAAAGGTTATGTCAATACACAGTTAGTTTAGAATGTATGTACGTTTTGAAAGAATTAATACATTCTTACATACATGACTGCAAAGTTTACAAATGTTTTTAGAATATTTAGAAACTATATACTACACAAGTTTGCATCTTTAAAACAATATTTACAATTGCTATACTTTTTAATCTCAAATTAACCATCTCGGATCCGGGACTAAACCTGTCAGTATTTTACATGTATCGTATTGCATTGTTTAGCAGTGTATACAACTGTTTACCGGCACTTTTAGCTTTTATACAATTTGGCTCATTCATGGTTATCTAAGATGAGAATTTTCATTCCAAGAGGACAGTCATTATCTAATATGTACCTCTCCATATAAATGAAATATTAGGGTCTTCTGGAATATATTCAAGTTGAACTGGCACAGATTTCTACTGTTGTGTCGTTCTGGCACACAGAGGTACAGCCACTCTGGTGCTGCCAAGTCTCTCCTGGCATTGGTGTGTGAAAAGACTTGGCAACACCCCCTTTGCCTCCAAATAACCTCTGATTAAACTTAATCAGGTTTTTACATTCCTTTTCAGTCAGCTAACAAAACAAATGACTAATTCATGGTCAGGCATGTTTAGGGATTGTTTGTCTAATTTTTCAGAAACTGACAGCAGAATAAAGTCTTTGGCTCTTGCTGTTTTTCCCCAACTTCCGAAAGAGCAGGTTTTGGAGCCCAGAAAGGAGACTGAGCAATGGGACTATCAACTAATAATAGGACAACATTTATCAACAAGCTATCCCAAGAGTTTAACTAAGAGCTAAGAGAGCAAGGGCCACTTGAACCTCCCATCTGATGAACTGGATCTTTTACACTGGTTGGAATGGAATTCAATCAAAGTCAACTTCTACCACTCACTTTTTATAATACTGCAACTATGACTCCCACAAATCCCACAAATACAACTTATAGCTGCAACTTCAAAGCAATAATCTTTCGTTGTGGTGAGACATATTTGGGGTGAGCTAAAATGTGCTTATTCTAACATGGAAAAATGGCCTCAAGGGAAAAAAAACGAATCAGACTCACGTTGACATCTGGGTGGGCCGTAATACCCTGGTGGGCAGGCAGCGACTGCAATAAAGAAGTGATAAATAAAAAATTAATTCACTATTGCTTAGGATTTTACAGTAGTTCATTGTTGACATCAAGAATGAATAGAGAATTTCCATAAAACACAACAAAATCCAGTTGTTTTTAGGATATTGTATACTAACAATCACTCTTTATTTAGTTCAAACATGACTTCAATACTTCAAGATCAAATCGGGACTAGTCCATACACTATGGTCCATACCCTGGCAGTTTGGGAAAGAGGAGTATCCAGGTTGGCAGCGGTCACATCCCTCACCCTCCACACCAGGACGACACAGACAGCGGCCAAAAGCGTCACACACCTCCTGGACTGTTCCTCTATAGTCGCACAAACACTCTGCAACATATGTAATGGAAGGTTTAGATTCATATTGGCAAGTATTAGCAGCGTCCTTTGGTTAGACATTAGCTTAGGTAAAAACAGCCTCAAGGAAAAATTAATCACACTCACGTTGACATCTAGGTGGGCCGTAATATCCTGGTGGGCAGGTAGGGTCTGCAACAAAGAAGAAATAAATAATACATTAATTCACTATTGCTACTTTCGGGTGGTTTGAGAAATGACGTGTTTGCTGCAGTTCAATCAACTCGTACCCACAGTTGGACCAGCGGGGGATTTGGTGGTTGTCTGATAAACGGGATATTCTGATTTTGAAGATGATAAAGGCAATTAACATATGAAAACGTATCTGAGTATTTATGGTTGTGGTTGTCTTTTCTCAACTAATCATATTTATATGAACAAAAAAAGGAGCAATTAAGGTAGCGGGAACCTTAGAAGATGTTAAAAGTCAGCATAACGTGTTACAGTTGGAGGAATGCGTGGTTAACGGCTATGTATGCATGTAAAGTCTTGTATCACGGCCAGAGTAGCATAGAGATTCATGCAACAGATGTATTCATATCCGTGCAATAAAGCAATTCGTTCACATCTTTTATCAGTAAGGAAATGAGAAATACACATCTCAGGAAAAAAATTCACAGACAAAAAGTATGTAACATATAATAAAGCATGGTCTGCATCCGAATTCGACAAACGTACCTCCTTCCTTGTCATTCGTTGTGCTTTCAAATAGCCCTATTCTGACGCAGGCTAAGTCCAGGTTTAGTTGAGTTACATCTTATACGGGTACTTTCATTGTCACTTGGCGCCATAGACCTGGGTCATCCCGGTCGCTATGGACCAATGCACCAATCCTATGTGTTTGTTATAATTGCATTTCCTGTTTTTTGAACTGTTTGATTGAAATACACTGAATTGAATTAAATTGAACTTTGGTCAAAATGCATCCCACTAAGGAAGGAGGTAGTTTTCCTGGATTCAGGTCTAGGAAATGCTTACTGATGCATTGTGGGTAGTTATAGTAGCCATCCGCACAGCGATCACAGTTTTCTCCCGTAAACTGTGGCTTGCAGAGGCACCGTCCAGATCCCATCTCACACCCGGCTGTCGTCCGCTCATCGCATCGACAAGCTGGCAACAAGAGACAGATGAAACAAATGAAAGAAATCAATTATTTTAATAATTAATGAATGTTCCACTGGTATATTCATAACAATACTATGAACTATCCAATTTAAATGTCAATTCAATATTCCTTTTTTTTCCTGATCAATTGTTCCATTAGTTATAATAAAGAGTTTTCATAACTTCCATTCCAGATATAGCTTATTTACTACTGTTTAATACTGTCTTAAGTATAGAATAACATAAAAAGACAACATAATAATAGTTTTCCTAATGATTAATGTGATCTAAATCATCTTTTTTCTTTTTACTTTTTAGAATGGTGTTCCTTTATGAGAGTCAAAGTGAAAGTAAGTATGTAATTAGATTATATTGCACTACTGTGGCATCAAGCAAACATGTTCGAAGTTTCAGACTACATTTGATACATAATTCAAGGTTGAAATGTACTGATAAAAAGTTGTGCCTAATAACATTGTCTTTCACTATTCCCCAGTCGTCAGGACACTGCACAAAGAACATCAAGACAATGTGGAAAGAAAGTGAAGTGGCCGAGTCTCTCACAGTTCCGAAAAAGTAAATAAAAATCGCTTTTACCTAAATCAACCTCTTCCACTGCTAAGCCCACATAATCAAGTTTGAGGATCTTTTTTTTCTGAAGCGCTCAAGGCAACAGTTGAATTCCACTGCTTTCTAATGTCCAAACACAACTGTCAGCTATTTCTGTAGTGGGGAACAGTCATGGACTATTAGAGCAATGTAAACATAACCAGATCCTAGTTTAGCGAGACTACAAACCCGTGGTGCCAGTAGCGCTTACGCAATGGTGCCATTTGTGTCTGCCCTAAAACAAGAGGTTGATCCTCTCTTTGAACATCACACACTTTTGGTTTGACTTTGGTGAGTCAGGCATGCCATAGAACCATGTGAAGACAGTTGACAAAACATGCACATTCTATTTTCTCATGCAGGTAGGATCTGTACAGCAAATATCTTGGGATCTCCATAAATTCTTACATAAACTATGCATGTTGTGTCAATATTGGGTAAACTGATACAATTCCCCTGTGGATTTCCATAAAGCATGCTGGCTCCTTTGACAAATATAAACCACAGTCTGCACCGCAAGGGACTAACTGTACCTTTCACTCAAAGCTTGAATTTTACATTAACAATGGCATACAGAAGGGAAAAGTATAAAGATAAAGAAAAACATACGTATACATCCAGTGGGAGACTCTGGTGGGACTCCATAAGGTCTATAGAAACCGTCAATGCAGTGCTCACAGTTCACTCCAGCAGTGTTGTGCTGAAAAGGAGGTTTATATTTAGATACTTTAGAAAGATTGTAATTCTTAATACATAATTAAATCCAGTTGACAAGAAAGAAAGGTTTAAAACAGACAGGAATCTTTATTGAGAAGGCTCAACCTTCCTTTGTAATGATATCGTTCTGAGAATAATAACTAACGTCACTGTTTCTTCACCAGCCAAGCTTTTGACACGTTTGGATTTCTCTACTTTTATAGAGAGGAGGAAAACAACTTAGTGGTTCTTTTGGCACTTTCTTTCCATTTGAAATGAATGAGTGGACCATGAGCCTATCTGAGATGCTAGCTTGAATTGACATTGAGATCTATACTTTAAAATGGCACTGCCTAATTAAATCCACTTAATTTTTGTAGCAGAGGTGTACAAATAAAGTTACTTTCCTCAAACCAAGATCTATACTTTTTCAATTCCAATGAGCCTATAACCTAAAAAGAATTGCTGATATCAGCCATAGTGTTTGCCTTTGCACAGAGGCAACAACCTAGCTACCAAAAACCTGCAAATTAGGAGCAACACTAGTCCACTCACGCTACTTGCTAGCTAAAGCCCGATATGGTGACAGGAGGCCAGAACAGCCCAGAGAATAAACCCGAGGTGGACCTCCCGGTACATACCAAATATACCTATTATGTTTTTTTAAGGGTTTTTTCATAAGGATGAGAATTATTGTGTCATCTTTGACAGCATAGAAGCATGTATTTATATTTGATGGATAGGATTTATATGTTGTTATTAACACAACCTGGCTGTGATTTTAGTATTTGAAAAAAACAAAAACAAAAGCCTGTCAGGTATGTTGGCAAGCATCTTGATTAACATACTTATTGTGATAAGCTGTATTTATGCCTCGCGGGCCCAGTGCGTGCATGCCAGAAAAGGTGGATTGTACATTTTCTACTGCTTTTTCCTTCACTCATGCTCAAACTGGAATAAGTTTGGACAGGAGGCTTGGTTCTTACCTGGCATTCAATGCACACTCCTCCACCGTCGTACCTGCCGAAGGTGTCTAAACTTGCTCCCCTTTGCTCCACGTCTGGGTCATAATAGCAGTCAAAGGCATGGGAGAAACACTGGCAGGCTAAAAAGGAAACCCCCCCACATAGAGAGACAGTTATTCCATATGCCTTAGCAAATTACCTGTGATTTACCCTTGTCTATATTTATCTCATGTAAGGTACTCATTTGGAGAAAGCGATAAGCCTAGTTGTTAAGATTTCGGAAAAACGATCAAATCCAGGCTATACACCATGCGTCCTTTTCCTGTTCTTTTCTTATGTACCTCCTGGAGTAATCTTTATGAATGACTATGGAGTTTTTTCCACAGTGCACTGATTGGATTACAAGCTTTCTTCGTCTTCCTCTCACTGCCTTTGTGCCTGCCGTAAGGTCATATTTCATGAAGCTATCTGTCAACAATCCAAAGCAATTAGACCTCAGCTGACTTTGGTCTCCTGTGCCTTACAGGGCGGCCTGCTAATGAGATGGCATTGAGGGTATCTGGTCGAGAGGCAGCACAGTGTTAAGGAGACGAAAGGCAGACATCCCAAACATACTGCCGCCAAAAGTGGCAGATATGTTTTGAAGTCTTGAACCTAAAGTGTATCGAGACAAACTCGGAGGCAAAGTTATTGTGTTGTTCTAGACCAGGGGTCGGGAACCCAAAATGTTCAAAGAGCCATAATTGACAAAAAAACTAAAAACAACATCTGTCTGGAGCCGCAAAAAAATAACAGCCTTGTATAAGGCTTTTATGAAGGTAACACAGGACGCAAGATGTATTAGCTATATTAGCCTAATATCTAAATGACAAAGTAAAGGCTACAAATACATAATAATCATTCATGATTATCAAATGTGTATTTTCACTGCAGCGTGTCGCACCACGCGTGTCGTGAATGACGCAACATGTGACAATGACACCTCTGCTTTAGTTTAACTTCCATTTTTTTGCCTTCATGCAATTATAGAAATACAGTAAATCAATCTGCTTTGGGCTCAGAGGTCACACACCTGCATCACTGTCTGTTCATATCCATCACGTCACAGGCTGAAGTTTGCTGGAGCTGAATTAAAATCCTTAATGGCCGTTTCTTTCACCATCTTTGAGAAGGTTTTCAAGTCTGAAAATAGGTGCTCTGAATTTTTGATGAATGAATCCTTCACGTAATCACCGTTTACGTCGTTTTGCGCGTCATTGTTCCTCGTGTTGCAACAAAACTTTTCATTACAAACATGAAGCAGTCCTTCCTCATTGACTGAAAGAAAATGTTCATTCTCATTCTTAGTCCAGTCTTGTTATCGACTCTTTCTCGTTTTAGCTTTGGGATCCATGTGCACCTACAGTCTATCATGCACACACGCCGGTTTGTTTACAGCAGCGGCCGCATGGGGCGGGGCCGCGTGACCGCGCGTCATAGGATATGACGCACTACGTTGACAGAAATGTTGAAATTAGATATTACTTATACATATTTTTACAGCATTTAAAAACGTAAAGATTGTTTTTCCTCCTACAGAAACCACATTCAAACTAGAAATAAAATATAGCCCTCACACTCCATTTTCAGACATTTTTGAAAAGGCTCCAGGAGCCACTCCAGGAGCACTCAAGAGCCGCATGCGGCTCCGGAGCCGCGGGTTGCCGACCCCTGTTCTAGACAACTAAAATTGGTTTGCAGATTAGAGAGTTTTCTCAATTTAAAGTGGAAAACCATATCATCGAGTCACACAGCCTGATTAAAAATTTTAGTCGAGTTCTATTTATTTAAGAACAATGTGCAGATACATTAAAAAGATGGCTGCACCAGATTAACACCATGCGACTTTCCTTCCATCCATAACAGTAACAAAATGCTAACTACAACTTGCTAAATTACAATACAGTAATGCTAAATGAGTAGAAAAACATTCAGAGAGCTAGAGACTTCGGTCAAGAGTCGCAGTTCCATTCCTATAAAATAATATCCTGGATCCAGTGTTACTCAACTAACAAACAAAGCCTGCGTCAATACAATAATCCATAGAGGAGGTAATAATCCATCCGCAAAATACAAAAACATCCTCTTAATTTATTTATTTATTTAAGGATAGCCCCATTGAGATAAACTATCTCTTTTTCAAGGGGGTCCTTTATCAAAGAAAATTAACAAATAAGATGGCTTATATCAGCAATACAAAACAAAAAGCAAAACAAAGCAATGTAACAAGCGTAACTCAAACATAAATTATTAACAATTATATATATACACATATACTTACATACACACACATATAGTATATACATATATATAAATATACATACACACACACATACATACATACATACATACACACACACACACCTACACATATACATACATATATACACACACATACAATCATATACACATACATACATTAGTATATTGTATTTCATACACACACCACACACACACACACACACACACACACACACAGCCACGTATCTTAATCCCAGAACCACGCATTTCACTCCGAATATCTTCATATACATATATACACATGTGCATATACACACACAAACACATATATACATAATTATGTATACATACACATACACTCATTATTACCAGGAGTTTAATCTTAATATTTAAGCTCTCCGCGTGCTGTATAAAGGGGGTTCACTCATTCACAATTTACAATGTTATAGAGCATTTTATATGGCCAGAAGTTGCATATACTGGTATATTTAATAGTCGCAAGTGACTATAAATGAACAGATGTTGCTGCCGAGTTCAACTGAAGATTATCCGTCATATGGGCTTTGCAACAGACCTCCCTCTTCACCAGTGGAACTCTGAAATAGGGATGGAGTAAGTTTCGAAGAGAATGCTGAGATGTGAATGGAATAAAATATTGTTTTAAATAATCAGGAAGGTCATTATGGATACATTTATAAACTAAAGTTAACCAATGATACTGCCTCCTTTCTCTTGGTTTCAACCATTCCAATGAATTATACATTAGACAGTGATGAGTGTAGAAATGACAGTTTAGCACAAACCTGCAGAGTGAGTTCATTAAAACTGTCACAGGTTTCAGAACAGTGTCCGTTGTGTTTTGGTACATTATGTCTCCATAGTCAATGATCGGCAATATAAGTTGTTGTACTATTTTCTCTTTTACATCTTGCGTAAAGCAGTTATTAGACCTGTACAGCTGTCCAAGATAAGCATACACTTTTTTTGTAAGGTATTCAATATGTGGTTGAAAAGTTAATTCTGTGTCGATCCACATCCCCAGATATTTAAATGTATTTGTTCTTTCGAGTTTACTTCCGTCTGACAGATAGAAGGATACAGTTTGTTGATTCGGACACATGTGTTTTGAAAAAAGCATGCTGAATGTTTTATTTTTGTTCATGATTAAGTTGTGCTGAACAAGCCAGAGCTGTATCAGGTTAAGATCAGTCTGAAGGGATTCTTGAATCTCAGCCAGACTTTTGTTAGAGGTATAAAACACTGTGTTGTCTGCATACAAGTGGATTTTACACTTAGTCATAATCTTAGGTAAGTCATTTATGTAGATTGAAAAAAGTAGTGGCCCAAGAGACGAGCCCTGTGGAACACCTCTATTTACTGTGGCCATTTCTGACGGTGTGCCTTGTACAGTGACAAATTGTTTTCTGCAATGTAAGTAGGGGTTAAACCAAAGTAAAACATTTCTGGAAGCACCTATTGAATAAAGTTTGTCCATTTGACACAGTTGATCATTACCAAGAAGGTAATGATCAACTGTGTCAAATGCTTTTGTGAAGTCTATGAATATTGCTCCAGTTAGCTCCTGATTGTCAAGGGCGGAAAAAATGTCATTTGTGAGATTCAATAGTGCAGTTGTTGTTGAGTGATTTGCTCTGAAACCTGACTGACACTGATGTTGTTATGCTCAATATATGAGGACAATTGGTTAAATATAATCTTTTCAAATATCTTTTGGACTGTGCATATTATCGAGATTGGTCTGTAATTATTGATATCTGTTGGATTACCCCCTTTATGGACTGGTGTAACTCTGGCACACTTCCATATGGGTGGCAATGAGTTTGTTGAAAGGGACATGTTAAAGAGCTCAGCCAGGGGATGCGCCAGAACACTGTCTGCATATTTAAAAAATTTCGCTTCCAGTCCATCAGGCCCAGCACTTGTATTACATTTCATCTGGCGTATAACTTTGAGAACTTGATATGGCAAGATCATTTTGAAATCAAAAATTTGCGATGGCGTTTCATTTTGAAATGCCATGTACCTGTAGGGTGTAGGGCATGACTGTCCAATATTAGAAAAATGATTATTCAGGACACGAGATATCTGCTCAGGTTCAGAGAGACTTTCATTGTTGATACAAATCTCTTTTAACACATTTTTATTATCACAATTTAAAAGTGTATTAAGTTTTTTCCAAAATTGTCTAGGGTTATGAACGTCTTCTGAGAGGCTATTCTTATAGAAATTAGATTGGGCATTTCTTGTTTTATTTGTGCAATCATTTCGTAGACGTCTGTAGATTTCCCAATCCTCAGGGTCTTTGCTCGCATGATGCTTAGCCCAAGCTTGGTCTCTTAGCCTGTATGAGTTTAAAAGACCTGAGTTCAGCCATGGGAGTGTCCTACCTTTAACCCTCTTTATTTTCCATGGGGCATGGTTGTCAATCACTGCATTTACTTCAGAACTGAAAAATTCCCACGCATCAGCAGTTGTCGGTATTAGCGACATTCTGTCCCAGTGTATGTTTAGTAGATCTTGCCTGAAATGCTCTATATTCAGATTTTTACATAGCCTAAATTTTATATATTTGGGTGGAAAACTAGGGACTTTTATTTTCCATACACAATAAATAATGGAATGATCACTTCACAGTCAGACATGACTCCAGACGTAGTGATTCTATCTGGGTTTGTAACAAGAATCCAGTCCAAAAGGGAGCTAGTCTGACCATCTACTCTAGTAGGTTCCCTTATTAATTGAGTGAGGTTAATGCTATTAATTAAGTTCCTCTCGTTAGATGAGGCACGTGCAAGCCAGTTTTTATTAAAGTCGCCCAAAATAATTAATTCTTTTGTATTGTATTGTTCTAATGAGTTAATGGTATTCAACATATTTGTTATAGAGTCAGCCGGTGCAGAGGGAGGTCTGTAGATGCTTCCTATTATTAGTGATTTATTCGCATGCAATATGATTTTCACAAAAATGCACTCAAAATTGACAGGCTCGATAGGAGGTGCGATACAGGTAGAGCTGAGGCTACTGTCTCCATAGATTGCAACGCCGCCACCTCTACTGCCTCTGTCTGCTCTATACATTATAAAACCATTGATTGTAATTTCACTGTCTAAAATATTGGAATGTAACCAGGTTTCTGAAATTGTAATGATTTTTGGCTTGTAAAGAGTGGCCCAGGCACGCAATTGATTGATTTTAGGGAGTAGGCTTCTAATATTTAAATGAATGATTTTTAAACCTTTACAATTGTCAAACATGTTATGTATTTTAATAGTGGGATTTCACTGAAATGGAATACATGACAAGGCAAACAAGATAACGTGGACACACACACAGACACACACAGGGACACACACACAGACACACACAATTTGATCTGACTCAACATTAAATACAAATCAGACACAGGTCAGTTTTGTGTGGTGTGAACATGACCTCAGCAGTGCCCGACGCTGCCTATCCCACATACCAAAAGAATCCCATGTCTTTCCCTGCGCCTCTCCACAATACCATATGAGGGCATCCATAAAAGAGTTTAAATATGAGTTGTGGAGCAAGAGGACCCTCCAGCCTCTTTATCTGCTAGTAACTCAAAGCTTCAACAGTGTGGAGAGCTGCGGCCATGTTTGCACTCAGGGGAATCGGGAGATACTCACGCTGGCACTCGTTGGGGCTGTGGACAGTAGCAGCGCGCCACGGTTTCTGGTTAAAACCTGGACAGCAGCGGTCGCACAAATCGCCACATGTGTTGTGCTCACACTGGCACTGCAGCCTGAAGATGAGACAGACTTTTAGACGTACAAACAACAACATAAGCAGGCAAAAAATAGTGTGAGTTTAAGGTGTTCCTGTTTAATACACAATGGTACATATAGAAGCCATTTTTTTATGTTTTGACACTTATGGAGGTACCTGCATAACTATGACAATTTAAATGTATTAAATCCCCATATCAATTAGAGGATTTTCTACTTCCGAGTGTATCATCAAGATTATTGGTCCTCCCAATTGTCAATCAATCATGCATCAATTTGCTACATGCATCAATTTGTTACATAAAAATAGCTTTACACTTAATACTATGAATACAAAATGTTTTTCATCATCCTCCTGAGGATTCTAATCAAGCTATGAAAACAACCACCCCTTATTTCATCAGTATTTGAACTTTAAAACTGAGAATCAACATTCCTTAAATTCTGGAGAAAATTATTACAGCATGCTGACATCTCATGTACAGTACTCTTAGATCCAAACTGACATGTAAATCTAAACTGTTTTGTGCCTTATCATATCAACAAACAAAACATGACATATTTAATAATTTCAATTTTAAGTTATTTTTTAGTTTGAAGTGGTTTATTCAGTACAACAAGGTTACAAACCTGTTGGGGTTCTGCTCGTACCGATTGCCATCACAAACTTGTGCATGTCCGTGGCAGACGCAGCGCCCTCCAATGCTGATGTCTTTGATACTGTAATAATACTGTGGACATTGGAAGACTTTATGAATAAGTTAGTCCTTGTCAGTTAGCAGTTGGTAAACACAAAATCAGTAAGATGCTTAAGAAGAGCTAATCTGTACCGTTACTGGTAGTGTAAGTAGTAAGTAAGTAAGTAAGCTTTTATTTATATACCGCCTTTTCACTGCACATCGGAGTCTCAAAGCGGTTTACAATTGTTGGGAGTGGGGTCGCCAGTACAGGAGGCACATGCCATACCTATTGTACATATTTTTAGTGGTAGGGGAAACCGGAGCACCCGGAGGAAACCTACGCAGACACGGGGAGAACATGCAAACTCCACTCAGAAAGGCCCTGGTCCGGCCGGGATTCGAACCCAGGACCTCCTTGCTGAGAGGCGAGAGTGCTATCCACTCAGCCACCGTGCCGTCTATAGTGGTATAGAGGCTTAACTCATGACATGGTTAAAGAAATACAATGTAGTATTTTGAAAATATATGGGTGCATCAAGAACAAAAAAATTATATCTGCATGCAACTCAATCTACTACCACCAGAGGGAAGTTGATTTTTGATTTTTGTTAAAAAAAAAAAAACGACTGTACACGCAACCAATTCGTTCATAACGGGTATTGGCAGATAATAAAAGCAAGATAATATTATTATTATTATCATCAATGAAAAGGCTGCCTTGCTGCATCGATACATGAAGGAATCTAACTGAAGGTGATATCAGGTGATAAATATAGAGATTTTAATCAGTGGACATTTGTAATTCAAATATTACAACTGATATTGTTCTGCACTAGAATATGACCAACAGACTGTGGTGTGGACTGTACCCTGCGTGTGACGGTGGGATCCTTCTGAGCTTTGGAGATGAGGTGTCCCAGCAGAGTGCTCGTCTGGAGGAAGTGCAGCCGTATGTTTGTTGCCTTGGTGAAGTCTCGCAACACTGGTGAATATGTAAAGTTTTGGGCTCCTGGACGACCATTGATCAGCGACACCACAATCTGAACAAGTACATAAACACTGTATCGCATCCAGTCATTTGCGAGTCTAACTTTGAGATGATATACTTTACCTCTCCATTCTCCAGTGGCACAATGCGGGAGTATTCGGTGGTGCAGATCTGGTCGTCGTCGCTTTCTATTCGACCATTGGGCTGTTTTCCAAATCGCTCAATACACTCACGCTTTGAATCTGCAAAAACAGTCACATCAAACACACTCTTTATTCAGTTCTGCATCCATACAGTAATCTCATCTGTAAACCACGGTGCACACTCAGGTATGCAAGAATAATCCCTAAAACACAGTATAAACATCCCTAGCATTTAAAAAAGCTTGTGATGCATACCAGTCAAGCGTGAATTTCCTGTCTGCTGGATAATGGCTGTGCTAAGAAGCTAAATTTGTGTCTTAAAAACAGGAGCAGCACAGGTGTAATTAATAATAATGGGAATAAACCCTATTCACCAACGCAATTTTAAGCTTTGCTATTCACTGGATATTTAATGTGGCTTTTATGGATTCACAGAACTTAGACTACAATACAGACCAGAGTCAACAGGATTTTTGATGCTATGGTCTCTCTACTGAGACAATATCAGCATTTACAAGGTGAGATATAGGAAGCAATCATTCTAGCAGCAATTTGTTGACATAAAACGAAGTGCTGCTGAATAAGTACATTGAGGAGAGAGATATGCCCTCAGCACAGAGCAGGTGATGGAAGAGAGTTGTATCATTGTTTGGGCCGGTGTGTGTGTGTGTGTGTGTGTGTGTGTGTGTGTTTGGGAGTTTTGTGTGTCTAATTCCCCATGGTAGGGTATGGTATGTACTGCACAGAATCAAATTTGCATTGATATCGTATGTTGATCCATTGCATTGTATTTATTACAATATACAGTGCCTTGCGAAAGTATTCGGCCCCCTTGAACCTTTCAACATTTTGCCATATTTCAGTCTTCAAACATAAAGATATAATTTTTTTTTTTTTTGTCATGAATCAACAACAAGTGGGACACAATCGTGAAGTGGAACGAAATGTATTGGATGATTTAAACTTTTTTAACAAATAAAAAACTGAAAAGTGGGGCGTGCAATATTATTCGGCCCCTTTACTTTCAGTGCAGCAAACTCAGTCCAGAAGTTCAGTGAGGATCTTTGAATGATCCAATGTTGTCCTAAATGACTGATGATGATAAATAGAATGCACCTGTGTGTAATCAAGTCTCCGTATAAATGCACCTGCTCTTTGATAGTCTCAGGGTTCTGTTTAAAGCGCAGAGAGAACCATGAAGACAAAGGAACACACCAGGCAGGTCCGAGATACTGTTGTGGAGAAGTTTAAAGCCGGATTTGGATACAAAAAGATTTCCCAAGCTTTAAACATCTCAAGGAGCACTGTGCAAGCAATTATATTGAAATGGAAGGAGTATCAGACCACTGCAAATCTACCAAGACCCGGCCGTCCCTCCAAACTTTCATCTCAAACAAGGAGAAGACTGATCAGAGATGCAGCCAAGAGGCCCATGATCGCTCTGGATGAACTGCAGATAACTACAGCTGAGGTGGGAGAGTCTGTCCATAGGACAACAATCAGTCGTGCACTGCACAAATCTGGCCTTTATGGAAGAGTGGCCATTTCTCAAAGATATCCATAAAAAGTCTCTTAAAGTTTGCCACAAGCCACCTGGGAGACACACCAAACATGTGGAAGAAGGTGCTCTGGTCAGATGAAACCAAAATCAAACTTTTTGGCCACAATGCAAAACTATATGTTTGGCGTAAAAGCAACACAGCTCATCGCCCTGAACACACCCTCCCCACCTCAGCTGTAGTTATCTGCAGTTCATCCAGAGCAATCATGGGCCTCTTGGCTGCATCTCTGATCAGTCTTCTCCTTGTTTGAGATGAAAGTTTGGAGGGACGGCCGGGTCTTGGTAGATTTGCAGTGGTCTGATACTCCTTCCATTTCAATATAATTGCTTGCACAGTGTTCCTTGAGATGTTTAAAGCTTGGGAAATCTTTTTGTATCCAAATCCGGCATTAAACTTCTCCACAACAGTATCTCGGATCTGCCTGGTGTGTTCCTTTGTCTTCATGGTTCTCTCTGCGCTTTAAACAGAACCTAGGGCTGGGCGATTAATCGATTTTAATCATTAATTCGAGTTTTACGTTTAGGGCGATTTCTTTTTTTAAAAATTCGATTTTTATTTTCTCCAGCGCAGAACTACAGCGCTAACGCGCTGACCGCAGGTCTATGGTGTTGAGCAGTCATTTTGAAGCTAACCTAATGCTAACAGTCTCCCTCTGGCCTGATGCTCGCTCTCACAGTTGGTGCTGTTGCAATAACACTTCAAACGTTCAAGAATCAGACTTTATTTAATCGCCAAAACACACACACACACGCACGCAGGCTCCGGTCGCTATGTTCGTACGCCATGTTCGTACGCCACATCTTTCACGCTCTCTCACGCTTGTTATTCCAAAGCGCACTCCCGTGTCCGTGGCGCGCACACACTCGTGTCCCACTGAGCCGCTGCACTTTGGGGAAAGACACGTCTCACACATTGCTCTCATTGCTCTGATACAAACAACGTGTTCCCCGCTGTCTGTTAGCTACAGTAGCTGCTAGCTACAGCATCAGAATGTAAACAGGAAGCTCGCACAATGCGGAGTCACTGAAGTTAGTATTAGCGCCACCAGCTGGACCGAGCGTTGTACTACAGCACAGTTACTCAGGCACAGTTGAAAGAACAAGCATGAAAACCCGAGGAGGCTTTTGGAAAAGACTGTCTGTTACAACATTTCTATTTTGAGTAATCAGTTTTAAAAATGTGATATTTCATGTAAATAATGCATGTGTTTAATAGGATTGATATATTTGCGATGGGCCTTGTTTGTGTGATTTAAGTTATTTTGAAGGTGCATAGTGTCATTGTAAGTGAAGTTATTATAAAACTGTTAAGCTACATTTTCACTGTTTACAATGGCAGAGCCATCTCGTTTACAAGCATGTTTTAAGGCTTAATTCCTGTTACACTTATGCTCCATGGGGATTTAGATTAAACTGCATAAAGGAAAATCTATTTCTTTGTCAGTTGTAGTTTGTTTTTAAATAGAAAAAAATAAATCGATTAAAATCGAAAATCGGATTTGGTGTGAAAAAATCGGAGATTTTTTTTTTTTGCCATATCGCCCAGCCCTAACAGAACCCTGAGACTATCAAAGAGCAGGTGCATTTATACGGAGACTTGATTACACACAGGTGCATTCTATTTATCATCATCAGTCATTTAGGACAACATTGGATGATTCAAAGATCCTCACTGAACTTCTGGACTGAGTTAACGGCACTGAAAGAAAAGGGGCCGAATAATATTGCACGCCCTACTTTTCAGTTTTTTATTTGTTAAAAAAGTTTAAATTATCCAACAAATTTCATTCCACTTCACGATTGTGTCCCACTTGTTGTTGATTCATAACAAAAAATTAAAATGTTATATCTTTATGTTTGAAGACTGAAATATGGCGAAATGTTGAAAGGTTCAAGGGGGCCGAATACTTTCGCAAGGCACTGTAAATGTATTCATTACTGTGTTGAAAAGTGAGAGGGGCGTGGGAACAAATAAGCCTCATGCAACCCTTTTTCAAACCTGTATGAGTGTAAAGATATGTGAAACTGTATTCTGTAGGTTTGAAATAAATCAAACTAACTAACTGGTTTACCTGGTGGGTCCCTTTGACAGGGCCGTTCAGAATGGGACCCATAGACATAATCTTTTTTTACCAAGACTTTAAGTAATACAAAACAGTCAATAGAAACCAAACAACTATTTTAAAGGAATTTTATTTTAGATTTTGTTTTCGAATTGCAGTGATTCTATTTTTGACATAGAATTTAATGCCACTCCATGTCCGATGTCTAAGGTCATCTGGTGAGGCATTAATGCAGGCCAGGCAGTGAGACTTCCCAGGGACCTTTCCAGTCTGTATGAAAGGTGTCATGGTCTTCTCCACAGCCTTCACCTCAGATGCAGACCATGGCTTTCTTACACGTTCTAGGGAGAGAAATAAAAATATATTAGCAATATACACTCCCAGGGTGAGGACCAAGCAGCCTGGCTGTAATCCCCCACCTGGTACACTTACCAGAAGGGGCACTGCCACTACCATGGGGTGCATCTGGATGAATGGTTGAAGGTTCTCCGCTTGAAGTTTCTTTTAGCCCGTCCGTTTGTGAGAGGATCTCTACTGCTCTCCCTGTCGCACAGAAAATAAAAATACAAGTGGCCTTTAGGGGAAAAAAATCATACATATTTTAATAATATCAAGAATTACCTTCAGGCTCAATTTGTATCTGGTCGAGGCTCTTTCCTTCGAATTCCGTCACTCTTCCCTGCTCCATGGCCATCAACACTTTGCTGATTTTGGCCAGCTCCAGTGTCCCCTCTGGTAGTCTGTAATATTGCCTGTGGATGCGAATGTCATGGCCGAGGAAGTTGGCAAGTATGTCCATCTCATTCTCTTTCATATTGAGAACTGTAGACATAGTAGCTATGTGCTTTCTAAGTTTGGTTGAGGATAGCATCTCTGGATGCACCGCACCACATTCTTTGGCTACCTGGCGTAGGGAGTCTGATCCCCTGATGTGGGTGTCTGCGCCCGGGCGGGAAAAGAAGTATGGGTTATGGTCAGAGATGGAACAGGCCCTTCTGTTCTCCACCAGCACCTCCATCGAAGCAATCATTTCAGGAGTCAAAAGAACCGGCACTTTCCGACTTCTTTTCCCTTTAATTTCAATGCGTTGAAAATGCTGACACAGCTTTTTCTCAAGTTGGGACAGTCCCAGAGCAATGTCAGAATGGATCCCAGTCTTACTTCTTAAGGTAAAGGCTGTCAGTGGCATCTTTGAAACCTCACCTTCCCTTCTTCGATTGAAAATGATGACCTCACAAAGAGTCAAAACTGCCAGTTTAGACCAATGCTTAGACGTTGGCTCACTTATTAGGGTTTGCACATATTCAGGTCGACATACCTCAATATGTGCATGCATGGCTCTAACGTCCTCAGTCAGAGGGAGCAGGTCCGGAGTGTTCCACTTGGCTTGCCGGAGGGTCTGTAGGGCAGCAGAAGAAACACAGACGTCCCACCTCTTCTCAAAAAGCAGCCGGCTTCGTTGGAGGTTTTTAATAAATAGTTCATCAACACAATGCTCCATTTTTGAGTCACATTCAAGAATATCTGCTAGCTTTCTGAGGCTATGGCCGAGTTTGAGGGCCAAGGATGGAGTCTTGTATTGATTTGTTTCCTCATCATATCCAGCCACAGACCTGACTGCATCAATCACATGGTTAAAGTTGGAAGGAATAAAGAAATCCTTAATTGTTTTCAGTTTCCCTGCGGTTTTTGCTTCGTTAATTAACCTACCGACTTCTCTCATTTTCTGCCTAATGTAATCATGCTTTGTCTTATCATGCCCGTGTTTTAAGTACAGGTGCTCTCCGAGTCTCAGAATCCCCTTTTCTGCTTTGACAACACCCGTGACCTCATCCTGATGCATTGCCGAAATTAAAGACCACAGCTTTTTGCTGATGCCCTCCGGTACAGGCTGGGCTAGGGAGCAGAGGGACTGGACCCTACTTCTACCTGGTTTAGCCTGGGCATCTTTCTGTGAAAGCCGGCACCTGGCCACATGCCTCCACAGCGACTTTCGCTTAAGCAATGCCCCACAGTCTATACAGTGCAAAAACTCACTGGATTTAACTGGGGAATTTGGCTGTTTAGCTGGGACTAAAGTTCCAATGCCGGCCTTTAAAACCTCAAAATTGTGCTCACGGTTTCCACTATTCCTGATCAAATCAAACTGAAGTTTACGTGCTTTAGATTTCACAGGTAGAGCCAATGCTCTGGCTACGTCACTTTCATTTCCATGTTTTCTAGTCAAATGACGGGACATTTTGTGGCAGGACATTGAACAGTAGAGGCAGAAGTGTCTCTTGCTGTATACTCGCCCCCCATTTTTCTTCTTTTGCAGCTGCATGATAACAATCTTATTTGCCTTTGGTTCGTCACTTTCCGAGTCTTGAAGAAAAGTGTTTTTGATTTTTCTTGGCCTCTTGGACCTGAGCACACTGCTCCTGGCCCGAAGGGCTGGTTTTTTGGGCTGGTTTCACCTTCCTTAGTTAAAGCAAAGAAGGGAGGGCATTTGTCCCAGTCACAAATTAGGTACAATCGATGTATGGAGTTAATCACCACGCAGAATAATTGCCCACAGTTCAGACTGCTGAAGTTATATTTGAGAACAGTTCAGCAGATTCCAATGTTGTTGTGGATTTGGCAGAGCAGTACAGCTTTTATTGTATAATTAAAGAGACTACTAATAATCTGAGCTTGTGTTACAAGAGTTTGGAAATCTGGAGGAATTTGAGCATAAAAAACAACGAAAAGCCTGTTATCAAAATATAGTGGTGTTTCGCACTAAATGATCTAGCGTAGGGGTACTGACGCTGAAACAGCTGAAATTCCCTTTTACTCGATGAAACTCCTGTTCGGCAGCCATACAGACGAATTCTCCTTCACAGTATGAGCTTGCTCGTAGTCACTCAAACGATTGTTACAAATTCAGAAAATACGTGAGAGTTGGCAGTCCATATTCCTCACCATAGTTTTGGTGTTAAAAAAGGAATGGTACGCTGCGAATGTGGCGTAGAACTAAGCTATTAAATGCAAAAACAAGAAAGATGCGTTCCCTTCTCCCCAGGATAGATGAGTCTTTGATGCTTTGGCGGGGCCCAGTGGTCTCCTACATTAGATCTGCTAGTGTTATAGCCAAGTGAAGATTGGCTGAAAAGACAGGAAAAAAGCTGCATTTTGCACCCCTTTTGGATTAATTGAGTTTCAATCGTATCCTTTTGGTTTATGTAATGGCACCAACACTTTCAGCGGCTCATGGAACGCATTTTTGGAGATTACCGTCATCAGTCTGTCCTGTTGTACCTCGATGATTTGATTGTGATTTCCATCACGAGTACAAACAGCACTTTGACGTTGGAGCAGAATTTTTCACGATTAGAAAATGAGGGTTAAAGGTAAAAGCTCTCTAAATTAACTTTTTCAAGACGGTTAAGATTTGGGTCATGTGAGTCTCGCCGGAAGGAGTTTCCACGATCCTGAAAAAGAGGCTGTAGTAAGGAGTGGAAGAGACCAAACAATCTGGACGACTACGGTCATTTTTGGGTTTGCCTCATACTATAGAGTTTTATTGCGGGATTTTCAAATATGCTGTGCCCTTTAAATCGCTTGGTAGCAAAACTGCTCCCCCAGGTAAGACAAGGAAAAACCCCAAAGAAGCCTGTTGCAGATTTTTGGGATGATGAATGTGAGGAGAGTTTTCAAAGCTTAAAACTGCCCTAATAACCACCCCTTTCTTGCTTACGCAGACTTTCAGAGGCCCTTTGTTTTGGAGGTGACGCAAGCCATGGAGGTTTGGGTGGGCCGTTATTATCCCAAGAACTGGGGGTAATTTTGAAGCCCATTGGCTTTTGCCAGTAGAAGCCTGAAAGCCCACAGAACGTAACATGAGTAAACTATAGTACCATGAAGCTGGAGCTGGTTCTCTTAAATGGCTGTTAACAGAAAATTTAGAGAGTACCTAATTGGAAAATCAGTGGTACAGTTTTTACAGATAACATCCTCTAGCCATTTGGCCACTGCAAAACTGGGCGCTGTAGAGGCAGAGATGGGCCTCCGAGCTAGCCTCGTTTGATCTGAATATTAGATACCGCCCTGGTCACAAAATTGCCAAATGCGGATGCTCTCACTCCTCGCCTTCACCTACCAACTGAGGAGAGAGTGGAAGTTTTTGGGGTTCAAGGTAGAAATAAGTGCACACCCAGTCTCGATGTATCTGATATTTCCATGTTACAAATCTCAAGACCCGATTATTGGCAGCTTCCTAAAGATTGGGTTGAGGGGGAGGATGCCTGGTCCAAACCAACAGGAGCTCAGTAAGGTACAAGGGAGCTGGTGCGTCAGTGGGCCGTATAAAGGGAGAGAGATCTGTGCTTTTACAGGGTTTCCACAAACCTGATGGAGAAGGGAGAAGTTAAGCAGCTAGTACTGCACACAGTGCTTACAGGACCCAGCCCCCCGTGCCCTTCGTTCTCTGCACGATGGGCACGTGTATCAAGGTGTAGGAGCGCACGTTACAGCTGGTCCGCTCTCAGTACTACTGCCAAACATGTGCAGTGATGTTGAGGACTGTGTAAATGTTGTGAGCGATGTGTAATGTCTAAAGCTCTGCAACCAAAAGTTAAGACCTTTATGGGATCAAGTCAAAGCATCCAGGCCTCACGAAATTTTGGCATAGATTTTACTGTGTTGGAGGCCTCTCCACAGATGGCAAGGAAAATGTTTTGGTTATGACAGATGTTTTTCAAAGTATGACTCAAACTGTTGCCACGAAGGATCAGTCGTGCCAGTACATTAGCAGAATTCTGGTAAAGCATTGGTTCCAGCCATTTGGTCTCCAGACGAATTCACTCTGACCCAAGGTAGGAAATTTTGAAAGTAGTCCCTGGTTCAACATCTTTGTAAAAATGTATAATTATTGAAAAGAGCCGAAACCACACTTATCACCCGCAGGTCAATGGTCCAGTGCGAACGGTTTAATCGCACCTTTACATGACCTGCAGCGACTCCTTCCCCTGACAAAGCGTAGTGGCCTCGGCATTGTCTCAAGTACTTTGCATATAACACCAAGTAAACACCAGACTACTGGCCTAACCCCATACTTTTTAATGTATAGGAAGAGAACCAAGATTACCTGTTGATTATCTATCTGGTGGGCTTGAGGAAGAACAGAACTATCCGTTAGATTAAATGGGTGGGAGGACATCAGAAGTCTTTAACAACAGCTATGAGACTGTCCAAGCAGCTGGAGAATCAAAGGGAAACAGAGGGACCAGAAGGAGCAAATATGTCTGTGGCTGCCGATTTGAAGAAGGAGATAGAGTATACACAAGGAACCATCAGTGAAGAGGGAGGAATAAAATTCAAGATTTTTGGGATCCCCACTCCTACCAGGTGTTGTACCCCCAGCACCAGGGTGGGTTGTGTACTCGGTAGCAACCTGTTGGCCAAGAACGGGTGTCACCAGTGGGTGTCGCTGGTGTCAGCCAGCCTTAAAATAGGAAGTTGGCTACGTGCCAGACAGGTGCCAGTTTCCGTGGGCGGCCAGAGTGTTTGCTGGGCCCATGTGTGTGTGCGTGTTTGGCCAAAGTTACGGTGAGCTTTTAAAATAGTTTATGCATATTATGGTGATGAAATTAATTGTTTTGTTCTGTGGTAGGGAGGCCTTGCTGTTTGCCATTGGGCAAATAAAGATCTGTGTGGAGCTGTGTGTGTGGGGGTTGCGACGCACAGGTAGCAAGTTTTTAACAGGTTTTTAAATGATTAAAGTTTTGTTTAAGATATTAAGGGTTTTGTGTTTTTCTGTTTTACAGTGGTTTTAATATTTGCTGCCTGCTGTCCTTTGAGTGTATTTTCATTTCTGTTATTCAGCCTAGCTCATTAATATTCAGAGCTTTGTAAAGGCGTTTAACTTTTATATTTTGGGTCACTTCTCCTTCCTAGTAATAAAATAAATACTGTAAATATTCATACCAGTTTTGCATGTCTACTTATTGCCCGGCTCTGGTAACATTTGGCGTTGCTGACAAGTATAAGAGAAGTGACCTGTTTTATAAAATTCACTGAGGACAGCAGGAGCAGGTGCGCTGGTGGTAACGGTGACTGGCCTTTGTGAACGCTTTCTCCCGGCCATGAATGACGAGGAGGAGAAGCAGGCCATGGCGCAGCGCATCAAAGAATTGGAAAATGAGCTGGCGGTGCTCCGTGCGGCCAGCCCGGACTCTGAAACTCCATCCACTTCCACCGGAGGAACAAGTGGCGCATCTGCTCTCCCAATGAGGCAGGCTCCTGTCATATATGTGCAGCAAGACCGAAAGCTGCCCTTGTTTTCGGGGAAACTTGATGGTAATGAATCATTGACTCTAGACGAGTGGATAGAACAAATAAGACTCTTTGCCCAAACCAGAGGAGCCACGGAAAAGGAGCGTGCACAAATTGTGTTTGATCATCTGGAGGGAGCTGCGCGCACGGAAATAAAGTTCCTACAGAGAGAACAGCGGGAGTGTATGGACTCTATCTTTGAGGTTTTGAAAGAAGTCTATGGATGTATGCACTCCCACATTCTATTGCAGCGACGGTTTTATAATCGCAAACAACATGATGGTGAGTCATTAATTGCATACTCTCACTCGCTGATGGATTTAATGGACTCGATTGTCAAAAGTGACGCGCAAGTTGCGTCTCGAGCAGCGTCTAAAGATCTGCGCGATCAGTTCATCGACGGGGTCAGAGATCAAAGTTTAAAAATAAGACTGAGGGACTTGGTGAATATTCATCCTGACTGGACTATCCGCGAGGCAAGAGTTGAAGCTACCAAATGGATGGCTCAATGTGGGGTTCAAAATAAACCGAGATGTGATTATAGCACAGTGTCTCAGGAGATGGGTGTGTCTTGTGAAAGTGTTACTGGTTCTTCTCAATATAATGAATTAATGTCTTTATTGAAAGCGCAGCAAACTCAGTTGGATTTGGTTGTTAAAGCACTGACCCCTCAAAGTTTCCCTCCAGCGAGAGCACGCTATAACGGGCCCAGGCGATCCACAGATGGGAGGCCCATTTGTTTTCGGTGCGAGCAGAGCGGGCACATAGCGAGGAATTGTCCAACTAATTCTCGCAGTGAAAATGTGTCTCGTCAGAACCAGCCTAAGTCTCCGGAAAACTAGATCCCGCCAGTGTGCAGAGTCAAACATTGGTGGGGGGACAAATGGGCTCTCATATTAACTCTGATTTACCTAACCTTGTTGGACAGTGCGTGGAAGCTGAGGTTGACTTTGCTGGGGTTTGTGTTCCATGTTTATTAGACAGTGGGTCTATGGTCACTACTCTAACTGAGAGTTATTTTAAAACACACTTTTCTCATTTGTCTGAATCAGACCTGAAAGATTGTAGTTGGCTGGGATTAAAAGCAGCGAATGGTCTGAAAATCCCATATCTGGGTTACATTGAGTTAGAGATGCATATTTTGGGTGTGTCCTTGCCCCGTTGTGGGGTGCTAATTGTAAAGGACTCTTCTGACAGTTATATGCGGGAGAAGAAAGCAGCTGTGCCAGGGGTTTTAGGTATGAATATATTCAACTGTCTCTACTTTGAACTGTTTAAGCAATTTGGCTCTGACCTGTGGGAGGCGCCAATAATCCAGTCTGCGACTCCTGGGCTGAGGAAAATCTTGAAGTACTGCCAGATGATGGAGGCTATGGCTGGTTCTCCAGATCCGCATCCAGTGAGAGTGCAGGGTAAGAAACCGCTATGTATCCCAGCAGGAAGTCTTAAATATGTCCCTGTAACCTGCCCACAGGCATCACTGAATAAGTCCATAGAGTTTATGGTTGAGCCTCTTGGACCTGAGCACTCTGCTCTGCCCGAAGGGCTGCTGGTTTCACCTTCCTTAGTTAAAGCAGAAGAAGGGAGGGCATTTGTCCCAGTCACAAATGTAGGTACAATCGATGTATGGTTAACACCACGCAGAATAATTGCCACAGTTCAGACTGCTGAAGTTATATTTGGAGAACAGTCAGAGATTCAAGTTGTTGTGGATTTGCAGAGCAGTACAGCTTTTATTGATAATAAAGAGACTTCTAATGAATCTGAGCTTGTGTTACCAGAGTTTGGAAATCTGGAGGAATTTGAGCGTAAACAAGCGAAAGCCCTGTTATCAAAATATAGTGGTGTGTTCGCACTAAATGATCTAGACGTAGGGTGTACTGACCTGATACAGCATGAAATTCCCTTACTCGATGAAACTCCTGTTCGGCAGCCATACAGACGAATTCCTCCTTCACAGTATGAGCTTGCTCGTAGTCACATCAAACGATTGTTACAAAGTCAGATAATACGTGAGAGTTGCAGTCCATATTCCTCACCAATAGTTTTGGTGTTAAAAAAGGATGGTACGCTGCGAATGTGCGTAGACTATAGGCTATTAAATGCAAAAACAAGAAAAGATGCGTTCCCTCTCCCCAGGATAGATGAGTCTTTGGATGCTTTGGCTGGGGCCCAGTGGTTCTCTACATTAGATCTGGCTAGTGGTTATAGCCAAGTGGAGATGGCTGAAAAAGACAGGGAAAAAACTGCATTTTGCACCCCTTTTGGATTATTTGAGTTCAATCGTATGCCTTTTGGTTTATGTAATGCACCAAGCACTTTTCAGCGGCTCATGGAACGCATTTTTGGAGATTACCGTCATCAGTCTGTCCTGTTGTACCTCGATGATTTGATTGTGTTTTCATCATCAGTACAACAGCACTTTGAACGGTTGGAGCAGATTTTTTCACGATTAGAAAATGAGGGGTTAAAGGTAAAGCTCTCTAAATGTAACTTTTTTCAGAGACGCGTTAAGTATTTGGGTCATGTGGTCTCGCCGGAAGGAGTTTCCACGGATCCTGAAAAAGTGGCAGTAGTAAGGGAGTGGAAGAGACCAAACAATCTGGCCGAACTACGGTCATTTTTGGGTTTTGCCTCATACTATAGACGTTTTATTGCGGGATTTTCAAATATGGCTGGCCCTTTAAATCGCTTGGTAGCAAAACTGCTCCCCCCAGGTAGACAAGGGAAAACCCCAAAGAAGCCTGTTGCAGATTTTTGGGATGATGAATGTGAGGAGAGTTTTCAAAGGCTTAAAACTGCCCTAATAACCACCCCTGTTCTTGCTTACGCAGACTTTCAGAGGCCCTTTGTTTTGGAGGTTGACGCAAGCCATGGAGGTTTGGGTGCCGTATTATCCCAAGAACATGGGGGTAAGTTGAAGCCCATTGCTTTTGCCAGTAGAAGCCTGAAGCCCACAGAACGTAACATGAGTAACTATAGTTCCATGAAGCTGGAGCTGGTTGCTCTTAAATGGGCTGTTACAGAAAAATTTAGAGAGTACCTAATTGGAAATCAGTGTACAGTTTTTACAGATAACAATCCTCTTAGCCATTTGGCCACTGCAAAACTGGGCGCTGTAGAGCAGAGATGGGCCTCCGAGCTAGCCTCGTTTGATCTGAATATTAGATACCGCCCTGGTTCCCAAAATGCAAATGCGGATGCTCTCTCCCGCCTTCACCTACCATCTGAGGAGAGAGTGGAGGTTTTTGGGGTTCAGGTAGAAATAAGTGCACTCCCAGGTCTCGATGTATCAGATATTTCCATGTTACAATCTCAAGACCCGATTATTGGCAGCTTCCTAAAGTATTGGGTTGAGGGGAGGATGCCTGGGGCCAAAGACAGACAGGAGCTCAGTAAGGGTACAAGGGAGCTGGTGCGTCAGTGGGGCCGTATAAGGAGAGAGGAGTCTGTGCTTTACCGGTGTTTCCACAAACCTGATGGAGAGGGAGAAGTTAAGCAGCTAGTACTGCCACAGTGCTTAAAGGAGCGTGTCCTTCGTTCTCTGCACGATGAGCACGGTCATCAAGGTGTAGAGCGCACGTTACAGCTGGTCCGCTCCAGGTACTACTGGCCAAACATGTGCAGTGATGTTGAGGACTGGTGTAAATGTTGTGAGCGATGTGTAATGTCTAAAGCTCTGCAACCAAAAGTAAAGACCTTTATGGGATCAGTCAAAGCATCCAGGCCTCACGAAATTTTGGCCATAGATTTTACTGTGTTGGAGCTCTCCACAGATGGCAAGGAAAATGTTTTGGTTATGACAGATGTTTTTTCAAAGTATACTCAGACTGTTGCCACGAAGGATCAGCGTGCCAGTACAGTAGCAGAAGTTCTGGTAAAGCATTGGTTCCAGCCATTTGGTCCTCCAGGTCGAATTCACTCTGACCAAGGGAGGAATTTTGAAAGTAGTCTGGTTCAACATCTTTGCAAAATGTATAATATTGAAAAGAGCCGTACCACACCTTATCACCCGCAGGGCAATGGTCAGTGCGAACGGTTTAATCGCACCTTACATGACCTGCTGCGAGCCCTTCCCCCTGAACAAAAGCGTAGGTGGCCTCGGCATTTGTCTCAAGTGACTTTTGCATATAACACCACAGTACACCAGACTACTGGCCTAACCCCATACTTTTTAATGTTTGGAAGAGATCCAAGATTACCTGTTGATTTTCTATCTGGTGGGCTTGAGGAGACAGAAATTCCGTTAGATGAATGGGTGGAGGAACATCAGAAGTCTTTAACAACAGCTTATGAGACTGTCCAAGCAAGGCTGGAGAATCAAAGGGAACAGAGGAGACAGAAGGAGCAAAATATGTCTGTGGCTGCCGATTTTGAAGAAGGAGATAGAGTATACACAAGGAACCATTCAGTGAGAGGGAGGAATAAAATTCAAGATTTTTGGGATCCCACTCCTTACCAGGTTGTTGTACCCCCAGCACCAGGGGGGGTTGTGTACTCGGTAGCACCTGTTGGCCAAGAGGGACCAGTGCGTCAGGTGCATAGAACAGAGTTACGGACTATCCCTAGTAGTTGGGAGGATGATACTCCTGATGAGCGCAGGGAAAGGGAGATAGAAACCGAAAGTGCTACTAATGTGCTTGAACTAGAGTCTGAGAATGATGAGATGTTCTCTGATGATGAGCTGCTTCCAGGCCAGGAACCCACTGAGGAAACTGGCACCCCCTTAGTTTTTGAGCCTCGACGGTCCTCCCGAAAGACTGCTGGGCAACATTCAAATCCACATAGGCTGCCACAATCTGTACAGGTTACGAGACCAACAGCAGAGTTCTAGTTTGAGAGGTATCCCCCTCTTTTTATACATCGTCGGGTCGACGATGCTCGTTGTGGGGGAGGAATGTAACGGGTGTCACCAGTGGGTGTCGCTGGTGTCAGCCTTAAAATAGGAAGTTGGCTACGTGCCAGACAGGTGCCAGTTTCCGTGGGCGGCCAGAGTGTTTGCTGGGCCCATGTGTGTGTGCGTGTTTGGCCAAAGTTACGGGAGGCCTTGCTGTTTGCCATTGGGCAAATAAAGATCTGTGTGGAGCTGTGTGTGGGGGTTGCGACGCACAGGTAGCAAGTTTTTAACAGGTTTTTAAATGATTAAAGTTTTGTTTAAGATATTAAGGGTTTTGTGTTTTTCTGTTTTACAGTGGTTTTAATATTTGCTGCCTGCTGTCCTTTTGAGTGTATTTTCATTTCTGTTATTCAGCCTAGCTCATTAATATTCAGAGCTTTGTAAAGGCGTTTAACTTTTATATTTTGGGTCACTTCTCCTTCCTAGTAATAAAATAAATACTGTAAATATTCATACCAGTTTTGCATGTCTACTTATTGCCCGGCTCTGGTAACATAACATTAACAAGATTTTCTGTAAGTGAAATGCAGACCAGACTTACGTGCAAAATACTGCCAGGGACTATAGGTTCTTCCACCGTCTACAGAGCGCTCCAGCACCCAAAGGTCCGGCCGAGGGGAATTGGCAAACTTGATGAGGACATATGCCACGTGGAAGAGCTACAAAGACACACACAAACACATTAATTCCATTTTTGTTTTTGTTTTTACCTAGTAGTCACTTCACAAGTTCAATAAGTCCATTTCCAGTTTGCGAATGTCTGGGCACAAGCTCAGTCTGTTGTATCTTTCAAACTGATCAAAACTGGACTAATGATGCTATAGTGTTGCCCTGCTTCCTGTTTGGACAAAATTGACAGATCATGCAGACAGTAGCTGTTATCTTTGTGGCCATGCAGGTCGGTCCGAACAATCAGCCAATCTGTAAATGCCTGAAGTTGATAAACATGGTGCAGGTGCTAGCACAGATTATCCCCAATGTAATCTTGTGTATTCACAGCAAAAGTGGCACTGTGAATAAATGCTGGTTGAGGAGGGTTTTCTCTGAAGGGACGGAATCGATGGCAAAGCACTCCAGCAAACCATCCTTCTAGAGCAAGCTGTTGCAATTTAAATCTATTCAGACTTCAAAGGCACTTACACCTTGCTTTGGTGAATTGTGTTCGAGCTTCTTGGGGACCTTGTGTTATTTTGTTTGCTTAATAACTAAACTACATTTGTTAGTTAGTGAGAATGAGAGGCTACAGTGACTCAGTTGGTAGAGCATTGGCCTTTGAGCCTGAAGGTCGTAGGTTCGAACCCCCCATGAGACCTTCTCCACCAATTCCTACTGATGTCTGCCGTCGTTGTGTCCTTAGGCAAGGCACTTAACCCCAGTTATGGGCTAGTACTCTGTGAATTGGGCAGCAGCTGATGGCAAAGGGGGAAAAAAGGACAAACCTAAGTTATGAAAGTGAATACGTTTTAAAATATGAATTTACAGTAATGAGTGAAAAAATAAGGCCTCTTTTGTCAAATCTCCTTGGAACAATATAACCCCTTATTAGTTCATTCGTGTTTTTTGCAAACACATCCACATCTCCAAACACATTTCTGATGAATGGCGATAATATTATTGTTATTGAAATATCCCTAAAATTGTTCTTGCCAATATTGCTAACATATATGTTATACTTTGACTTTACAGAAGAGCAGTCTTATCAACAGCATTCTGTAAAGGTGATTCAACCATTGATCAATCGTGCCGCTTACATTCTGCCCTATAAAGCTCTCTGTTGACTTGGAATTTACAGCACTGAACATTATAGCTGTCACTGCACCTACAATGTCAACACATGCCTTGATATAACTGACACTAGCCCTCTTGTCTTGTTTTATTAGTCACATATTGAGTTATTTTGTATGCTGGCATAGCGAAACAGAGCCACGTTTTCCCAGGCCTCAAGTGGAGATTAAAAACTGTATTTTCTTGCAAAGTTTAAGACATCTTGGCAGGCCCGCACTCGTCTCGTAGCACAGTGACATTTTCAAGGTCCGCACAGTTCTTTCATGAACGGCTGAGCTGCTAACACAACTGTCAAAGCAAAGCAGAGTACAGCCTAGCGATCTTCTGCCGCTGGGACGTGGACTCTGTCAAGTCACCGCCATAATTATCTTGATGGATTCTTCACCCTTAGCACGAAAAGGAATGGTCTGAAGTTCAAGTAGCTTTCTGGGTGATTGATTTATAACAAGATAGGTCAAAGAGCAGCGTGGGAATTGTCTTATCTTGTGAGTTTTTACAACAACAAAAAGACCATTAACCCCTGGGAACAATATTTACTAAGATATCCTCTAGTGTGGAAAGTATTACATATTATTTAGACCTTTAGAATAAATCATAGTTGAAGTTTAAGAAATTATGATTGAACTAAGATATCCTCTAGTGTGGAAAGTATTACATATTATTTAGACCTTTAGAATAAATCATAGTTGAAGAGAAAGAAATTAAGAAATTATGATTGAAGTGACAAGCAAACGATGAATCAGCTTTCTCTATAAGGACATCCCAATCAGGTGTTTTTTATTAATTTGATAATGGGTATTGGTTGAGAAGAGTGACACAACATTCAACCAATAAAATCCTCACAGCAAAGTGATGTTATTCTAGGTTGTTTTTGTGGGGGCTTTGAGGGCTCACTCTGCATCCTACAGATCTGATAGAAGGTAATAAAAACAAAAATGTTGTTAATGTAGTCCAGATCAGGAGTTATCGTCTGATTCCAATCCAGTCCGAAAACCACGTGATCCAGCCCAATTTCCGACCATGTGAAAGGATTGGGGCATGCCTAGTTTTGACATTTATTAAGCTATTTCAGTGGCACAAATGATTGACGTCAATGCATCAAGAGTAATATGCTAAAGTAATTGTTTTTCAAAATGTGCATTTGATTGATACTGTATGTATACTGCAAAATACTGTGTATGTAGTCTCACATATTTGGTAAGGATACTTCTTTTGTGAAATTGGGCATTTATTTTTGGCCCATTGACCTAACTTTGAGAAGGGGTGTGACTGGGAGGTAATCAGTGAGCACTTCCACATGTAGCCGGATGGGCAGAGGACCAGAATATCACACAAACAAAATGAACGCTGCGTTCAGTGTTCTGCTTCAGCAGTGAAGTGTGGGAGCATGAGGGGAAAGAATACGCCAGAAATGTTGATGAGGTTATTTTTTACGTTGGAGCACTAATTGGAACAAACAAAAGATTGTATTTGGCCCTCATATTACTTTGCTAGGGTGCTTTATGACTGAAATGATTGCCATATTTGTCATACAATAAAATGCTGTTAGATTGCAGTTATTTTTGTCTTTGAACTATTTATAAAACAAAGGAAATGACACTATATATGTTGGAAATATTGAAAAAGGCACAAAGACAAAACTTTTCTTTAATTGATAAAATAAAAAAATCTAAATTTACAAAGCTTCCTGAATCAACCAAAGACTGACTTTTGATAAACTTGAGTTTTAGCTTAGACTGGTTGATCTACTATAACAATAATTCCCCATTACCGCACGAGGAGAAATGTAAATGCTGTAATTAGTGTGTTTGGTAAAGATAAGTGGCACATTATGATTCCACACCCATATTGTGTATAACTTCAGGTTTTTAGGACTGGGGAGCATGCCGGAGCTGTCACAGTGGAGAGCGCAGAGACATGAGGCCTGGCACGCCGCTCCATCTCAGATTCCAAACATAGCGCCACATTCCGCCTCCCTCCTAATGCCCCCCTAAACAGGGCATGCCCCTGCTTTCAGGAACCTGTCAGTGACGCGCAACACAGCGACAATCTCCACAGCCCACTGCCATTTATTCACAGCCAGTATCCCTTATACCAGCTTTATGGAGCTAGAAATACCAGAGGACAAATATCATGTTTTACACACAGTCCGTAGTTTAGTTCAGTGCAAACAGGTAAGAACTGCAAGTCTAAGCAATATTGAGGTGATAAATGAAAGGGGTGGTAGACATACAGTATATGCTACAATTGATTGTTAAAAACTCATATAATCATTTACAATAAACATTTATCTTGCTTTCTCTGCCCCAAGTTAAAATCTTCCATATCTAAAACCATTGTCCAGATAATGCAGCCATTTCATTCCAGCGCAGAGAGGTCAAGGTTCTGCTTCATTTACGACCTTCTCATCTAAACTTACACTTGCTGAAATATGTTGGGTGTCAACATATTGTTTGGAGAGGCATGAAATATTGGGGTGGCACGCTCAGCACCTCAACACCAGATCCCAGTGGCATCCAAAGACAAGAAGGGGACTGACGAGCATGTGGCTCAAACACTTGAGTATAGAGTATAGACCTCTATCCACAATTTACAAATACTAAGAAGAGGTGTATTGAGGAGGCAGGCAACAGGGACAAAAGAACAACAAAGAAGTTATTCTCCAAGATAAAAAAAAGATCCTGATCAAAATATTCCATTGATAAATAATAGCCAGCAAGTCGGTTTGGCCAGATGAAGGGTTAGGGTTATGTGACACTTTGCTGCTTAAAATGTCTAACCAAAGAATTTCATGGTTGGACAATTCATTGAGATTTATGGTTCAAGACTAAAAGGTGACTTTAGTGACTTTGAAAGTAGGAAGTAAGATTATTATACTTTAGCCTTAACTGAAAATAAACAATAATACTGTATGAAAAGGTCCAGGTGTCCTCCACTTTCACATTAACAGCACAAACATGTCCGGTGGTATTTTAGCATCTTGATAATTACATGTTGCCTTTCCTATAAAAAGTGTGGCATCATGCGGACACATTCAACACGTACGGTCACATCCTCGATAATTCCTCTGACCTTTGGCCGTTCACGTCCGTGCATCATGCATGTGCGTGTGTTAATGGCACCGCTCACTCTTGACACGCAGGCGCCAGTTAAACAGAGCAGTACAGTCCAGACTGGGCATAAGGGCAGCTTTAAACACAATTCCTTTAACATTTGACAGGTATAAGGCTGCAACAACATGAGCACAAACAACAGCTTTATGCAAATGGTCAGATTCGACATATTGTCAGTTTGCCTGGGACTCAATTAACAAAATGAGTGAGTCAAGGCCCACAACCTTTTTAGTCTATATCCTTTTATATTCATGTGTCAATAGTTTTCTTAGTGGGAAGTTTGCTTCTAGCTCATCAATACTATTGCTAGATACTTTTAAAATTATCTATGTATTTGTTATGTTTGTATGGATCTCTCTATCCATTTTTTTGCATTGATGGTTATTCTTTATATTCATGTAAATTTGGGGGTATTTGTATGTGTATTTTAACATGAGTGTGGACTTTTCTGACTGATAGATTTTTCTAAACATGTAAGCAGTTGTGTTTGGATTGAACCGAATGAACCAAAGTAGCAATATCACCATTTTATTGTTACTGCTGCAGCCTGCAAGAATCATATCAGGGGTCACTAAAGAACGATCCTGTGTTTGACATACCTGGTTAAATATCTGACCAGCTCAATAACAACGAAATGTTAAAAGACAATTCAACTTCTAAAAATAACCTTTACATGAATTTATTCTTCCACAATAAAGGTCCATATGAACATTATACCTTCATTAAACCTTCATCTTGATGAATGAAGGTTTAAATGTCAG